CCGAGCGAGCCTCATCTGGCCGGTGCAGCAGCACAGAGGACATGAAGTCATTGAGCAACTGGCGAGAGGGCAAGACTCACGCGTCCATCCTTTTGCGACATGGAACCCGTTTCACGGGGCTTGAAGTGACGAAGGGAAACCACTCTTGGGCTTTCTGAATTACTTCTTGTGTTAAACCGCTAATCGTCGTGCGCCGGCGTTTCACTGATAACTAAGTACCTAGCAAACCTGTGCCTGACTTCCTGACAGCCTGACTGCCTGACAGCCTGACTGCCTGACAGCCTGACTGCCTGACTGCCTGACTGCCCAACTGATGACCTGCTTTGTCCTGATTTCCTGGCTGGACTCTCCTCAGCACAGAACGCCACCAGGCGGGTCCCTCTTTTCGTGAGGAGCTCCCTTTAACAGAAACATGGTCTTCCAGGAACCCTCTCCCCCCCCGCAGGTTTCATGTTAATTGGCGGTATGGATAAATCCCCTGATGCAAGGTCCAAAACTCGGAAGGTGAATCTCCGGTACCAAAGCAATGGACCAGTCAGGTATCCCCGCCTGCCGCAGCTCAGGATGTTGCTCCAGGTATTTGGTGTGGTCCTCACAGATGGCTTGGTCGCGACTCAACTCGGCAAACATCTTTGAACCATTGCTTAAACCACCTCAAAAAGGAGGTGAGAGATGGATCCGCACACTTTGCACCCTGCGCATTCCTTTTCTAATCTGCCTAACTTGCATAGGCATGGTAGCTTGCCTTCCGTGGTTCATGAAGAGCTACTGTTTGAAACTATTCAGCCTTGCATGTGGAACAGCGTGCGAAAACATGTCCAAAATAGTTCTGCTTTATTGGGCTCAATGGACAACCAACAAATACCAGTATGAGACACACAGACACACAGACATACAGACAAACAGACACACAGACAGGCAAACAGACAGACAGGCAGGCAGGCAGGCAGGCAGGCAGGCAGAAACAAACAAACAAACTAACTAAACCCCACACTCCCCACGCAAAAGCATTTGTCATGCCGAACCATTGCGCTCAGAACAAGCATTTTAGATGTGTGTTGCCTTTTCAAGCAAGAGGATGTTCAACAAATAACAAGAGCGTCGTTCAACATATAAGAAGAACGTTGTGCGTTTGACACCATATGGCTTTAACTACGAGTGCTCAAATTGGCAAAGCGCTACAGGGCCTGCTCGAAGAACCGCTCGAAGAAACACAACAAGTGTTGACCAGGTATTGCTTTCTTCATGCTGTTGATTGAAGCCTTAGCAAGCAACATGTACAAGGTGAATGGACCGATAAAGATATCTGGGGTCAATGGGTCAATGGGTCAATGGAAATGCGGCTCATGAAAGGGAGAGCCGGTGTTGATGCCCGGGAAAGGGACCCTTGGAAGAATCCTGGGCTCTTTTCTAGGCTCTGCAATCTTGAAGCGCCTGAAATAGGAAAATCACGCTGGCAAAGTCGCAGAAAGCTCACCGCTCACGGTATTGGTTTCCTTTAAAACCTGTTGCGCACTCTTTTGCAAGCCTCCGCGGGTTTTCGCAGTAAGTCAAAGCCGGGAATCCGTTCGAAACTGTTGGTGAAGGATGGCGTCCTTCAAACGGACCAAACAGGAGGCATGGGCTTGGACACAAAGCCAGTAGAGTGTTTCTCCAAACTGGGTGAGGATTGGCAACCGAGTAGTTTCCTGCTGGTTCCTTGAAGCACTTGCAACGCAGCACGCTCAGCAGCCATTTGGTCGGTCCCAAGAAAGGTGCTGGAAATGGGTATCCTGTTGCGGGGTGGTTTTAGTAGTTTAGAGAGAAGCCAAAGGGAAACCTTCATTTTGGCGGTTCCCCTAGACATACATCCACCTACAAAAAAGGGAAGCTAACACCCCGCAAAGACAGGCGAGTCATGCAAATGGTTTTCATGTTGGTTTCCATTCGGATTCAACTGGGCTCCCAACATAGCTCAACATGAAACCCAACAGGCGGAATCCGTAAAAGGAGAGTCCTCCAAACACATGGCATCTGAGCTTTAGCAGTCGTCCACCGTTGTCTCCCTTCAAAAGCAGCCATGCAGAGATCAGTTGTGTCAAAACTGGGAACCCCAAACATGGATGACATGGATTTCTGTTGTCATGTTGCTTCCCTCTAAACCAAGGTGAAAAGGGTACCGAGCCCCAAAAATCAGCGACACCCAATTGACATCAAGGTGACGCCCCCCCCCCACCGTTTAGAACAAAACGGCTTCCCTTTCTTGGAAGCTGAATTGAACGGGAAAGACACCACACAAAAAGAAAAAGAAAACTGGGGCACAGCTCAATTTGGTGTTAGATCGCCCGAACCGCTCCCATTGTCTCAACGGCTCCTGCCGCAGCTCCTCCTCCCGAAGCTCGAGCTTCTCCTGTTGTTTGGGTTGAGCCGCATGCCGAAGCTCCTTGATGTGAGAAGCTAATTGGCTGTGGGTCAAAACTTGGGCTGTGAGGTAAATGGAAATATGGACTACCTGTGGTCTGATGGTTCAATTTTGACCCATACCCAATTAACTGGAGCTATGTACTTGTCCAAAGACAGCCCTTATAATGGCGCCTATCCTTTGCCTTGAGTTGAATCCGTTTTGGGCAGGCGATCGCCTTTTGTTCTCGGGCTTCCTTTGGTAAGGCCTGATTTGGAAGAAGTTTATGGAAGGTGCAATTTGGATCCCACAGGCATCCTGGGCCCCTGGGGTGCACAGAGAAACTCAACTGAAAATCGAAACCCATTGAATGAACATAGAATGGTTGGGCCCCGGGAAAAAAAGGGGTTCACAAATGCTTCAACGCCACGCAAATGATGCCCACCAAATGCAAGGCTTCATTTTGTTGAGTTGGTTCCCTTTTGGCTTTTGGGTTGAATCACAGGGCAGCCAAAGGGGTAACCGAAGACTATCTTGGGGATAGCCCGGTTTTAAGACACAAATGGGGGTGGCGCCACAAGTAGGGTGCCGCGTTTGGAAATAAGCATCATGTATGCAGAGCATCAAGAGGGATCCGTAGAGTTGTGCATTTACGTTCCTCTCGCATGAAGGATGTGTGGCCGCAACAACATCACGCGATCAAGTTGCTGACTTTGGACAATAGAAACTCTCCGTGCTCCCTCGCATTCAACCGCGACAATCTGCGATAGAGCCATTTGCGGGTACCTTTCCGGGGCGGTCTCGGAGGCAAACCAAAGAGACGCCCCACCAAAAACTGCAGCCCATTTGGAGACAGACCATATGCCGGTCGCTTCACTGCCGGATACTATTTTCGTGCCAACGGGTCTGGTCTAGTTGGTTGGGCCTTCTGGCACGACCTCATCAGCATGGCCTGGCTGATTCTGGCAGAGTAACAAGAGCATGGCTTCTTCAATTCTGGCCTCCTAAAAATAGCTCCTTCCATGTTGGTGCTTGCTTCAAATAGCAAAAACGTGAGGCCCCGTTTCAAGACAACCGCCCCCCCCAATATCTCGCCTGCTGTTCAGGATCCTTCATCATCTTTGCGGGCGCCTGCGAGTTCCGCCGAGATTCTAGCCAAAAAGCTGAACTGACCTGTGGTCAAAACTCCTTTGGACATTTCCATGACAGTGCCATCTCTTGGGAACAGCACACAAGTTTTTAAGCGGCACGGAGAGCTCCAACGTTTCATATCATGGAGTGAAACGCAAGCGAGTGATATGCGAACCTGGAGGAGTCACAAAACCACACTTGTAGAGGAATGAAAGGGCGGAAAACCGCTTATTTACGGTCAGGACTGGTTCCACTAATCTTGAGACAACCAGGTTTGATTGTGGCTCACTTTCGATACGGGCCTAAATAGTTTCAATAGGGTTGTAGTGCACTCTAAAAACAAATTGGGTCATGAGCAAAGGAGCAAACTATAAGTAATCTGGGTGCCGAATGGGGGGGGGGGCTGCAAGAAACCACATTTTTTATCCATCCCCTTTCCATGTTCCTTACAAGTTGAGCACAAACACATTCTGCCCTATTCAGCATATGTTGGTTTGCCCTCAGATCGACTCCTAGGACTTGCCGAAAGCCGAGGGCCTGTCTCCAGCGGTCGCCCGGATCCGCACTGAGAGCCAGATGCCGCCGGCAGTTCCTGTGTCCAAATGGGGGAAGCCCTATGTGGCATGCCTTGGCTCTTGAATGCCATCCCACAATGGTACCCTTAAACAAAAGCTGCACACACACACACACATACAGACAAACGCACACACAACACACACACACACACACACACACACACACACACACACACACACACACACACACACACACACACACACACACACACACACACACACACACACACACACACACACACACACACACACACACACACACCCACGCACGCACGCACGCACGCACGCACGCACGCACACACGCACACACGCACACACGCACACACGCACACGCACGCACACACACGCACACACACACACACACACACCCGTGGTCAATTGGAAGAGCTTCGACCCGGCACTCGGCACTAAGACTCCCTTCCTTCAAGAAGCAACCGCCCCTCCGGGGGAGCAAGGTTGCAGACCATTCATCACATACATTTCCGACTTGCTTTCGAGAACTTGTGCATTGGCGTTGAATGGTGTTGGTTCAGTGTTGGGTTCTAAAGGTCCGGTTGGGTTCGCGAAAATTGCTGGTAGGGGCATTTGTTTGAGGGGGAGAAGATTCGTCCCTCATCTTAAGCTGAAGCCCTTGGCGGGTGGGTCAGTAAGGATTCATGAGGAATTCACCAGAAGGCCCAAGGCAAATGGTTTTGAACATATGCCCTCGATCCTTCTTTTTCCAGGGTACCTCTTTTTGTGGATCTAAGGGAAACCGAGAGGACAGCTATCAGTTGGGGGGGGGGGGCCCTAAAAAATAACACACTCATATCATAGTCATAGACTCACACATTCATCTCGTCATATTTGGGAACATGGAAGGCCACCAGTTTGCGAGGCTTGGTTGATCCTGATCAAAGGGCAGTCTGCGCATTTTCTGGAGCAACCTTCAGCTCGAAAATCGCAAACAGCTCAGAAGCAGCTGGATGCGCTCGCTGTGAGCCTCAAAGCCAGGGCTCAGTCGAATCTGAACCCATGTAGCAGCATAATGTGCACTCAAGCAAAGGCCAACGCCATGTCAAATCTACCACCTGCCAAGAAACGATGTAAAGCAGACCGCGCTGCAACATGTGTTTCAGTGGTTGCTTCTCCAATTTCAGCTTGGCAACACTACTTCGGCAAGCAACTGAAGCAGACGGCGTTCTGAGTCGCCCTCAGAAGGCCTTCAAGCACCTGGCAAAGCACTGATTCAAGCTATCAAAAGCCCGCCGACAAGGATTGGTGTATGTTCACTCAAATGGGTGTTTCCTAGAACAGGAATCAGACCTCTGAAAATGAGTGGCTTCCTGCCTTACTTTTGGCTTCCTTGTGCAAGAACATCTGACTTCCCACCCAAGATCGCTGAGTTACGATGCTTGCAGCTGCCAGTTCCATGTGCCGTCCTTAAATGGGGGGAATCCCTCAGAGGGAAACTAAAGGAAGGCGTTGTTGCCACAGCTCATTTTGGAAAAACCCCCGGGTCTCCAAGTGCTTGGCTGTTCGTTGCCCTCAGTTTCAAAGTGAGCAAAAGCGGGATGCCCCGCTTGACTAATTGTTGCTGTAACGTGTAAACCAGTTCAAAGTCTTTTAACCTCGACCATGGTGGTCCAAGCGGTAAATAGACGTGCAGAAATGAAGGGAACTCATGAAGGAACTCATGAAAGGAACTCATGAGGATCATGTGAACACATCTAAACCATATGGCGTCATTGTATGGCACCTCCAATTTGCAAAATTTTGTCATGGCGATGGAAAGGTTGTGCCCAAAGAATTGCCAGTTTCACCAAATTCAGCCGGCCCCATGAACAACTGCCAAGTAGCTGCAAAGACTAGAAGAGTTGCTGTAAAACTAGATCCTGGCTCGCAACCTCTAGACGTGCCTTTTGAACAATACCTCCTGTCGTAAGATCCAACGGAAAATGGAAATTCCAAGAGATACAACTCACCCCTCTTCGCGCTCTTCGCGCCCGTGAGCGCCTGCCAGCTGCTTGTACTCCGAGCTACTCGACCCCTGACCCATGGCAAGTGACGCCAGGGGAAACGAACCACTTGCACTTGACCCAGGCGATCGAAGCAAAGACTTTCCGGGTCAGAAAAAAAATATACCAACAAAATAGAGGGGGAAACACTATGAAGGAACCTTCATCATGGGCTTTCGGTCGCGAACCCCAGCCGTGGGTCAGTATAATTTGACCATCCCCTCAACAAATCCTGCAAATTTCGCCTTGGGCAAATCTGCTCTCCCAGGAGGAGTGATGTAACCTGATCGCAATTTGTCTTTGATTCTTTGAAGGGGCCAATCTTGGTTCCAGGCTTGATACTGCTTGTGACTGGCAGATGCAATCACATTGCTGCCAAGTTTTCACACTGGGTATGTTTCCTGTCGAAACCATACAGATACAGCATTAAAAGGCTGTTTGGAGCATCTGCGGCGCCAACCATACCTAATCACTTGACCGCCTACCACGCGCAATGTGCGAATTGCTAATGAGAAGCTACCGCGCCACTTTCACACAACCAGCCCTTCGATCTTTCGCCAGTCTTGCGAATAGGTCGGGCACTCGCCTGCTACAGTTTTCTGGCTCAGAAGCCGTCAGGTCGACCACAGCCGAGCCAATGGCCCAAATGTCGGCGGCTCAGCCGGAGGCTTTAAAGTTCAGGACTCCAACCCAGGTAGAAGGATTCCTAGCTTCAAAGTGGCTTGACAAGGGTGACAAGAACTCAAGAGCCCGTTCTCTCAAACTGACCCCATTTGACCAATCTGAGAGGTGGGCCACGGAACCAAACTCTGACTTTCAATGGAAGTGGATTTGCGTGTCAAAACAGAAGGGGAACCCCAAAAGGGGAACCCCAAAAGGGGAACCCCAAATGGCGGCTTGCTTTTGGTTTCCCTTCGGCTTCCGTCTGGGTGCGCCGGCGCGGAAGTAGAGGTGCAGGACGTGAAGCCTTGGAAACGGGGTGGTCCATGCGGCCCTGAGTGACACCAAGGTAGCGCAAGGCGTTGACGTCATTTGCTAACAACTTCACCGTGAAAATCCCATCCTATGTTTATCTGGAACGCCATCCACCAATGTCAGACACCACTCTGGACAGCGCTCTGATTTGCCCAAATGTGCATCGCCCCTTGTGCGACAAACATGCCGATTCCACCCCATCACCGCATCCAGAGTTCCAAAGGAGTAGAGGAACCACCTGCCAGACTCAGAACCCTCCACGTGCATTCACTGGCATGTGATGCGTTCCAGCATGAGCACACCAGGGACGCAAAAGGAAGGCCTTGCGGCCCTTTGAAGATCATCCTTCTGGGGACCCTCCCCGACTCGTGGCATCGGGTTGCCTTGGCACCTCACCGAAGAAGGACTCCTGCACGCTCCCTCGTCTCAGTTGCGATCGAGTGGATTGGGAAGGAAAAGCCCAGACTGTTTTTGGCCAAGCTTAAAGTCTTAGAGTCAACGTGGGGAAGTGAGTTGGGCAACTTGCTTGGCCCTCAGACAGGAGGCACAAAGGAAGCTGCGGTATCAAAAGGGAAGAGTGACCAATGGCTGTATATATATATATGTCTATCAGAGCCAAAGTGCTCGACATGACCATGAAAGGCAAACTCAACAGGTCGATTCGCTTTGGGCAAGTGAGACTTTGTGCGTCATACAGTCGACATGACAATCCAACTCGGAAGTCAGTTTCCTTCCAAAGGGAGTGCTTCGCCCTCAAGTCGCGCTCCAGCAATCGATTCGCATATCCAATGGGTACACTTGGCTGTGGCTCAAAAAACCGGTACCAAAATGGACCCCTGTGGAAACATGCTTCCCAAAGCCTGCGGTTTGCCCCTCCGATCGTTTCATTTTGAGCCACCAGTTCGCAGCCCTGAGGCTTCAAACTGGGCAGGGGGAACTGGGTTGGTCCTGGCCCACCTGCGAGCCTTGGAGCGCCAGCCCATGCCTTGCGATAGGGAGAAATGGAATGCACCGATTGGGATTCCCTTAAAGGAAACCATAGGGGAGGGTTTATAGGGGGGTCGTTCCCTCATTTCCTGCTGGGCACCAGCAAGCGTATAAGAAACTGGTGACAACCAGTTGGTCAAACAAACACAGGGACTCAAACAAGTGCTTCAGAAACTCTCGGGGAAGGACACTCCCGAAACTTTCATGGAGGTTCGAACGGCAAAGGCTGGTACAGGCAAGCCTGCAAATTTGCTGAACCCCTGTTGTTGCTGGAAATTTCAGAAGTTCCCAAGGTAGGGCTCCAAGAAACATCCAAAGGGTTGGCTATGGTTGGCTCATGCAAAACAACATGGAACTCTGTTGTGTTCCATGTTGATCTCCAAAAGACTTCCTCTGACTTGCCTTCCCAAGGTTGAGCTTGCTTTGGATATGTGTAGCTCCACTTTGGGAATATTCGTAATTTCCACCGGCAAGAAGTGAACCGTTTCCACCAACAGGATGTCAGTAAACCTTGCAGGCTTGGTGTACTGCTGGCTACTAGGAACAGCCATCAGTGCTTTGCCTTTCGACTGTTTGGCTTAGCAAAGGATCTTAAATGGTTGAATGGGAGGACTGCCATCATGAGCTTGTTCCACTGAGCACGCCGAAAGGAGCAGGATGTCTGTTCTGGGCAGGGGTGTATTGACCACCTGTTTGCAGATTCGTACAGCTGGATTACCTGCAAAACCAGTTGGCCCAAGCCCTTGCACAAAAAGTCGTGACAAACGTTCTGCACTGGTGGGAGCACCTTGCCATCAACAAAACAACACATCCCAGCCAAATGAGGTTCACATAAGATTTGTCATCCCCTACTAAAACTGGCATCATTCATCCCACCCACGCACACACATGGCTCGCATGCAGGGGAGTACTCATTGCTCAAGCTGAAGACTGAGCTGGGCACATCATCGGTATCAACCCGAAGTTTGCAACATACATGGATACCTTGCCGGCCGAATGCGAGTTTCATGCAAGCGCCTGGGTTCAACAACCCAATCAGCTGAACTTATCGATGCAAAGCTTCAAGTTAATGCTACCCTCCCTGGAGTCTACAGCGTCAAAGGGAAGCTGCCGCCAAAAGGAAAACATAATGCATCATGACGCAACACTGTTTGTCAAGCAAATCTGTCAATGCCTGTCACACCTATTCTCAGGCGGCCACGCAAACTACGCAAAAGTCCTGCAGCACGAATGCCAGATTGTACCTTGAACGACAGCAAATTGCTGTCTCTGCAGACCGTCTAAAAACAGTGAGCCCAGCCTATCTTCAACAGTACAGCAGTAGGAATGCAAATGGGTGCCTTGCTGATCCCCTTAAAATGAGTGGTTTCCTTTTATAGCCGCCCACAAAGGATACCCTCAACAGAACCACATCGTATTTGGATGACCACATGTTGGCGATTCACAAGCGCCAAAGTGAGTTGAATTATATTGAATATTGTTGTTTTTTAAGCACCCGTTTTCACCGCCAATGTGAATCCTGGACAAGCCTCGACTTTTCTGAGCACCCAACGCAAGCCAAACGGTCATCAGCCCGACCTTGGCGCAGGCAATTCCCGCGAGGCTCCTCAAAGTCCCGCCAAAATGCATGACTCATGACAAAGAGTTGCAAGAGATGAAAACACACTTATCCAGCCAAACACCCGGTTGGATGAGGGATCCTCAAGCCGGAGTCATTGAGCACCAAGCCATATTAGGGAACCCGCCGGTCCCATTCTACCAAACCAAAGTCTCCGCATGTCCCTGCGACAAATGACCCAGCAAATGCCGAAATCGCCGCAATGACCTTGCAGCAAACCTTGCTGGTTCTCAGCAGGGAATGAGGGATCCTGTAAGCCATCGTTTGCGGTTTTTGAGGGAATCGCCTTGTTCATTCCCTTGCTCATTCCCTGGTGAACTTCCATCAAATACCTTCCCATCCAGCATAGAATCTGACTCGGGGGTCATGGAAGACCATCTTCATCTGAAAGGGTCCTCTAATTGATTCATGTTCGTCAAGCGTACCAAAACAGAAGCAATCCCTAGCGCAAACCGGAGGCTCCTGGACGGCACTGCTGGGGTGTAGTTGTCCTTTGTTGGAGGGCAGCCTTTGTGGTAAGGAAAACCTGGGCTGTTCCCAGATCCCCTGCTACAAGTCTAGGACTCAGTGGTTTAACGGAAATGAGTACTAACCCTAACAACCCAAAAAATCTATGGCGATGGTTGGGAGCCACCGAGAAATGAACCGACACTAGCTTGTGGGGATCCCAATTTACAAGCCCATATTGGCCAAAGGGACTTTCTGGACCCGGAGCATCCCCTGCTCCGGAACCCCCCCCTCCCAAAGAACCTATCCCACCAGCAAACGGTTGGGCCAAAGCCAAGGCACGCCGCAGCATGCCAGGAAGAAAAGCTCCGGCAGGAGCGGCCCGAGCAGCGGGATGGGCGTGAAGAGAAGTCTCGGGGCAAGGGACCCTCGATTTTTGGGCGACGCTAGGTTTGCTTTGTGATGCCCCGAGACACCTCAAAGGGGGGGGGGAAGACCTATTTGCAACTGACAAAGGGCAAAAGTTAAAAGGGTGAAGCTGGGTCCAAAAACACACAATCCGAGCACCCCGACACTTGGCTTGACCGGATCGCTGGGCGGGTGCTTTACTGTGATCGAGGTACAAGGGCTTTGCCCGATCAAAGCACGGCCTTCGTAGGACAGGGCTGTAAGAAACAACCTTGTCTTTCCGCTATCGGTACGGGTTGGAGGACTCTCACGTCCAAACAGCTTCTTGTGGGCCATGCTCATGGTTCCCTTCACAGGAAAAAACAACGACTTACCATCGGTCCCAAGGAAAAGTATGGATGACCCCCCTACAAACCCCTGAGCCCCCTCCCGTCTGAAAACTCGCGCACTGAGTCGCAGGCAGCAGAGGGTAAAACCTTGCAATCATGCAGTGCAAAGATGCGGAGAACGAAGAAGAAAACAAACGCTATTCAACTGTTACCTGAGCAACAAGGATTCAGTGGTGGATTTGGATATTCATTTCGATATTGCGAAACATGAAGCCGATCTCTTTTTCCATCACAGCTCAGGTCACTGGATGGCATGTTTGGTGCGACTTCTCCGAACTTTCCCTGACACACGGGGGGCTAGCTCAGGGGACTTGCAAGTTCACCCAAGGTGGACAAGTCCGTTCAAACATACCAGAACTACCGGCCAAAACGGGGTGTGCTAACATTTGGGACATCTGGGCTGGTCTGCAAAGGGATGCAACTTAAGAAGACTAGCATTCAGGGGTCCCAGTTTTCCGGAAACAGCCCTTCTTGGAACTTCGGTGGCCCGCAAAGTGATCATGCCTCCCCCAACTTGTCCCATGGTTGCCTGATGCTGATCGAGCCAAAACAACAAAGGTGAAATTCCCAAAACAACAATAAATGCCTAGCCGGCCAATCTGAACCGCCACTCTGGAGCACAACATAGAACCATATGGAGCACGAAAACTCGAAGAGTAGAGGGAGATGCAGCCCCCATCCACCAGAATTTCTAATCCGTCCGAACAAAAGATTCTTTGTGTGGTTTTGACATGTGCGGTGCTCTCTACACGTGTACATATATTCATATTATACATAGATACACATGTAAACACCCTATCTTCATACACATGTTTTGCAGTTGTTTTTCTTCACATATGCATACATAAAAACACATATACGTGTTTACACATAATACACCTTGTCGTACATTAACTAATCTCTTCATTTACAAGCTGAAGCCTACCCGGGCGATTGCTGCCAGGCGCCCTGCAAATGCACCGCAAAGAACAGCACGCCCAGCGTGGGGTTGGGCACGTCTATCCAGCCCCGCACCTGGAACTCAGCTGACAAACAAAGACCGAAAAGAAACACACAGCGCGAAGGGAATTTATGTCACAAGGATACGTTGCCCCACAAACGGTCCAAGCAAGCTTATTGACCCATTGCTAATAAAGTTTTTCGACACGAATCCATCAATCGATCGTACATCTATTCGTGAAGGGGGCAGGCAAGCAAGCCCGCTGTTGACCTGGGGCTGGTTTCTGGCAGGATCATTGAGGGTAGGTTGAGCTTGTGGGTGGAATGCCGAAAGCCAAAAGCCGCAAAAGCCGAAAGACAAAAGTCAATGCCAAAGGAGCCCAAATCACAATGACATGCAAACAACAAACCACACAACATCTGTGGCTGCAGCCATCCTGATTCGAGTGATGCAAACAACAATAACATGTTCCGCAACTGCACCAAACGGAAATCCAATCGCCCCAGTGGATACACATTGCCTTGGAGCATCCAAACAGACAGCGGTCCGCCGCTCAAAACCAAGCGGACCTTATCTAGGATGCCGCTGGAAGATGAGGCCTGCAGACGGGCTTCGATTCAAGAGCTCGAGGTGGAGCCCACGACACGGAACCGGTCATGGCCCAACATTGAAACCACACACACACCAGGGTGAAAACGCATGGAGGTCCCTTTACTGTAAAACAGATGCAAACACCTAAGCGGGGAGGTTGTGCCATTTAGTTTCACCCAACTGTAAATGATAGGGTCCTTACCTTCCAGCCTTTATTTTGCCAATGATTGGATGGCTTGGAAAGGGAACATAAAAAAATGTCGTGGAATAGCACTGAATCATTATTTGTCCGATCCGGAAGTTGGTAGACATGGATTTCTTCACTGGAAATATGTTAGAGCACACAAAATGTTCCAATTACCTATCTCTCATCATCTCTTTCTATTAATACTTGTCATGGCTTTCCTTTCCTTTTATTAGTTTGTAGTCTTTGGGCGGGTGCAAGGAAGGCTTCACTCGAAAGGAGGAAGTTCTTGGTCAGGCTGTAGGAAATTACAGGATCGTCTTTATCCTCGACCCCAAGGAAGAGAGGGGTGATAAGGCCTCTCTGTCCGTTATCCCAGCCTGTGGGAAGGAAAGACAGAAAACCGGTAATCTGTGATAGGCAAATGGAGAGTGCTTCCCTTGACATGCAACTATTGGCTGGTCGCAGAGATTCACTTTCCACTTTCCACCTCTCTTCCCTCTCCAATTAAAATTTCTGGAAGGTTTTGACAGCTCTCTGTCCCATGGAATCTTCTCGTTCGGTCATGGCTGAAGGGGGCCCCGAGACGGAAGCTTGCACCCGCGCAGCTGAGGTGGCGCAGTTTTGCCGGAACTTGACTGCATCAATGTCAAACCAATGTTGATTTCAATAAAACACTTGACTAATCAATGTCAAATCATTAAAGAATTCAACATTCATTAGTTATCCGCCTACATTCACGAGTTACCCTTGCCTAATGAAGCTCGACCGAAAGGACAGTCAAGGGAGCGAAGGTAGAGGTCTATGGACCAGAATCCAGTTATTAGAGTACGAATGATTGAGAATTATGCCCTTCTAATCCAATACATGGTATTTGTATTTACTTCCTTCATTTCTCATTTATTGTTCTAGTTCGAGGCAAAGCGACCGCAACAATAAACCTGCCAAGTCTGTCAGAAGCAACCACTGGAATTCAGGGAGTTTACCGAAAACCATGTAATAATCATAAGGGAAGCCGTGTCATCATTGACCCATGGACCACCTGCAACGAGCCACTTAGCGCAATATCTCCGAACATCCAAACATCTTGGCATTCCGACCGTCCATCCTAATCCTTGGGTTAATTGTCTGAGGCAACAATTGAACAAACATGCTGTTTAGCAGCTCCTGAGCTGAGTCGCGGCAGTGCTGTGCAAAGGTGAAGCTCAAATGCAAGAGAGGCTGCCATGCAAAGCTCCACTCCCTGGAAACATGGAAGCTGTCCAGCCGTATCCAGGAATACCGCTTCTCAACCCCCTATAGATGTGTTATAATTTAAAGAAAGAGCAGAGGACGAAACAAATGTGGGTGTGTCTTCGGTTGCTGCTTAAAGAGAAACCAAAGGGAAAACCGCATTTGTTATGGGGGTGTCGATACCCTTTCCTGCCATGAAGGAAAAATGCGAATAAGTCAGCCGCTTTGACACCAGCCACCAGCTACCACTGATTCTCACCGGTCGAATCAAACTTGACCTCTCCGGGTTGTGGCTGAGTAGAAACCTTCCTGTCTTTGCCACAAAAGGCTGGCCCTGAAAATTCACTAGTCCACCAAAAAACAGTCGCTGGCCTGGAGCGAAACATCCTGACACAAAGGGGCCGGCCGGTTTGCATCTGAATGCCACACCTGCTTGGCAATGCCAAAGTACCGCAGGAAGCGCCCCGGCGGCGACATCAGCACCTCACAGTGGGATCCAAGTGCCCAGCTGTCTCTACGGGTCCTGTCCCTCTGTCCTCTTACAGGTAGCCCTCTTGCAACGCATACCTGAATTGCGGTCTTTGCCTTTTAGGGTGCAACAATGATAGGTATGCTTGTTTGCTTACGCCAGTTGCAAAATGAATGTATTGTCAACTTCGGAGTATATAATCGGGGGTCCTTCTAGACTTCTCTGATTGCTTCTACTGTATGGTCGATTACTCTGAAATTGACCTTGCTCACAGGCCCGGGCACCAAGAAACTGCGCAGACCCCCTCTGCAACCCATACCGGTCCTACCCCACAGCTGCCCTGCCGAGCCTTGCTGCACTTCGCCCAGGGCGCAAAGTCGCAGAAGGGCCTTGGTGTTGATGACCGTAGGGGGCCTTTGGTGGATATCATTCAAACATGAGGATTTAGGTCCGCATGTGGAAAATGTACCCCACCACCAAAGCCAGTCAAGCGTGGTGGTCGGCCTACCTGACACATGCTTTGTTTCTGTGTGCCTGACAAAGCCTGGGACGGAGCCGCCAAGACCAAACGACTGGCTCCCAGAGCCTGCCAATCCCAGCAGAAGCTACAGGGTGAAGATTCAAGGGGTCTGATGCACAATTATTTGTGGAGCGGGCTGACATCCGCGTGCTTTGGCTACCGGGTAAGAGGCATTGCAACAGGGCTTGCGAGGCTTCTTGACAGAAAACAAAATGCATTGTAAAATGGCAAAGAAAGTGTCGGATGCGTCTTGCGAGACACCCGCACACAAAACTGATTGTCGCTGATGCCGATTCGCGGGGCATAGTAGTTGTTGTCGGGCGCATAAGTGTTGTAACCTACACACATCAATCACAAACAACCTCGAGGCACTGCACCGGGGAAGTCGTCAAATGATCTTCAGCTATCAAGCATATTTGCAATATAACGTGTGATACAGCATATATCACCGTCTGATGCTCTGAGCACACGAATTGGGGTACAAAGCGTCAGCGGAAGGCGTAGCATGCCCAATTCATAGCCGGGTCAAGTGAGTAGCCTTCACTTCCACTCCCTGCCTGTAACCTCCCTGCCTGTAACTCAGGCCTTCCAGTCGCAAAAAGGTATTCATGTACGATTTGGCCTATAAACTCTCGATTGTCTACAAATATATCTCACACAATCTTCACTTGGTAGAGCAAAAACCACAGAAAGAACAACTCTCGCAATACATCAATGTCCCGCTTGGAAGAGGACTTGTATGCCTTCATCTCCGGGTCGGTTGGCTTGTCATACTCGAAGCCAGGATAGACCTGCTCGAGCCTCAGGTCAAAGTCTATGCGCCGCTCGATATGCTCCAATGACCGAGGACCATATCCAGAAGGGTCTCACAGACTCCTCTTCCGAGACCCTGACAAACCATCGAAAGCTATCCCAAAAGGGTCCCCAATTCATGCCGTCAAAAGTCCTTCTGCGAGGTTCCCTGATATCATGTTGCAGTGGTTGCCGAAATTCCCAGGTTGATGACAGCGCATACACAAAGGTTTGCGGCTGTGGGTCAAAAATGGGTACCCAAAATGGAACTCTGGTAAATGGAAGCATGAACTAAAACCTGCGGTCCCCTGGTGGCTTAGTTTTGACCCATACCCAAATGGCTTCCCATGGCACATGTCGAGAGCTCGCTGGGCATCGCTGGGCCAGCTGCCGGATTTCCACCCAGAGCGCCGCAAAGCACCAGAAGAGGCCCAGCAAACCCAGGGCCACCTGGCGGGTTTTCCGACAGGTCCAAGTTTGGCAAACGGGGAAACCAAAGGAAGGTCTTCACCACATGTCCAGCCTTACCGCCATGTGCTTTTTCGCCCCGTGGGAAAAAGAAAAAACATCTTATGTCCAGTAGCGGTAGATCCCCTTTAAATTAACAGGGGAAAACAAGCAACGTATTCTTTAGCTTAGATAGAAGCTGGTTAGGTCTTTCGGCTTGCATCCTTTGGGTTCTGTTCTGGCCTGGCAAGTGCGCAGCTCCGAGGTGAAGGCATAGACCTCAGCCCAGCTGACAAGAAAGTGATGCTCTTCCCGGGAGACCCCCTTGTCGGTTGGCTTTGAAGGGAAACACGGAGAAAAGCGGACCATTTCAGGGGTTCCGGACCCTGATTTCTGAGACACACGCATTTGCGGCGGTTACTTGGTGCTGAACATGTAGATAAAAATGGCCCATGTGTTTGGTCCACTTTTTATAGAGAATCCTCTTGCCGAAGGGAAACACCCTCTGTTGTCCACTTGTCAGGTAAGGAAGAACTAAATTGAAAGATCTGGGAGTAAAAGACTACCAGTTGGGGGTCATGACCCCATTCCATTGGATCACTGGAATCCTGACAAGTTCAAAGGTCCTTGGAAAGCTGAGCATCTGGATAACGGTAATCCAGGCTTTACAGAGAAGCGAAACTGGATGTCTTACTTTGGGTGAAAACGAAAACCAAGCCGCTCGTCCAAGCGAGGGATGACATCCCATTGACCATGGCAACATTGACCTTGTCTCACAACGGTCACTTCCTGCGGCCCAGGATTGCGTGTTTCGGACGTTGAAATCTCTTGCCTGGCAGTCGGTCGATGGGAGCAATCTTTCAAAGCACCCGAAGAGATGGATTTCAGAGGTAGACCTCAAGTCGGACGATTTGCGCAAACTGTTTGCGCAAATGCATCCACGATCTGTGCTTTATTTCATGTCAGCAAGCCTAAGAACGGCCGCACGAGTCGCCTTCTGTGCAATAGATTTCACTCCAACATTCCAATCTGAACTTCCATCTGGCCCTATAGCAAAGTCGCCCAACTATAGCAAAGTCGCCCAACTATAGCAAAGCCCATTCGTTTAACGGTCCAAACGTGTTTGGCATGTCCGTAATTCACCAACGAGTTCCAGCCTACGAGCCCTTTGAAAGGAACCTTGGGCCAAAGTTCGCAAACACCGAGGTCATTTGCGCAAAGGAAAATTGCGCGCCCTTGCCGCGTGAAAACCCGGGCAACGTGGGGAAAACCGTGGCCCCCGTCCATACAGTGCTGGTTGGAAGGAACCATTCTTCCTTCTTTGGTTTTGAAGGCAAAGATATGACACGCGAATCTAAGTATCATTGTCAGACTCTGAAAAGCGAAGTGTGGTTCCCCCAAAAGTGAAACATTTACATTGGAACAAAGGCCTATGACTCAACCAGGGAACTATTAAAACTATGAATCCTGGGTTTCCCAAAACCTTCGAGGAAAATCCCCCAACCTCCGGGCGCAGAGCGTAGATGAGAATCTCCGCGAAGACCAGCGGCAGGACCCACTTGTAGAAGTTCTCCTCCTCGCGTCCGGGCAAAAGCACCCCGAGAGGCTTCAGGAACCAACGGAACCACAGCTTGGAGGCCTTTAGTGTGAAAGTCGATGGCACTGTCGACTCGGGGAACTGAAAGGGATGTCTGTTTGGGGGTTGTTTTGAATGGGAAGCCCCTGGCATCGTCCTTTTTGGGGACACTCCTCAAAGGAGGAGACAACCGTTCAGACAACCGCCACGAGCAACAAGGAAAAAACGAAGCATTTGCGGAGTCTAGTCGGCCAGCTTCTGGGTGCTCTTCAACTCGCTGTCGTCGGAACCAATGAACCGCCCATCTGTTTCAAGGCTTTGTAAAAAGAAGCAATCCAGGGTAAATACCTCATTTTCCACCTCGTTGATCCCACGCGGGGGAGTCTTCCAAAAGACTTCTCGCCTTTTCACAAGGATCCATTCTCTTAACACAGACCCCGCCATGACAATTGCGCGTATTCATCAGGGGTCAAGACTACAATGCCGGTCACAACTCCCAGACAAGCTTCCACCGAAGTTGGCCTTCCAAGTTCAAGACTTTGTGTGGAGACCGGAACCCAAAGCTTTGCATGGGGGCGGTTGCGCATGCCACGATAAGCTGTGGGAAACATGACGGCAACCCCGATGGTGGAACCTTGCGAGGCGAACTCAAAGGGCCAACTGTAACGTCGCTTCTTCACGCGGGTGCCCCAGATCAAGCCTCAGAGCCCTTGCGGAAAACGAGTTTCTTGGTGTCTTTGACAGTCGAAAGTCCAAAGGCCGGACAATTCTTTCCGAATTCAACAAGCATCCCCCGACCCCAAGCAGTCCAAAGCCATGGCAGCCCGGAAGAGCGACTTGGGAAGCTTCACTCAGGTCTCTCAGGGCTGAGTCAGTGTGGGGAGGCCGGGGACCTCGAATGGCTTTGTAGAAACATGCCGGTGCAAAGTCTGGTCTATCTCGTGATGATCGATGACAATCAACTCCTGATTCGGCCAATTCCAGCATGGAGCCACGTAGCTTCAGGAAAAGGCACATCGGGTGCAGCAAACCCCTGGTACAGCAGCTCGGGTGGCTTTCTCATCAACAGGTAGCTATGCCCCGCGCTGAAGAGGTGGCTATGCCCCATATCACGTGTCAGCACAAGAAGGCCGAACGAAAGGCAGATTTGGCCAAATATCTCAAGTAAAGGCAGGCCCGTTCAGCTCTCTCAGGTACAGTAATCTTAATGAATGAGAGGTTCCAAGCTGTCACACAATGATGACGCAAACCTTGAGAATAAACATGCATCATCCTCCTCCAGAGTCGTTTGCACTGCATTGTCCTACAGCTTAATGTGCCAGTTGGCAATGAGCGCACATACTGGCAAAGCGCTCCACGTTGGTCATGTCGGTCCTTCCCAAGTGATCCAGATCCCCTCTAGCATGAATACGCACCCCAATCAAATAAAACGCAACCTAGGGCTTTATTACTCAACTGGGGTGCCACTCCACTTTCACAACTCGCTTTGGCAATGATCCTGGACTGAGCGGCACCTCGCGTAGTAACATCGTAACAGGAAGGTCCGAAAGTCGGACCTTCCAAGACTATGGACATCTGAAGGCAAAAGCGATCGACAAAAGGCGGACAAAGATTGACAATGAGTCCATGAAACAGGCCTCCGCTGAGTTCCCATTCAAACACCATCCGCACCCGGCCCTGTGGCATCGGCCCCATGACCCTTTGTCATGAGGCCAGTGAGACAAAACACCAAACCAAAACCGAAAACCCGAAACCCAACGCTGAAAAGCAACATACTTGAACAAAGCAAGCGTTGCTCAAATGACCCGCGGCGCGTCGGTGAGGCTCAGGCTCATCTCCCACACCCTGGCCGTGTGGTGAGGTGCCACCAATCGGAGACCTTGCAAAGATTCACTTGGCTGTGGGTCAAAAATGCGTACCCAAAATGGAACCCTGGTAAATGGAGCCAAAGACTAAAACATGCGGTCCCCTGGTTGTATTTTCACCCATACCCACTTGTTGCTGCAACAAACGGGGAAGTTGCACAGTTTTTTAACAAGGGTTTGTGTACTTCTATGTTGGTCGTCCAGTTGGGGCAAGGCCAACCATAAGTCCCTGCACTGAAAGTCTGGTCAGTTTCACAAAGGACTCGGTGTATGGAACAAGGAACGCGCCGGGTGACACTCGCCAGGGGTATTCGATTTGCAGAAGACGTTGGCGAGGGAAGGCTTACCAGCTTCTAACGACAACAAAGCGCACAAAGGGCCTGGCTCGCGCAGGTAAGAATCATGCTGCGTATGATGCTGACCATGGATGAGTCAACCTTGCGGATATTGAATAGCCCCCCCAAGGAAAAAAAATGGAGAGAAGAATCCCGTCCGCAATATGACGCCTCTCATTAAAGTATCTTGGGTTCCCATTCGTTCAACGAAGGATCCAGGTGCACAAAGTTGCTCTTCGGGCCAAAAAAAAGGAGTCGACCACACCTCAAAGCTGGTCACAACAACTGATAAACCAGCATGATGCCGGCTGAAAGTCCACCTAGCAGTCCTGAGCAACCCATTTTTGGGCGGAGTGGGGCAGGGATTTGTCCTGGATACCCTCCTTCCAGTGGAAGAGAACAGGATTGGTTCGAAAGAAGACTAGCATCCTCTCAAATAGGTCCTTTGAACCCTTCTCCACTTGCACGATCGGACAAAGGGAAGCAAGCAGTCTCGCCGTCGGATCGTTACTCCTGATGCCTTCGTGCAACCTCCTCATTCTTGGCCACCTGCCGCTGGAGTCGTGCCAAGGAATGGTCGAGGCATTCTCACTTCAGTGGTGTTGCGACAACATCTCCGAACTTTCCCCAGAAGGGGCTTCACAAACATATATATATATATATATATTTATATATACACATGTGCACATATATCCATATATACGTATAGCCAACTGATAGCTTCTGAGCAAACCTTCGGGGACCCCTCTCAATGGAGTTTGCGTGAGCTTCCTTGTAACACATTCACATTCATCCAGGGGTTCTCGACTGATAGCTTCTGAGCAAACCTTCGGGGACCCCTCTCAATGGAGTTTGCGTGAGCTTCCTTGTAACACATTCACATTCATCCAGGGGTTCTCGAGTGGTAGAAAAGCACAAAAGTACCCGGACTAAAGCAAGAAACAAATCCCCCAACTATTAGACTGCCCGAACTCCAGATCGCCAGCGCCAACTCTGTGCAGTTCGATCTTTCCGTCTGTTCTGCCCTATGCTCCACGGCGCCGGCGAGCCCAAGGAAGCACGCCTAAGGTCCATGTGACAAACCGGCTGGACCAATCGGTTCCATGGGCAGTGCTCGGTGCCGCCCGGAGCAGGTTCCGCGTCGGGGGAAAATGGTTCTGGCTGCGGAGATCCTTCCAGGATCCTTCCGAAGCCTTGCAAGTTCGGCCAAGAGGCAGTCCTTTTGCCTTGCCGCTGGGTGTTGCCTAAGTACGTGAGCTCCTCTGTAAAGTTGGCCTCTTTTTTTTGTTTCGACGGCACTGGGGTAATTACTCGTCCCCCCATATAGGAAACACCCCATTGATAAGTTCACAGCCGGAGTTTGATCTCCTGGCCGTCTCCGAGGCCAAGAGGAATTCTCCTGAAGGTCCAGGAAGCCTAGTTTTCAGGGCCAAGCGTCATATCGGCTACTCCGATCGAAGTCATACACCCCCTGAGTGTGTTGTCATTTTTTACAGGTACCACTTTTTTTGTGGTCTAAATGAAAACCACAGTTGTTAGGGGTCCCCTAAAAGCAGAGACACACCCTTGCGATTCCTGCAAGAAGTTACTTGCCTGGCCCTGCCTATACACCTGTTGCATCACCGGCATCCAGTCTGCCAAAAAATAGGCGATCCCAGCAAAGGAATAAGCCTCAGACTCTTCCTGATCAGATACTCCAGACTGGGCATGTGTCAATCATTGTGAGGGTGTCCAAGTAAAACTATGCCAACGAGGGCGAAGATTCATGACACAGTCACTATCGTTCTTGGCCGCTCTGCCGAGATTTGGGCTGCAGGGGTCCTGCAAAAAGCAGGCGGCTTATGAATGGGCGACGGATGCCAGCCTGTCGTTCAAAGATCTCCGATCTCCGTCTTAGGGCTCCTTTGAATCCACTTGCAAAGCGAAAACTACAACTGAACCCACGACCATGGGCCGAGATGTGGATGAGGGGGGTATTGAAGCCGAAGATGACAAACCAGGGAATACCAATGGTTCCTGTATACGTATACGTCATGTAATAGGCGCTTTTGAAAAATATGGCTTCTTTGCAGAGCGCCTACCTTTAGTGACGGACCAGATTCAGGGCCCCCTTTGTCTTCCTCACGATGCGCTTTGACCGCAAAGAAAACCGTCGCGGCCATCGGGGAACTCTCGACGCTGACTGTTTGGGGTGGGGGGGTTGCCCGAGTTGCCCTGTGCAAATCAGTATGTGAGAGAACAGCCAGACTTCTGAATACTTGCTTCGGATCCCAACGAAAGGTGTGTCCTATCCTCGCGGCTCTCCGTCGCCCCTCAAGCGCCCATCATTCAATCGCTTTCAGGCCTCAGGCCAGTCGAGGGTTTTTGGGTGAAGTCAGTTCTGACACCCATCTAGACCTAGCATTGATAAAGCTCCAGGCGTGCCAGCACCACTAATGAGGCGCGAACGTCTGGAGCGCGAAGCTCTCAGTACCCAAAGGTGGTGAAATTACCACCATACCTCACATGACCGGCTGAAGGTTTTCCGGGGAAAAATGGCCGAGCCCTGCAGTGGGCATGGAGCAAACATAAACTAATCTGAGCAGTAGTTGTTAAGTCTGGACAGCTTGCTGGAAGTGAGACCAGTTGTGGCAGAGACGCAAAGGAATCTGTTGATTGCCTAATGTTTGTTGCCCCAATTTCGGGGGCAATGGCCTTTTGCTTGCGGGCTGAATGCAATGGGCGGATCTGTGACCTGGGCCTGTCAAGGTGTGGGCGGGCAGGGGGTGGAGGGACCAAATGTTGACGATATGTTCTACTTTTTGGGCACGCACCTTCATCGCCGGCAAAGCCACTCAAAGGAGCCTCTGTTTGGGCCCAGTCGCTCACGTTTTGGCAGTGCCCAACACAATTGACTGCTGGTCCTACCAGCATGAGTATGAAGGTTCACATGAAACGGGGGTTCTTTTTGGGCGGTTTCCACCAAGAAATGCAGGGCGGATTCATGTCCAATTATATTCGAGGGTGTTCAGCCTTCTGAAATTTGATAGCCACGCAACCACCTGGGCATCACTGCTGCTCCGAAGGCGGTCAGCCAAGACACGTGCCAGGGCCGGGAAAGGTCTTCTCCTGGCCAAAGTTGGGTGACATGACCGCAGTCCGAACGTGACGTGAGCTGAGCACTTGTAAGTTGCGAATGTAATTTTCGGTGATCTAAGATCTACACACAAATCCTTTGGTTCATTTGTGGTCTCGGAACAAATTGGCGTTGAAGGGTGTCCCCCATCAAAATAAGCTCGGGCGATATCCCCAACAGCACCACACCCTCCCAGAATCCTCGCGGAACGCCCCGGGACCATCCTTACCGCCGGCGTTGCTGAGGATGCCGCCTTGTAAAGCAAAGCTACGAGTGACAGCGCAATCTCGCCCTGATCGGGGCCCGACGGCGCAATGGCGCCCGACGGTGCAATCGGGCCCCGATCGTCCCGTGGTGCAACCCCAGCCACCCATATTATAGCTTTCTACAAACAACGCCGTCTGCTCCCCCTGTTGCGAATGATACACTTTGGCAGCAATTCAGCCGCGATTTGGCGAGAATTCGGCCGCGATTTGGCGAGAACAGCCGCGATTTGTAGGCCTGGCTGCGTTTGGCATCGTCAGATGCCGTTTGCGCAAAAAGATGTCCAACGCGCGACGTTGGATCGTCTAAGCGGTTTTCCTTAGCATGCGGATTGCAACTGTATCTATAGCAAAACTAGGCGACGCCAGCTTGGTACAATTGACGCGGCCCCGATCGGGGCCCGACGGCGCAATCGGGGCCCGATCGGGGCCCGACGGTGCAATCGGGGCCCGATCGGGGCCCGACGGTGCAATCGGGCCCGATCGTCCCGTGGTGCAACCCCAGCCACCCATATTATAGCTCAACGCCGGCTTGCTTTTGCACAATTTGGTGGAAACCTTCTGGCCTCATAGCCCTCGCAGCCTCGTGGAATTCTGGGAACCCAAAGCCCACCAAGCACCTGCACCGTGAGTTCCGCAGCGACGTGATCTGATTTGGCACAAAGCCAACATTTGCCTGAGCAAGTGAGCAAGTCACAAAACAGTGAAAGTGTGCTAAAAACCATTGATTTCGGTTTTGCTTAGTGTTCCGCCAATGAGCAAAGCGATCTTGATCCGATGGCTTTTCAGACGACGGGCGCGTGACACACCCTTGGTGGAGCACTGTGGAGCCTTGTGGAACCCGTGTGGAATCCTTGCAGAGCTTTGTGGAACCCTGTGAAACCTCAGGGCCCACAGCCCTCGCAGAATCTTGTGGAACCCTGAAAACCTCATACAACCTTACCTCAAACCACCCCGGACCACCCCGCAGCCCTCGCAGAACCTCGTGGGACCCTGCTAGAACCGTGCTGGAATGGAACCTTACCTTGCAAAACCTGGTGGAATTCTACCTCAAACCAGCCCGGACCGCTGGTGGAACCCTGGTGAAACCCTGGTGGAACCCTCGTGGAACCTTCCCCGGACCACGCCGCACCCTCGAAGAAATTGGTGGAACCCTGGTGGAACCCTCGTCCGGAGCACGACGGGCTGGTGGAACTTGGTGGAAACCTGGTGGAACCCTCGTGGAACCTTACCTCAAACCACCTCGGACAACCCTGCAGCCCTCGCAGAACATGGTGCAACCCTGGCAGAATTCTGGTGGAAATCTGGTGGAACCCTCGCGGAACCTTCCTCAAACCAGACCACCCCAGCACTCGAAGAAATTGCTGGAACCCTGGTGGAACCCTCGTGGAACCTTGCCTCAAACCACCCCGGACCACCCTGCAGCCCTGGTGGAACCCTCGTGGAACCTTACCTCGAACCACCCAGACCACCCCGCAGCCTGGAACCCTGGTGGAACCCTGGCGGAACCCTCGTGAACCTTCCTCAAACCCGCAGCCCTCGAAGAAATTGGTGGAACCCTGGTGGAACCCTTGTGGAACCTTACCTCAAACCACCCCAGACCACCCCGCCCTTGCAGAACCTGGTGGAACCCTGGTGGAACCCTGGTGGAACCCTGCCCTGGTGGAACCCTGGTGGAACCCCTGGTGGAACCCTGGTGGAACCTTAGCTCAGGGTCGCCCCGAACCACCCCGGAGCCTATCTGGGCTGAGACCCCAAAGCTTTCAGCTGTTGGGGAAAAAAACATCAGTCGCCTTGTCATTTCCTTGGGGACGCAACATGTTGTGTTCTTGAAGCACCTGGCCGTGGCTGTTTTTGTAGCGCAGAACCGATTTGGGGGGGTCATCTTGAGGTCCGTTTTGTGTTGGCCGCGGAAATTGCCGGACCCAGAGCTTGCACCCTGAAGCGGCTGTTGCCAGCCTCCGGAGTCCCAATGAAAGGGATTAAGGGAAGGGTACTGAAGTCAATATCCCTGCCATCACATGGCACATTGGCTTTACTTCTTTCAAGAATGACACCTCCATATTAGTGCTTGGTGCGCAAAAGCCTCCATCAACACTGCAGAAGGGCGGTGCTGCGGTTTGCACCATCTCGTAGTTCGCGAGAGCAGGCAATCAGAAGCCCTACCCTCATAAGCTGTCCAACCAAGGCAGGGATGGCAAAGTCGAGTTCACATTACACAAATTCCTCTGGCTGTGTGTTGCAGAATGCCAGGTTGAAAATCAATCCCGCTCACCAAGCAGCCTTTCAGCTCCAGCTGAAGTCCTGAAATTCACAGACGGTTCCCGTGTGAGCCATCAGAGAATGTGACCCAGCCATTCATACTATCAGGTTTGCAGTGCCACATGACCAAACACTAGCGAGAAAGACTCCAGATTGCATGGAAGCAACATGCCCTTGAACAAGTATGAGCGATTCTGAATGAATGCCGGTTGTGTGGAACAGCGTGAGTGTCGCCTACGGGATTCCCTGGGCATTTGTGTCCAGGTCGGCGGAACTGCAGATGGGTCACAGGCTTCTACCGGCCATGCCAACCGCAGAGCTCAGGTCAAGGTCACGGCACATAAAACGACGAGCGAATCAGCGCATTTTGGCAATCTTTGACGATTTGTTCCGATAGCTACAAGAGAGATGCGTTTCTTGCCATCTGCTCTTCCTCCAGGCCCCGCCCCCCCAACAACAGCCCAAAGTAACTTCACTTCAGCCATATCATCGCAATGATTGCGCTCCCCACTTGCCTGGACATGTGTTTCTCCGACTCAACGTCGGATCCTTTCCGAGATCCTTTCCGAGATCCCCCATCCGAAGCCGCGCGAGGCGAGCCTTGCCCTTGGCGTGGGCCACCAGCTCTCGGCCAGCGCACCCGAAGCTGAACTTGGGCGGGCGCCGGAAGGTCCTCCGCAGCGAGACTTTTGAGCCCGGAGAGGCGTGTGCCCCAAACAAAGAGCCAAAGAGCCATTGAGAGGTGCCTGCAAAGAAACAAGAGAAATTTAGGATTCAGGTCTGCAGTCCAGTAGCCTAGCCCCTGCTTGCTGCTCTCATCCTGGGGCATCCTCCTCTTGTTGGTTGATGTCCAACCTTCAAATTGCCGTTTTGCCAATCTTAAAATCATTCTCCATCTCCTTTGAATTTTGAGGCTTTCTTTTGGGAACCCCCTCCAAACCCACAACCTGCCCTCAGAAAAAGCACGCACCAAGAGGTGGATTGATATGAGACGTCTGGGGGCCCGGGCCGAGAGTCTGGGGCCCCCCGCTTGGCCGCGTTCTCCGAGGCCGAGAGCTCGTAGGTGCCCGGCCCCGGCACAGCGAGGCCGAGGGACCGGGCGACCCCGGCGTGCCGGGCCCGCGGGGACGCGCCGAAGGACCACTTGGGCGCCTGCCGGACGTGGCAAGCATGGATCTGCCTAGCAGTCCATGCGATTCTAGCGTGAGTCTTCAATGTGGGGGGGGCATTCTGACTGGAAGACTTCCGTGTTCCCTCTGAGTCTGGAGCTGCCTTGCCTGAGCCAAACACCTCCAAATAGGTGTTCAATGTGTTCACGATGTTTATTTCTTCGAAAAGTTGGTTGCTCGCCCAGACAGCCAAGCCAGAAGCGATCCGATCCTTTCCCAGGCCTTCACGTTATGCGAGAGGCACATCACGTGGTGCGGGGGAGGCCGCGATGTTTCGGAGCCCTGCGCGTTGCAACCGGCCGGCCCGAGAAGACACACAAAGTCAGACATGGAGTTACGTACTGAGTGTCACTTGGGTTGCACTACAAAGTGCCGGGAAACAATACCCCATTTTGCATGGGACCATGAGTTGTAAGCCTATGTACAGTATCTGGCGCACACGACCACACCTAGGGCTCGGCCTAGCACCATGGTATTCAACTTTGCGAGTCCAGCAATTTTTGCTGTACTCAACGGCATTCAGAGCCCTCGGAGCTCAGGGCAGGTCTACTGGTCACTTGGCTCATCAGAGAGGCTCATGAATCGCACCGCAAATGGGCCATCAATGTCGTCGGGGGAGGCGCACTCGCGCTTGACCATCGGCATCTCCCATATGACTTGCAAGATTTCCTCCTTCAGCTGATTGAATCTCTCCTCCGTCGAAGTGCGCACTTCGATGTGGCAACACCAACTCAGAGCGATTGCTCCCCCGCAAATCAGATCCGCCCTCACCTCAGGGGAGCTCGAGTACCTCTGATTCACGGCGTCTGCGATGGGCTTCGTCCGGCTTTCGGTGTACTTGTTGCCCACGAGCTTGTTGCAGAAGTTTCCCATCGGCTTCCCACGGAGTCTTGGCCGAGCGAGGGTACAAATCGACTGCTCCCTGGGCCAAATGTAACGAATGGCATGCACAGTCATGCCTTGGGGAAATGTGGCAAGAGCCCTTGACCAAAGCTCACTACAAAGCAGGGGGGCATGAATTTCTACAATGAGGATAGCCCTGTGCCCCGTGCTGCCTCTGCAGAACCTGACACGGATCAAGACTCGGAACCTTGAGACTTCGCTGGAAAATGGCCTCCCTCTTCTAATATAAAGGGACCTTCCTTTCATGTTAGTCTGTGACAGGCCACGTGATCTGTCCTTTTGGTCCCGGAAAAAATGGTTTGTGCATCCGGGGAACCGCTTTTGGTTTTGACAGGAAAGGAATCCTACGGGCAATGGACCAAGCTTACGGGCAGACTTTCTCGCGCCTGACTTCTCGGCGTGGCCTCAGGGCATTGGGCTTCTCAACTAGGGATGGCCGAAGCCCCTGGCGGGTTTCTTATGGGTTTCCCATGCGATTCCGATGGTTTCCCATGAGTTTCCCATGGGATTGTTGGGTTTCCCGCGGCTTTCCTATAAGTTTCACATGTTGCACCTATCAAATGGACCAATTTCTCCCCTTGAAGCCGGCCATGGTTACGTTGGGCGCCACTCCCAAAAGATTGGATTCATGCGTACTCCCCTTGTATTGCTTGGAGCGATGTTCAATGCTTGCCTGTTTGCCTGCTTGCCTTGCAACCCAACTCAAACATTTCACTGCCAAACACCCCGATTCTTCTACTCGTTTCCATGGCTTGGAGGGTTCTCTACAGGCCTCGCACTGGAAACTGCGAAGCCAGCACGACAGAAACGCTGTGTCACTGTCAGGACCTTGTCCGAGAAACATAAGCACGAACCTTCCGCGGGCTCCAGGTCGCAACTCCCTGAAGTCCAAACCAAATTTGCGGAGTGACGACGTGACGCTGCTTGCTACGCACCTGGCTATTGAGCGACTTAGCTAGTTCCTTAGTCAGTGAGTGAATTCGTCGGTCCGAGCGGGCGGGTGCGTGTATAGTATGGAGTTGTCCTTGAAGCAACACAACTTGATTGTTGTTTCTGTAGTATACTGGACTTTCTCTTTGGTTTTGCAACACGTGGGTCTGTTTGTTTTTAGGGGACCCTTCAAAATGGTAGTTTTCCTTTGATGTCGCTTTAAAAGCAACAAAAAGGGGCACCCAAACAAAAGAAACACCCATATTACAGCACCTGCCTCAAACTTCTTGTTTGGCACCAGCATGCACCAGCACCGCACCAACTTCCTACGGATGGCTGAGAGACAAACCTCACGCGCAGCTGATATCAAAAGCAATCGGCAACATGTCTTCTATAACTCGCATCAAACGGGGGCTGCTCCAAATAGGAGTCCCCTAAAATGGATGGCTTCCTGTTGCTTCCCTTGAACCTACCAACCAACAGGGGGCGCACCATTTTGAGAAAACTCCCAACCATCTACCGCGCTTTCGGAAAAATAGGTGATCATTGTCCGGACAGATCTCTTGCACCAACGAATCTTTGAGTCTTGGCCTCCCTGCGGGCTTGAAGTCAATCTCTCCATCCTGGCCGAGTCGCAATCAACCCAAATGGAGTGTCCGAGACTCCAAGACTCGGAGATTGAGCCTTGCTTCTCACTGGAAGCGTTTTGCTTTCATCTTGAGCTCACCCCTCCCTCCTTCCCTCTCCCTCTCCGTCTCCCGCTCCCTCTCCCCCTGCACCCTCCCTCCCCCTCTCTTTCTCTCTTTCTCTCTTTCTCTCTTTCTCTCTTTCTCTCTTTCTCTCTTTCTCTCTCAGTCTCCCTCGCTCTTCCCTCTCTCATCTCCCTCTCTCTCTCTGTCTCCCTCCCTCTCTCTGTCTCTCTCCCCCTCTCTCTCTCAGTCTCCCTTGCTCTCTCTCTCTCTCTCTCTCTCATCTCCCTCTCTCTCTGTCTCTCTCTCTCTCTCTCTCTGTCTCCCTCCCTCTCTCTCTCTCTCTCTGTCTCCCCCTCTGTCTCTCGGTCTCCCTCGCTCTCTCTCTCTCTCTCTGTCTCCCTCCCTCTCTCTCTCTCTCTCTGTCTCCCCCTCTGTCTCTCGGTCTCCCTCGCTCTCTCTCTTTCTCTCTTTCTCTCTTTCTCTCTTTCTCTCTTTCTCTCTTTCTCTCTTTCTCTCTTTCTCTCTTTCTCTCTTTCAATCTTTCAATCTCTTTCTCTCTTTTTCTCTCTGTCTCTCCCTCTCTCTGTCTGCCTCTCTCTCTGTCTGCCTCTCTCTCTCTCTCTGTCTCTCTCTCTGTCTCTCTCTTTCCCTCTCTCTCACGGTCTCCCTCCCTCTCTCCCTCTCTCTGTCTCCCTCTCTCTCTCTGTCTCCCTCTCTCTCTCTGTCTCCCTTCCTCTCTCTCTCTCTCTCTCTCTCTCTCCCCCTCTCTCTCTCGGTCTCCCTCTCTCTCTCTCTCTCATCTCCCTCTCTTTCTCTGTCTCCCTCCCGCTCTCTCTCTCTCTCTCTCTCCCCCTCTCTCTCTCTCTCTGTCTCTATGTCTCCCTCTCTCTCTTCTTCGAGGGTGGATCGAGTCCAACCTGCAGCTATTGAATGTGATATCATCCCAAAGGGGGACAAATGGGTCAGCGCCAACATAAACCAAGACCATCTGAACGCCGCAAACCCAAGTCGAAGTCTTCACTTCGCCCTACGGAGATTGGCTTGTGAGTGCCATGTCTGGCCTCCCGACTTAGGAAACCTTGCACATCAAAGCGTCATGTTGTCCGAGCGACACCAACGCCACACCAGGACACTGTGCAGGGTTGCATACAAAATTATGCTCCCCCCCCCCCATGCCCCCAGCTCAGCCTGCCCTTTGGCGCCTTTGGTGACCATTTATACAACAAATGTTTGATAGAGATATAGGTTTGTCTCGAAATAGATATGCAGCCGCCAGAGTGGGCGGCTCAGAGTGGGCGGCTTCCGAGCGAAGTGTGGTTCAGCCCCGCCAACAGGGACACGCACGCGCGCCTTGTCCTTCTTTCCACGCCGCTCCATGGCCGACAAGGATGGCTGCAGTGAGTCGTCAATTGGCGATCTGGTAAGGAGATTCTCCCGGGCGCTTTTCGTATGAAGTTGGCAACGGCCTCTGCTTTGCTCAGATCTGCGAAGTGGCTTGCACCAGCCCTTCTACCCTCTAGTCGCAAGCAAGGAGTTTGGCCTATGAGTCGTCTCATGTTTCTCTTTTCTCGGAGCCTACACCGGATGGCATCGGACATGGATGCATGGAGGTGATCCAAAGTCACTTCCACCTTAGACAAACCAACATCAATCCCAGCCAATCTGCAGTCGCAACAGGTACCTCGGAGACCTCCGCCGGCCGGCAGCGCATGAAGTACCTGCAAAATCTGACGGCCTTTGGCACACGAGAGCTTCATGAGGCTCATCCTACGCGATGCCCTTGATTCCTGATGCAATTGGGGGACACGCGTGAGGTATATGTTTAAGGGTACCGTTTTTAAGGTTGGTTTATATCAAAAGAACATCAAAAGGAAAACCACATTTTTTGGGTCGCCCTATATTCACGTATACCATGACATGGCTGCAACTGGTGTGTGGGCCAGGGAACACACAGGGAGACCTCGAATGTGCTCATCTGCTCGTTGGTTTCTGGCAACATGGCCATGTGGCTCACTTGCTCATCCCTAAACGACAAACCTGGTATGGCGCTTGACGGCTGTGAACGGTGTAGACATGCTGCCAGTTCCAAACAAAGCCTGTGCTCCGCCTGTGATGCAAGGATATTGCGCATTGGGTCGTGGATGGCCAGGGGACTGCAACATGGAGAACGTTCGACGCACGGTTTGCTCAGTGCTTGAACGTTGAGAAGCCAAAAAGAGACACGGCCTTCCCCGCGACTTTGAGGACCCTGGACATCCCGTTTGGGCACTGCCCGCTGCAGTCACAGTCCGGGGATGTTGCCACATAGGTCGTGCAGACCTGGGCGAGCGGCCAGCGCGCTTGGGGAACATGAGCCATGGGTCAATCTCTATAATCTCTATACATATATATATACACATTCTTCTATTTATCTATTTATTTGTATACATATATATACATACATATATATATGTGTGTGTCAAAGTTGGTCCGAAACCCCTGGCGCAAGGCTAGACACATGGTCCTTGGCGGAGAGAGCCAAAGCACAGCCTCACCTTTTGCACATATTTTTCTTGGTCATCTTTGAAAGGCTCGGAGGAACCCTGACATGTCTGGTGAGAACTCGAGGCCATGACCGCGAAAGTCCCCCAAAGCAACCCACCACGTCAAGTAACCCCCGGTGTGTTTGAGGATGGGAACTTGGCGAGTCGAATGGTCCAGTCGGCTGCGCTCCAGGTCACCCCCTTGCACAAACGATGAATATTGACTGTTGCTCACATGCCTCTCTGAATCTGGACGTGCAAAATGCGGCCCGCCGCCCCGATCTGGGGTGCCCGCACATTTTGGGCATGGGTTTATGGGTTGACTTCCTTTGAGTTGATCGTGCTGGATCACGAGCGTCACACCCCTCAATACAGAAAGCCGCCATCTGGTGGCGAACAAGCAACAACAAAACCATCTCTGGGCAAGATGAGCATCAATATGCGAAGAAAGATGGGCGGCACAACAAGTAGCCAACCTCTCTGCCTGTTTCAGGGCACGTTTGTAACCAGGGCCTTCTGCGAAAAAAAAAAGGCTTTGGCCAGAGGGAGGACGATGGAAAGTTGGAAGGACGATGGGTAACAAAGTAAGTGAGACAGTCAGGACTGTGCCATCTTCCTCTGGATCAACGCAATCTTGTTGCAGCCCCGTTTTGGAGATTGACTCGGCAAGCGGTGCAAATGTCCAGGCCCCCGTCCCCAGTTAGAGGAAAGAACTCGCACACAATGCGGTAACAAAAACCGGTTTGAGGACTCAATGTTTGGAGGTCTAATGTTGATTAGCTCAGAGGAGAAATATCATGCAGCTGACATGCTTGGTTGCGCGCTTGGATGCCAATGCTTGTCTGCTGACAGAGATTTCTCAATTATCTAGAAAAGAATTAAAGATAGGTAAGAAACATCCATCCCTACGATGCAGCCTCCCATTCGGGGGTTTAGAGGAGTGATTTTCACGAAGCCCACTGAGCTGCAAGCAGCACCCTCCTGTGGGGACTTGAAGAGCAACTTCGCCAGCGGCCGGAAAGCTGCGTAGACCCTGAGTGGGTATGAGTTGTGTGTGTTTTGCTATTTGTATACACTATGCCCATCTACTTGTACGATTCGTGAGGAAGATGTCCTCATGCACGCAGTTCGGAGCGTGTTTCGGTAGGCCCAAGGCCATGTTTGGAACAAATCATGTGAGCCAAGGGCACCCAGGCATACGTGCCACAGCTCGGCTGCCACAGTTCAGCAACGAATGACGCGAAAGTTCCAATTGCTGGGTGAAGGGGGTCCTTTATTCCTTTGCGAACATTTGGCAAAGAAACGGTGCTTTTCCAAAGCCACGTAGGACACAAAGTGCGCAAACATGTTGGGTTGGATGCCCTACTTTAACACAAACCCACTAGAAAAGCATCCATTTGATGCTTCTCAAGGGATATTCTTGAAAAAACAACTTGTGTGTGTGTGTGTCTGTGTGTTGCGTTGAGGTTAACCATTTTCACCTTGGTTTTAAGGGAAACCAAGAGGAACCCCGGGTCCCTGTATCCCTATGTTGACACCCATTTGGAAGGATACCCATGTATTCCATCGTCAAGCCCTGGCCTCACTTAGTTCGAAGACTCCAGGGGCAACGCCGCTGGTACACCAAAATGCTCAACCTTAAACAAGGAAGTCCGGAAAATCGGTTCCTTTTTGGCAGAATTCTCTATGTTTGCACTTTAGGTGGTTTCAAACATCAGCTTGTGGGCAAATTTCAAGTGAGGTTCCTGTTTGAAGCATCCGGATCAATGCACGTGGACCGGGGGTTCGGCAGAAGCAGCAGCGGGTGCATCTCGTTCATGATCTGTCACTCTGGGCTCGGACTGTTTCTGTGTGTGTGACTTGGGGACCTCCAAGCTGTGGCAAATACCAGACCCAGAGGGTAGTACAACAGGATGGCTTTTAAAAGTAAAAAGGGGTCTAAGCGCCTCCGGTACTTGGACCCTCTCAAAAGGGGCCCAACAAATTGAACCTCGCTCGCCAAGACTTGTCAAGAAAATGGCAAACGATGCCCTCAAGCGGAGGAGAAATTCTATACTGTTTTGCTTGTGTCGCAGCCCCAACACAAATTGAACGGAAGCAAAACGGAAACTCATGAGACACATACCAAGAGCGATGGGGTGGTGTGTGCAAGACGGAGCGCCCCGCAACTCGCGTCCGGATTGCATGTCTCAAACTGGGGACAAGGCGGGCTAAAGGCGAATTACAATGATCGCACCTCATGTATATACCTCGTCACCTAAATCTTCCCTAGACACTAGCCCTTCATCTCAATAGGCTCACTCTGAAATGAGCGCCTCTCCTGGTCACAAGTCCATTTCAGGCAAATGTCTGACCAGTAAACCATTTGCCTGCGTCAGGACCTCGCCCGGGTGCACGCAGTTCACGCGGATCCTATAGGGCATCCGCTCGGAGAAAAACGGTTCGAACAGCAAGTGGTGTCGGTCGGTCAGAGAGGGATCTCTTGTCCCACACAAACGTTTGGAACTTGCATGGGCTCTGACTTCAGTGCAGTCACTGGCTTGTTGGAAACCTCCGCTTTGCTCAGCTCAACTTTCCTCTGCTCACTGAAGGACAGTCAAAAAAGAAGTGGCTTTGATTCGGCGCCTGCTATGGAATCTTGCCTGGACATAGGGATTGGGAATTGTATTTCTATTAACCGAATGTCTTGTCATGGCTGCCGACTTCCCTTCTAACGTCTAACGAGTTGACACCCCGTGGTTTGACCATGGCCAATGAATCACCTGCTGGGCTGAAAATATGGTCGTTGTTTCCAGTTTCACATCAAACGCATCATTCACGCGCATTTCGCCTTTGCTCCGAGCCCCCGGCCGGGAGGCATCTTGTTTGCGCAGGCGCGCTGTCAGCTCGCGGCAGAAGAGCAGGTTGGCCAACTTGGACCTCGGGAAGGGTTGGATTCCGGTGGGTTTTGGGTGGGTTGGCTAGTCTAGGTGGGTCTTGGATGGGTGAGTCCAGTGTAAGTTTCGCGCTGGGGAGAAGTCGATAGGTTGGACTTTGGCTGTCCCCTCACAAGCACAGGTAGTTTGGTGCCCACGCTCAAGATTGGCTTGCAATCTTGCCTATGACCGACTTGGTTTTCTTTTGGGGGGAAGGGAGGTTCAATGGAAAGCTCCACGCAAAGAGAACCCCTTTTTCAAACAACCCATGTTGCTGGAGGTTGACGTCCTCCTCGTTTGGGAAAGAGAAGGGACTTCGCTGCTTCATTGTAGCAGGAACCTTCCTTTTCTGCGCATCCTTTCATGAGGGCCGATATCGCGAAGGCGATGCGGATCATCTGGTCTATCCTGGTCTCAGGTTCGCATGGCACTCCAAAAACCTCAAGTTTACGTCACCCCACACCAGTCCTAAGCGAAGCCCGGAACTTCCAAGCGCCCGCTCAGCTCCCAGCTGGCCGTAGGACCGGAAAATGGCGTAGGGCTTCGCCTCTCGCCCATGTCAAGCAAAAGCCATGCCAAATGTGACGGAAACGAGATCCCCGCTGGTTCTTGGGAAATTGCGAGGTTGCCCTGTTCTTACCGAGAAGGAATCTATGGAATAAGGGTTGGCAACAGAAGGCCTAAGGAGCATGGTCCGGATCGCACTGGCCAAGTTGCCGACATGCCAAAGGACTACAAGCTCTGGACACGAAATCTTTTGGCGATGGACTTCTGAAAACAGAAAGAAGCCATTGGCTGATTGGTTTGGACGGTCGAGTTCTTGACTCAGCTAGGCTCACACGGAAGCTGCAGCAACTCGTAACTCCAACCTCCCGCCCATCATAATTAGGCAAGTGACTGATTCGAGCCGATGAATCAAACATTACTATGCACCAACTCCTGGCCATCTTTTGGTCTCTTTAAGCTCGAAGGAAGGCATGATCCTATACGCGGTTGCCCGAAATTCCACCATGACACGTTCGCAGTTTAGAGTCATGCAGTTCTGGATGGGCGACAAACACCTCTGGAACCTCAGAAGCCTTGGGAAAACCAGCTGGAAACATCCGCGTGACAAACACGGCTTCCCTTTCTGAGACCGTCTGAGCGCAGGGCCAAAAACTGATCCTTCTCGAAGCCGTCTCTCACCGAGACAAGCTGGCGCAGCACAAAGATGGAAAGCGGATCCGGACATGCTACTGTGCGTGTGTGGTGCGCGCGCGCACGCGCGTGCGTGCGTGCATGGGTGTGCGCGTGCGCGTGTGAGCCTTTCGTGCGTGTGTGCGTACGCGCCTGTTTGCGTGTGCTCGTGTGTGGGTGTGCGGGTGTGTGGGTGAATGGGTGTGTGCGTGTGCGTGTGCATGTGCGCATGTGAGCGTGTGAGCGTGTGTGGGTGTGTGGGTGTGCGCGTGTGCGTGTGCATGTGCGCATGTGAGGGTGTGAGCGTGTGGGTGTGTGCGTGTGCATGTGGGTGTGTAGGTGTGTAGGTGTGTGTGTGTAGGTGTGTGTAGGTGTGTGTGTGTAGGTGTGTGTAGGTGTGTGTAGGTGTGTGTGTGTGTAGGTGTGTGAGGGTGTATGTAGGTGTGTGTGTGTAGGTGTGTGAGGGTGCGTGCGTGCGTGCGAGGGTGCGTGGGTGCGTGCGTGCGTGCGTGAGTGGGTGGGTGGGTGGGTTGGTGGGTGGGTGGGTGTGTGTGTGTGTGTGTCCGTGTGTGTGTCCGTGTGTGTGTGTGTGGGTGTGGGTGTGGGTGTGGGTGTGTTTGGTGTCGCAAAAAAGCAATCGAGAAATTATGCTGGCTGGTATGAGTCATCCGGCCTGAATCCTTCGAATAAACAAATGCGACCAGAAACCAGAACAATTGCAGCAATTCACCCAGCCTGGCGACCCTGCTGTTTTTCCCGGTGAACGATGTTGTAGTATATTATGCATTGGGCTGGCAAAGTCGAGTTTGCATAGCCTCGCCAAAGTCAAAGACGTCGTAGGAATAGCAAATGTTGGAGCCTCGGTACAAAAGAGTCTGATCCTTGCACCACAGCTTTCGTGCAATGCTGCACCAAAGTTCATCTACCCAGGTCCTCACGGCGCCATGCGGGCTTTGTCAGGGTTTGCCTTCCGTTTGCATGGGTTTGCCTGGTCAGAGTTTCCACGATGCCCTTCCCGCACCACAACCCCAATATGGGTATACAAGTATTCGGAATCCATGCTTTGTAACTACCATATGCCGGGCTTGGGCTCTTAGAAAGTCCCTCTGTTTCCCACCCAGGGATTTCAAGATCACTCACGCGTATCTGGGCATGCGGCCAACCACCACGACCTGGGTGAAGGAGCAAAAGTAGGGTTAGGGGGAACGAACATTGGAGAACTTGTCGCCTCTCAGCCTGGAACCAACATCCGTCCACATGCGTGGGACCCGCGTGGATCCCGTCCAAGAAAAGTTTGGCCTCTCGCTTTCCCTAAGGCCGTTGAAAAGGGGGCTCCCCAATTTGAGGATGCGCCCGCGTGATTTACCGATCAGATGGCGGCTCCTGAAATAGGAACGGACCCGGAAAATGGCAGTGACCCCCTTTCTAGCGTCCGATGCTTGTTGAAAAGCCCAGGGCTCCAAGGGTTCCAGACGCTCTTTTTGGGCCAAGTGCGGCGCAACGTAAAAGAGGCGCAACGTGAAAATGGCCCACTCATCGCCCGACACTGGCGATTCGCGAGTTGAGCAAGTCTCATGACCAGAGGGGCTTGATCAGGAGGAAATCCACACTACTCAGAACCTTCTTAGAAGGTGACCTTCTTGGAAGGGGTTCTCAGAAGGGTTCTGACATGTTCTGACAACCTTTCTGGAGACCTCTCCTGATTGATGGAGCTGCGCGCAAGGCAAATGCTTGCGTTGTTCAAAACCAGTACCGGGGGCAAAGTCATCATTGCAATGTTCCGAATTGAAGGTTGATGCTATAGACTACGTTCAAAGTGCAACAACTGAGCAAATGCTGAGCATCCACTACCTATGGTGCAAGCACACATCAGCTTTGTGCTGCAGAACGATACCTACAGCACACATCACGGAGAATACTGCAGTGCGACAATATCGAACACATGTTTCAGCTCCAACACGCCGTACTGCTACCTCTTAAAAGCGAAGACTTGCCCTCGCAGCGATACGAACCTTATCTCTTGGGCCCAAGCCCGAAGGTCACGCTCCTGGCCAATTCAGTCGGCGACTTCTCAGGTTTCCAAGGGGGAATAAATGGGTAATTAGAAGTACATCTCAACAGGTCAGAGTAAGACCTCTCCGGCAAAGAAGAAGCTTAAATTAAATCCTGCACTTTCCCTATGGAACAAAAGGGGGCCATTTCAGAGGAAAGATTCCACCAAGCGACGGTTGTGTCCGTGTCTTCCTTCAAGTCTCAGGACAATGCGCATCCCAAATTGGAAGACCCTTCGCGGCACTTCCACGTGCGCCAACTCAAGGATTGGGCCAGGGTGGAACCTGCCCAATATCAGCGGCCCTTGGACAATTTGACACCTCACAGACCTCACACCCCCAGCTATGGTGTGCAACCCTCACGCTCTGGTGCACTTCTTTGACCATGTCAACATTCTTGCATATATCCAGCTCGATCGAATGCATTGGAATCTGGGCCTCCAACGCTTCTGGAATTTGTTTGCTTTCTGGATCGTTGGACTGCCGCTGAAGAGGGTTCAACATCTACATCTACTCACCTGGGACAGCACGAAAGGCAGAGTTCGGCTTCCGAGATGTCGATCGTAATTTATTATTCCAAGGATGAATCACTTTGTTCTACAGAACCTGGAACCCTTGTTGAGAGAGAGAGAGAGAGCGAGACATGCACGCAAATACATCCGACACCAAAACAATACAGAGGGCAAAGCAGAAGCAACAAACAAAAGTATCAGAACTGAACGGAGCAAAAAAGAAGAGAGGAGAACAGAAAGGTCAGAGAGACAGAGAGACAAACAAACCAAATGACGCGCCGCGCATGTTCACACGTGATACAAAGCAATTCATAGAAATGCAAAGCAATTGCAAACACAAATCAGCAAAACGGCAACACTGGCGAAGGCAACATGAACCAACAACCAGAGAGCACAAACCACAAATCCACAACGATACGAAGGAAAAGAAACACTAACAAGCACACCAACCAACCAACCAACCAAACAACCAAACAACCAAACAACCAAACAACCAAACAACCAAACAACCGAACAACCGAACAACCGAACAACCGAACAACTAAGACACACACAACCAATCTAGCCAGCCAGCCAGCCAGCCAGCCAGCCAGCCAGCCAACCAACCAACCCAAACCAAAGCAGTCGTGCACGAACGCGTGCGCACACAAACGCATGCATGCACGCACGCACGCAAGCACCTCCCCACCAGCACACAAACACACACACACACACCTAGCCTGCGCCAGAAACTCTGGCAACAGCAGCTGGACCTGAACCGGCTAAGCATCAATCGAACTTTACCCATCCACGGGCATCCACGTCCACCCACTTGCCGTGGTCGTTTGTTGACCCCCTGCGATAAGTGCAGATTTTCTGTCGGGATATGGCAAAACTCGCCAAGTTATGACACTTATGACAAACAAATGTCTGCTCTCAGCACTAGATTGCGCCAACCTGAACAAAGGGATCCCCACTCCCGCATGAGAGTTTGGCTTACCCACGGATAACGTGACTACAATTAGTCAATAATTAGTCTTGTCAATCTCTGCACAAGTGATCTTCGCAAGAAAAAATATTAAGTTCTAAATGCAAAAAAAACAAGTATCCGTGACACGTTGAAGGCGCACCTCCTTGTTGGCTCTAGACCTTAATGAGCTTCCATAACGCTGACCGGCAGGTATCAAAGTGGGAGGAACTTCCCTATTGGACGTTGACGAAAGTAACGTTTCGCGGCGGATGGGCTCCATTGCGCCAGTTTTTGTCCTCGCTGAAAAATCGCCAAGCCGCCGCGCCCCTATCCTCCAGAGTTGCCAGAGCCGGCGGCGCACGAAACTCGGGGCAGGTGCTTAGCAATGCGCCCGGAGGCCCGGGGCAAAAGTTTAGCAAACATTGCTTGCGTGCTGCTGTGCCTGCTTGAGATCTTGGTGGTTCATCTAATGCTACTTGACTTCTCATGCTCATGGTGTGCCGTTCCCGTGCAAATTTTATCCGCCGAATCCTGCGCGCCACACTGCGCCTTCTTTCAAACTGCTGGTTTGTTTCCAGAGTGGAAGAGCGCAGATGTGTGAATTCTGGTTGACGGTGTCATCTCACTGATGTTCTTTTCGCCCTGCCTTCTCTACAACCCCGGATTTGCATTGCTCTGCAAGCTGCAATGCTATCTTGCGTGCTTTTGAAAAGTGTCTCAATTGCCCTTGAGCACTCTCAGCGTTGCAAACTGCAATCAAGCCCACGAACATCTTTGAATCAATTGAACCAAAAAACGTTCCATGCCGTGCTGAAGGCCAAGCAAAATTGGAGAGGCTCCTTTGAAGCCTGGGGATTTTTCCGTGCTCTGGATTTCCACGCTCCGGCTCTATGTTGCGTGGGTTGGTTTTGATTCTGACTGGTGGGCCTCCATTTCTTTTCAGGTGTGTTGCTTGCAAGTAGATTGTCTCAAAATTTGGTACCCTCCAACACGGTTAGCTTCCGGTGCTCGTTAGACAACTCGATTTGGTCCCACACCCAAGAAACAAACCCAATTCCGCTGATGTGAGGCAGCGCCTTACACATGCAAAAAATCAGCACGGACCCTCAGGTTCAAAATGTGTCGGGACTGTTCTCGCAGCGTCCCCGCGAACATCCCCACCACATGGAGGCAGGTGACGGCTGTGGGACAATCAGGGACAGCTAAGCGACATTGGTTTGTCGGCTCGGCTATCTTGTTGGTTCATGTCTGATCAATTGTAGGCCCGCTTGCATTGGCAGTTGCATGGGGCATTGGCAGTTGCATGGGGGAATCTTCGCCATAAGCGGTTCCGTTTGGCTTCCCTTCAAAACTACCCCATACAAGGCTCTTGGCATCCCGCATCCCAGCACGCGGGCCTCTCCTTCGCACCCGAATCCGGCGAAAGCTTCAGCTTTCGCATGGATCGGCAAGAGTCCGGGCAGGACATAACTTCACAGTGCCCCAACTACGCCCCACTGAGCGCAAACTTCTCTCATGTCCGAGAACGCCTGCCATGCTGGCATTGGGGCACATGGCGAAACATTGTTCTGGTGTCAGCTAAAAACTAGATTAAGGCTGTATCCGCTAACACAGCCAGCCCATGCGGGGCCAGATTTACGGTGGAGCTTACGCGCAGCTTACGCAAGCACTGTTCGGCATGGTTTTTGCGCGGCACAAACACCAGCTGAAGAGAAGCCTTCTCGGTGCAAATCTAGTATGTAAAGTTCGCTTTCACAGCTCCTGCTCGAAAGTTGCACGGTGCCGTCAAATAGTACACCAAGTGCACTTCGTCAACTCCGTCTCAAACGTCGCAACTTCTCCCTCGGCAACGTTGCAGTGTGAAAGTGGCACAGAAAGGGAAGAGCCTCTTCTCCTTAGGCAAATAAGATAGAACAACGTAGCCATTTCACACTGAATACGTGCGCCTAGGCCGAAACGAGATAAAACAGGCGCACTCCTGCATCGAAACAGAAAAGGTTGGAAAAATGGCAAGAAGGTGCAGGCCACCGTTGGGCCAGCCGCTTCCCAGACTGCTGTTGCCACGTCATTCTCGTTCGAATGCTCCTCCCAGCGCACCCTCCTGTTCGCACATTGGATGCTCTGGCTTTCAGATTTGCATAGTGGTGGCCAACAATGAGTGCCGAGGAGGTGCCGTTGGTAGACCGGCAAAGCCGCACAGGTCGTGCGCCGAAAAAGTTGAAGGCTTGGCAAGAAGAGTTGAAGGGAAGGTGGCGACCCCACGGTGGCGAGGGAAAGTTGCTGGAATGCTCAGCCTCTGCGTGCGTTCGAGTCAAGTGGTTTGAATTGTTAGCAACGTTAGTGGCAGCTTGCCTTCGCTGCTGGCTGCTTTGGGTGTGAGCGCATCTTCGCCCCTGCGTCGGGGCCTCGAGGATGGCCAAAGGCATTTGAATAGCCTGGCGTTTGATCTGTCGCACGCTGTCAGCATGATTATTGTACAAGCACCGCTCGATAAAGATCAAACTCAAACTCGGAAGTCGATGGAAAGCTTTCTTGATCACCGCTGATGTAACTTCAAGCGGCGAGGGCCGGTGGGAACCAGCGAAGGAGCTCCCGGATTCTCTGACCGGACACAAGCGCCTGGCCCGGCTGGCCGGAGAGCTGTGAGTCCACACAGGGCAGGGGCGAAACTCGGGTCCTGACAGAGGGATGCTACCGAGGCAGCCTGCCACACTTGTGGAGGGCGCATGCTTGGCTGTCAGGAAGACGCCATTGATTCCCTACCAGAAGTACCTATAGGCTGATGGACCCGATCCAATCAATCAAAACATGGGCAGTTCCGAGTCGGTGCCACCGTCCAAGACGAAGTCGGGAGGCTGAACAGCCTACCAAAAGTCAGAGAGAAAGCGAGGCGCAGAACCACGTAGCTTGTGCGAGGTGGTCGCTGTGGCCCTGCCACGTCCGAATCGTCATCCGGACCCATTCCTCACCTGTCCGCCACAATGTACCTTGGCAAGCTTTATATTCATGCACCGTCACCCCAGGCATATCCCAGCCTCCAAGATGGTCAGAAGCAGGCTCATCGATGCACATGCTCCTTGGCCTCTTGTGACACTGTGTAGAGAGCTCCCAGGAGTGCGGTCCACAAAGCGCAAATTCAAGTGGCTGAGCCGCGCTTCCTCTTCGGGCTGCTACCCTCCCTAGATTTGCCTGCTTTGCTTCAGCACTGCTTTGCGTAGCGGCCATAGCCAACGCAGCTCCAGCATTGCCGGACCTCTTCGGCCTGCCCTTGCCTTTGGACACGATGTTTACTGCATGAGGGTGTTCCCTGCCAGCCTTCTTCGGCCCAAGAGCGCCTTGCCTCAAATTGAACATTGTTGTCCTCCCCTGTTGTGAAGCTCACCAGGGGCCGCCTCACAATCTCCTCAACTCCGTCCACTTGGTCAGCCAAGTTCGCGTGGCGTGGCTCTGATAGCCCGACCCCTGTGGTCTATCAAGCCCTCACCCTTTGTGGCGCATCCTCTGGCTCGTGCCCTGCAATTGCTGCGTCATGAAGGCCATCTGCTCCTGGTGACAGATCAGCATCTACTGTTGGACGCATCTGGGCTTGGATTTGTCGCCGTAGGGGATGTGCTTCCTGTAGGCTCCGTCATCCTCAGGTCGAAATAGTAAGTAGCGATGGTTTCTAGGTCCTTGGTTCGACCGGATGAATCAGGCTAGCATGATCAATCAAGGGATACCTCTTTTGCTCGGACCACACATGCTCCGGGAGCGTACAAGTCGGACCACTTAAGAAACAACCTCAAATCATGTGTCATTGCGTCCGAAATATCTGCGGAGCCAGCAACTCGCCGGCATATAGCATCGAAAAGCGTAATCATATTGCAAGTTGCAAGTGATGATTGCTACATTACCCTTGCTACATTACCCAAACCAGCGAGTGAAATGATACGGGCCTGTAAGCCAATCCAATGCCAGCAATACTCAATGCCTGCAATCGAAGTGCATGCACATCCAGGATGTTCAGATTGACAGCGACACCACTTGGCTGTTTCATTGCCATGGTGGCTTGAACCAGGAGCTAAGCTACAAAGTCGGCAAAAGGTTCCGAAGATGATAGTCATTTTCCCAAAACCTCCTGCGCACTTCCAACACTGTAACGCTGTCGGAAAGATGGGCTCCTGAGTTCTCAATCGCCGCCAGGTGCGGCAAGAATCTGCAGATCCACTAAAAAGTCGACTGCCTCCTCCAATCCGCAATCCACTTGCTGAGCGGGTTGGCCGAAAAGTCATCAAACTATGGGGAAGCGAGACAACATCGTCCCAGCTTAACGGCTCGTAAACCACAACTCCCGTACCGGCCCCCTCAAACTACTCTGAGTGGCAGAATTACATGGGATATGTAAAGCCTGGGTCCTTCTAAAATGGGACACCTCCACCAGTCAACAAATTGATGTTTAATCCGGGTTCCCATCAGTCGCACTCACATCACACTGCCATGGGGCGGCATCTCATTCTGCTACCGCTTGCCAAGGCATACCATGTCATACTGTCCAGCGGCATGTATTGCCAAATCATGACATATTATCACACATGTTGCATCGCCTTTGATCACACCAACGCAAGCATAACATCACACCGTAACCAACACCGCATGTCACATAATGTAACTGTGTGTTCCAGCACAGGCATCACCCCCACAAAATTCCACGGCATCGAATCGCTTCATGTTGTTTCACGCGGGGCCTTTCAAGGGTGCAGTCGCATTTCCAGCTGAAACTCGTGCTTGTGCTCCGGCCCTATCTGGTGCCATTGGAAAACCGTTGTGCTGTCCCGACCTCAAGACACGCTTTGCTTAGGACCCGAAGTGGATTCTAAGCAGGATTTGGCTTACACCAAAGGACAATGTGTGTAGCATTCGAAAGGGCCCCGTTTGTTAGAACCCAGCTAGGGTTACCATTTGCTATCTCAAGACAAAATATATTCAATTGCATCCCATGTACTAACAATCAACCCCAACCATTAACACTCAGAATGGCGAGCTTGAAAGCTGGGAGTTCGAAATAAACTTTTGCAACGTTCGGTTTCTCGGCACCCCAAGGAAAGGCTCCTAGACACTTCCCAGACATACCTATGAGAGTTCTGTAAACTCGTTTGGGCAAAGTCCCAATGTCTCTCCGGATGCACACTGCTGCGGCTTTGAGGCAGTCACGTCCGTAAGCGCTTTCCGATAGAAAATTGAAGATTCAATCGGCATACCCTGCAATGAGCCTGACACGCGCGCACTCTGACCTGAAACTGGAAAGAATCTGCACAAAGTACATGTCACCAGAGTGACCAGAGTGAACTAAGGGATCTCCAGGAACAAACTCATTGGTATTCGGTCGCTTCTCCTATGCGGTCGCCATAAATCTTGAAAAACCAAGATCCAAGGCCCACTGACACTTGGCAACGAAGCGACGCTAAGTTTCAATCGCAGTGACCTGCTTCGCAAAATAGCTGAGCTGGTTCTTCTGAAGCTAAGGGAAGGAAGGAACGGAATCGTCAAACATCCGGTTTCCACTGGTATCCAGCGACCTGCAAGCAACCTCCAACGCCTTTTGAGCAACTTGGGTGAATATAGATAGCACTGGGCTCAGATAGGTTCCACTCGCATACGCGATCTATGTTCGTTCCAAAAGGACACCTAGGGGGTTTCTGATCCATTGCTCGAATCACTGCACGCGCAAGCTGATGGCAAGGACAAAAATAAGACCTCACACTTTTGAGCGAGCGGTCCAAATCAAGAGGAAAGAGCGGACTGTTCAAAATGAGGCTTGGGACAATCCGATTTTCGATAATCTCCATTGGACAACACCAGGTGTACAGTAGCCCCTGTTGTAGCCCAAGGCGTTTGTCTTTGAACAGGCCTTGAAACACCATGTCCAATGCGCAACCCGGCAGTGCAACATTAGCGGCTTCCCTCGAGGAATGGGTGAGCATACCCATCGACGAGCCGGGTAGATCCAAGGGTTCTTTGGCCTCTGAAATGGCTTCGGGTTGCATCAGCCACCTTAACCGCCCCATCACAATGGTCATCCAAAGAAGGGACTAACAGACTCGGTTGTGCAGGGCTCGGTTCCTCGTTCCTTCTCCATGTCACCATCCCTGAGGGTGCTGAAACTTGTCTTCCATCATCAGCCAATATAATCATAGACATGCGGTGCGTTAGGCCAGTCCCCTGTGAGAAAAAACACAGGGATTCGGCATTCCTCGTGCCGGCAAACCTTGTTTGAACCAGATCGAACCACTACTCGAATGATAGGACATGGGACGCCCGCATTTCCGCAGACTTCCTGAGCCACCACACAAAGGGTCCAAGGCGACCCCACCATGGTCACAACACGGGCTTCCCGAAAGACCTGCCGCCACAAGCTCCTGTGTGAGCCATGGTTGACTGTCCCGAAAGAGTGTAACATGAGCATTCCTCCGGAAGCACTCCCGACTCTCCCGGTATGCGTTCGCCCCTTGGCTTCTTGCCGCCAGCCCGACCATTGGGAACTCGATCTGGGGCAGCCCCGCCCTGGATAATTCAAAACTTATACTACCTAGAATGAAGTTGCAGGTCCCCTGGGTACGCGGCCAGCTGAAGCCTGGGTGGTAGTACCAGCGAAAACTCTGCTGCCTGAGGTCCAAGCTCGCACCTTCGAAGTGTGCGAGGCAAGTGCAGTTGGCACTGGGGCCCAAAGGGAAATCACCAATATCATAGTGGACGAGACGGATAGTATCCATCAGGTCCCTATGGACCTCGTGAGGAAAGGGACACTGCGATGCCACTGGACCAAGAGTCACAGGCGTTGGTATGAATTGTCCCTAGTCATGTTCTGTTATACTAAGCCGAATGCTCAAAGCTTTCATCTTCTACATCATGGAACTGGTCCCAATGCAAAGCAGAAACCCGCAGTTCGAATGACCCGGTCGGGCCAAGACGAAGTTTGACGGCCTTCTGCCGGCCATACCCAGCCTTTCAATGCCGAGACTGTTCAGCGAGTCTTTGAGTTTGCGGTTTTGCGTGTGCGTGCGTGTCAATTCAGCGTCAGCTAACCTGTCTCACTAACGATGTTCTCCAGAATCATTCGCTCACCGGTGTATGCGTGCATCCCGACGAATATCCTCGGATCCCGAAAACGCACAACGACAAAGCCATGCCGAAGATCTGAAATTGGACTGGCCTCCAAAGGCTCCAAGTCTCTGGAAGGGCTCAGCTGTTAAAACAAACCTGGCAAAGAAATATACAAACGTCAATCGGACATAGGCTCGACCAAATTTGTGTGTTTGTGTGTGTGTGTGTCACGTCATTTCAGGGGCATGACAGAGCCGGCATTGTTGATAATAACCCTTCAGGGCTCATGCTGCATTTTACGACCCATTTGGATGTTCGGTATTTGCTAGTGCAAGCGGCCCCTAAACAATGGTCGGCTGCAATTGAGCAGTGCCCAAAACCAATCGGCAGTCCGTTCAACCAACATCGCTATCAAGCTGCCTATTCGCCTTACTATAAACTGCATGAAGCCAGGTAGTAGAACCGCTAAACTGGTCGACAATAAAGTGTCTTTGGGCGCTGCTGAGTTGGCTTCCCATTTTCAACATCGCCCGTGCAGGACCCAAGGTTCTAGGAAAGGGCTACTTCATTCAGCGCATATCCACCATGCAAAGCAAGCGTGCAGTCGCATACAAGCACTCAAAGCCGCTTGTTAGCCTCAAATATCACCACTCCCAGGCCCCCAAAGATCTTGAGGTGCAACCGGGGGTGCATTCGTCCCACGCATGTGAAGCACTGGGGCTGTCATCCCGGGCAAGGGTATGACGCTGAATGCGTCGTCGTCGTCGTCATCGGAGTCCTTGGTGAGGTGCCATACATGCTGGAGAAGGCGCATTCATTTTACCCCACAAGCCATCGATTGAAGCACAGGAGCGGGCTGGCCCCCTCTCTGTTTACAGGGAAGCAAAGCGAAAGCGGACTTGACTGAAGCGATTCGACACCACCTGGGCAAAGTGTGGCGTAAGTGGCTCAGATACTGAATGCTGGCATGGGCTTGTCCCCCAAATTCTGATTCGCTTGAATTTCACTCAAAGCCAGATGCTCCAGCTGCTTGAATGATGCCGACGCTTTCCGAGCGACAATCTCTATGTCGTCCTCATCGTGCGCAGGGGCTGAAACCGCCGTTTGCAGCTTTGGCTTTCGCCTCACCAGGCCCTGCGCAGGTGAAATCGAGAAAAACCAAAAGCGAGCTTTGTGTCTGTGCACAGCGCCACATGTTAGCAACATCAAGTCCTGCGAGATTGCCGTGAACGAGCGAATCGCCACCTAGATCATCGTCACAGGAAGAAAAAGTGAAGATGGGTTGAAGGAATGCCGCCAACCACTGATACTTAGTATAAAACTGTAACCTGACATAAATAAGCAAAACAACCAGCACAAGGAGCGAGCGAATTCTTGATTCAAAACTCCCATGCGTTGCAATTTGCATTGCATGGGAACGATTCTGCTTGGGGCAGCTTGCTGCTGGCTGCTCGCAGGGAGCAGGTTTTGTAGACTTCCGTCATTGCGCTTGTCGCGTGAACTCCTTTTTCCAAGAAAGCTAGGGTGCCATTGCATTGACCGATGCTCCAAAGAGCACCAACGCTGATGCAACGCCTAAGGTCGGACATGGCTAGTCTAAGCCTTGCTTAGGGTCAAGGCAGGTAACACACACACACACACTAAACAGCGCTCAGCATCTCAAGTGGCTGAAAAGACTTTGGAAGAAAGGTTGACCATGTCAAATGTTGGGTCCAGAACTAAACACACATCTGAGCAAATCACAGCAACTCACCAGCCTGAAACTAGTAGTAGGGAATCGCAAGAAACAAACCTCCATAACTTGTGAGGTCTCAAATCTTCTATATTTTGCCCAGACGGTTGAGCCTGGCAACAACGAGAGGGTGAAATGAAAATGGTGACAAGGACATGTCCTTCCGTGGGCCATCATGGATTGAAATGAAATCCTTTCCATGGTCTAACATTCCTAAGTCCAAACCAACCCCAAAGAACATGTAACTAACCATGCCTGCCCAACTTGGACCAGTGTCCCCCTTTCCCATTTGGCCATGGGTCAAAATCCAAATCGCACCAGTGAACATCAACCAATCCAACCACTAAAATACGAACCCTAGAATGGGTGGTGAATTCACCAACCAACCAACCTGGCACCCTTGGTGTTGACCAGCCGTTTCGGCCTTCATCGCGCTGAAGAACTTGGCCGCGCGGGAGGCCCGGCTGGTGCTCCCGCCCTCCGGCCCCGTCTTCGCCTCGCAGGGCTTCGAGCAGAGCTGGGGCCCGAAAAGGGGCAGTGGTCTGACGTGTGGATGGACGAAATCCATTTCGCACCACGAAATGAAACCATGGTTGAAACCATTGTTTGTTGGTATTTACAGAGGAATCATCATTCCAGGGTTTCTTAGGCGGTGCAGGATTTCGTCCATCCACAGTAGGTCTGATAATTACGCCTTGGAAGAAGTGGCACGGGTAGATTGTGCTATTTTCCAGGAAAGACCAAGGACGTTATGATGTGAGGATTTCCTCAAATTTAAGGGCACCTTGCCAATTCATGTTCGTCGACCTTCAAATCAAGCAAAGCAAAAGATGGCAAATGAAAAGGACACCGTTTGTGCAGTTTACTCTATTTCACAAAATGGCAACGAACTTGGGAAGGCTCCTTGGGTGTTCGATCGCTTTCTTTGCGTACATGGAAGCCCTGCCCTACAAGGCCTTGCTCTCAAAGAGCTCAGACGCATCATCTAACTCCAGCTGCTCGTCCCGGAACTCATGCCGCTCATCCAGCCGCTCACTCAGCTGCTCACTCAGCTGCTCGCTCAGCTGCTCACTCATCTGCTCACTCAGCTGCTCACTCAGCTGCGCATCCGTGTGCTCCTTGGACTCAAATCGGGACTATCCAACCACCAAAGGGCCCCAAAGAGAAACTAGGAGCATAGATGGAATTCAGGAGCTAGCCCCCTCCCGAAGTTCCATGGAACCGCTTGACACAAAATTTGGCTCACTAGGGCATGGTGTTGTGCGCATAGCAATTGATTGTGTTCCTTGACCATCCTACGTGTGCAATGCATGCGGTAATAATGCTGGGCCACAGTACGTTTGCTGCGGGTTACCAAGCGTGCTTCCTCAATGAATTCGCCATCACACGTTTGCCAAGCATATGACTACTGTAGGGTGATTCAACTATGGCACAATGAGTTCCTGCAGTACTGGACCCAGTCAACTCCATATCGTGTGGCCATGCACTAACTCAGGGCGATGTCAGTACCGTGGTCAGAGCCACACACAGCCCAGCAAGTGTCGCTTCAACAGCCGTGCCGGCATGCGGCAAGGGAGATCCCGATTTTGCGATTGTCCGCAATCCGTAGTGGGACACAACTACAACAAGGGAAAGCATGACCAGGTGGCAAAAGTTAGGACTGAAGATTGCCTTTGGACAACCCTGTGGATGATGCCTAATGCCACAGTTTTCGTGGGCTGTGCACGTCATGTGTCGCGATGCAGGACGTGGTTGTGTGCAGAGTCGCTTTAAATCGACCGCGGTGAGTATGAAACCAGAGTAAGGGGATCCATATTTACTCACATTGTTCTGCAATGACTCAATTTGTCTGTTAAGTGCCCCGCCCACATCCCACTTCCCGGCACCATGGTATGATCATCACGTCGAATGAAACTCACAGCAGCATGTTTTGAAAGAACTATCTGGCAGCATGGCGTCTGCGTCGTATAGACATGATTAGAGTTAGGCAAGTCTAGATAATGCAGGCGCGGCCAATTGCGAAAAGTTGGCTTCGGAGCCAAATGAGTAGCAGCCACTACAGAAAGGGACCGACACACAAGCGAGGTTGAACCAACCAAACCCACACGACGCCTCATCGACCTGACCAACATGATATGCTCCCCGCGGTACTCTACCAGCTGAGAGGATCTCGGTATGAAACCAGTCTTTGTTCAAAGTCGTCAAAACCGATTCGGGCCAGAGTTGGGCCCATTCAAGTGACGCTCTCAAAATTGTGAGTGGCGCTGACCATCAAGTGACCCTTTCAAAAATCGTTCTGAGAAGTCCCCCCCAAAAAAGAAGTGCCTTTTTCGGCTCCTGGAGTGATCCTGCCCAGTCCCGACCTCTCCAAATAAGGCGCCTCGAGGCACGCCTTGGCGGACAGGCCCTCCAAGCCTGGCAAACTGTGCCAAAGATTGGGACCCCTTTGGCTGGCTCAAAGTGGGGGATCCTTATGGCGAAACCATTGCCACACGGCAGGATGATGGATTGATCTTGGAGAACCCAGTTTTGGGACGCGAGACACAGGTCAATGGGATGTGGGGTGCTCCGCCCAGGACAGCTCACCAAGTTGGCACATATTGTCCCCCGAACGGGCTCTCCCAAGTCTGTGAGCAGCCCTGCGCTTTCCTGCCCTCAACACCTGTGGAAGGAACTCGTCGCAAAGGACGCGAAGAGCTCAACTCTCGGGGCTGGCGTGCGACTGAGTGATACCGTGCAGTACTCCAGCTGGGGAGCCAGCATTGTCAACTGCTGGCAAACGGCCAGCCCACGTATTTCCACAGCCCTGCCTGTTGGCTCCTCAGGAAGTGGAGCTTGCCCTAGGCTGAGTGCGGTCAGCCGGCACAAAATCGTCACTCCACCCGGAAGACCGAAAGATGCCAGGCAGTCACTAACTGGCTGGCAGTCACTAACTGGCTGGCAGCCACTGTGTGCCCAACACGGGGCCTCTTTTGGGGTTGGAGGGCAAATCACCATGATGCCAACCCAAATTCCGCCTGTTCCCAAAAATTGTTCATATTGGCAACCAATTGCCTCAGCAAGTCAAGGGTCCAAGGTCTCTCAGCAAAAGCTTACTTTCTTGCACGATGACTTGTCCCGCTGTTCCCAAGAGGCCCTTGCTGTCCTGACAGAGGTCAGAGGCCTCGTAGTGGCCCTTCACCAATGGCACAAAAGGAAAAGAAATCACCACGAGCACACAAGCCTGTTTCCATCTGCCAGGTGTTCAGCAAAAGTCCAAATACTTTACAGTTGATCTTACACATATACATGTATGCATGCATGCATGCATGCATGCATGCATGCATGCATGTATGTATGTATGCATGCGTGTCTGTCTGTCTGTCTGTCTGTCTGTCTGTCTGTCTGTCTGTCTGTCTCTGTCTGTCAGTCAGTCAGTCTGTCTGTCTGTCTGTCTGTCTGTCTGTCTGTCTGTCTGTCTGTATGTATGTAGGTACGTACCTATGTATGTATGTATGTATGTATGTATGTATGTATGTATGTATGTATGTATGTATGTATGTATGTATGTATGTATGCGTGTCTGTCTGTCTGTTTGTCTGTCTGTCTGTCTGTCTGTCTGTCTGTCTGTATGTATGTATGTAGGTACGTATGTACCTATGTATGTATGTATGTATGTATGTATGTATGTCTGTCTGTCTATATGTATGTATGTATGTATGTAGGTACGTATGTACCTATGTATGTATGTATGTATGTATGTATGTATGTATGTATGTATGTATGTATGTATGAAGGTACGTATGTATGTATGTATGTATGTATGTATGTATGTATGTATGTATGTATGTATGTATGTATGTATGTATGTGTGTGTGTGTGTGCGTGTGCACGTGCGCACGTGTGCATGTGTGCATGTGTGCATGTGTGCATGTGTGCATGTGTGCATGTTTGCATGTATGCATGTATGCATGTATGCATGTTTGCATGTTTGCATGTATGCATGTATACATGTATGCATGTATGCATGTATGCATGTATGCATGTATGATGCATGCATGCATGCATGCATGCATGCATGCATGCATGCATGCATGTATGTATATGTATGTATGTATGTATGTATGTATGTATGTATGTATGTATGTATGTATGTATGTATGTATGTATGTATGTATGTATGTATGTATGTATGTATGTATGTATGTATGTATGTATGTATGTATGTATGTATGTATGTATGGTTGTTTGTGTGTTTGTTTGTTTGTTTGTTTGTTTGTTTGTTTGTTTGTTTGTTTGTTTGTTTGTTTGTTTGTTTGTTTGTTTGTATGTTTGTGTGCATGCATGTAATCTAACCTAATCTAATCTAATGCCATGCAACGTAATATAATGCATGTACTGGCGTATATGTATGTCTGTATGTCTCTCTGTCTCTGTCTCTGTCTCTGTCTCTGTCTCTATTTGTCACTGTCTGCCTGTGTCTGTCTCTATCTGTGTCTGGCTGTGTCTATCTCTGTCTGTGTGTCCGTGTGTCTGTCTGTCTGTGTGTCTGTGTGTCCGTCTGGCTCTGTCTCTGTGTCTATCTCTGTGTCTGTCTCTGTCTCTGTCTGTCTCTGTCTCTGTCTCTGTCTCTGTCTCTGTCTCTGTCTCTGTCCCTGTCTCTGTCTCTGTCTCTGTCTGTCTCTGTGCCTGTATTCATGTCTGAGGCATGCATACATACACGTATAAATATGAATATATATATATATAGATACAACCATGTAAGTGCGTGTTAGCTAGAGTATGTCTACAAGTAGGCCATGTAAGCCGCTACACTTTAGCGCAGCCAATGTACAAGCTATAACTTAATGAGGTCACTACCAAATCCGAACCGCCATATAATATGTATATATATATACATATTGCATATATTCTGCTTTAGCTAAAGCAATCCATAGGCAGGTGACGAATCATCAAATGTGGCACGGTGAAAACTCCGAATTGGTGGGTCGTGGCCATGGCTCCTTTCATACGAAACCTCCTCATGATTGGCCAAGTGCCCTAAAGGGCTCATGACCATCGCTACCCCCAAGAAAGAAACCAGTCCTTTGGGCCTGGCACACATGAGCGATTGCTACCACGCAGATTAAAATAGGGTGCCCCAAAAGGAGATTCAGATTCCTCTGCCCGGTTGGGCTTTTGCAGGTGAAGGTGTCCTTTTGGAAATTGAAATGGCACTATGGCTGGAACCGTAGCTCATAAAACCAGTGGAACCTATCGGTGCCTGGCCTGTCTGACTGTGAGGGTACACTTTTAGAGGTTTCAACGGGTTCAGCAGGGAAGCCCATTATTGGGCGGGTATGCCATTGGGGTCCCAAGACACATCCATAAAAAAGCAGCGACGCGGTCGGGTGCTCCGAGCGAGGGGCTCGCAGACTTCAGCACCTCAGCGCGGAGCTTCAGCAGCTGCTGGACGTTCGCTCGCATCGCTTGGGCCTGGACCCGCCCGCTTCGACCGAGCCACAGCTCAATTGGGGGCGAAGGCATGGGCTGTGATGATCAAAACCTCGACGTGTCATGGGAAAGAGAGACATATTTGACATGGTGAAAACGTCTATGTTTGACCGTGACATGATTCCATCAGGAATCCTTGTCCTGGTCAAATGGGTGGCTTCTGTTTGGTTCATCTTTTCAATTTTCACCACCCCCGGAAGGGGGTACTCTCAAAAAAGACACGGGCCTGCATTTGTGGCCTTTTTGCGCGCTCTGGCTGGGAACCAATGCTCTGGGATGGTTGGGAGGCCTCCAGATTGGGGTAAGGACGTGTGGAGAACCCCTAAAAGGAGCAAAACTCTACAACTCTTGGTAGCAAAAGACTTTTTGTTTTTTGCAGCCCCAAGAAAAGGTTTCTCTTTCTTTCTCTTAAAGCTGAAGGACATGACACAAATCCACCGCAAAGCCCCAATTGCTTTTAAAGCCCACGAGGAATCGCCGGCACCCGGCACCAGTGAGGCCTTCGAAGGAACCGAAAGCTTTCAGCCAGGGGACCAAGGTTCAAAGGCTGGGCCTATGGTGCAACTTGCGGTGAGCTCGACGATAAATTCACATGGAATAATTGACCTTGATGGCAAAAGTCTACCTCGTATCAGTCATCGTTCCTGACCCTAGACTAGTCATAGAGTGATGAGGTACAAGTCCTTGCGTTTGCAGACTCGGTGCTGACGCAATCATGAAGATTGGCAACGCTTGAACAAAAGCAAAAAAAAAATCACTACCCCTTCCGTCAAAGGTGGATTTGAATGACAGGAACGCAACAATGCAGCTAAGCACATCCGAATGAGTCTATTGTGAGGGCACCCTTTGTCAAGTCCCCATTGTTTGGTCCAACAATTATTGTTTATTGTGTATGTTTGCGTGGCGGGGCCTCTTGTTGGTGTGAGGCAAACAAAACCAGAAGGAGCCCAATTGAGCAACAGGCACGAGGACCTCTTTCCATCAGAAGTGAGTCCCCCGGTCTTTGTGGCTGAAATTCAGCAAGTCCATGTCCCCAAATGGACCGTAAAACTCCGGACAATTGTCTGGATTTGAACTGGCCTCCCATGGGTAGGCCGCACTGCTGCAGCAATGCTCTAAAACACCTCAGCTCGAGTCGACTCTGTCCTAAAGAAAAAGAAGAAGAAGAAAACAAAATCTGTGGGTCATGGGCATGACATGACCCATGACCCCACCAGATCTTTCAAGGATACTTTGCGTGGTTGGCCAAAGGCTTCGAGGGGTGCACCCCTGTCCCAAGTGGGTTTCGGTTGGCACAAGTTAGCAACCGAGTGGTTCTACCCCACTGGCTGAGTGGAAGCCGTCTATTTGCTTATGTCGATGAGTTTGGTCAAATAGCCATGCACCTCCTCTTTGCTCGTCCCGCAGCCAGAGCCAAAAGAACTTGTGGATAGGTGAGGGCTGCCTAAAGTGATCCAATGGGACACCTGCCCTGGTTATTCCGCCGTCTATTCGTCATTTTGAAACACCCATTTTGCAGCCTGGGTTTAAATTTGGTGGGATATCATCACTTTTGGAGGGGAACCCTCCCAACGAATAAACTGGGGTTGATTAATATGGGGTCAGCATTAACAAGGTACCACCGTACCACGTCTTCAGGACAAGGCCAAGGCCTTCAGAAAGACCTGAGTGGCTGACTGCTGACTGCTAGCTCATCTTAATAAGCAACTTATTGGAAAGCGTGCTCCCGTAAGGTATTCCTCAAGGCGGTGAATGCAACTCAAACAGAACATCAAACCTGATCTTCTGGATGTTCGATGGCAAAACATCATTCGACCCACCAAATGCAAGACTTGTTTGGAAGGATGCCTTCCTGTGGAAACGAGTGCCTCTGCAGATCGACATCTGCCATATGAACAGTGGCCCATATGGCCTATTAAGCATCCCCAGCTGCTTTTTCCCCTTGGACCCTTTCAAGCCATCCCAATTGCCCCTCGACTCGAATCATGGCCATGGGACTCAATGAGCTCATGATGGCCGTGAGTTGCACGTCCAATTTGCTCAGATTGAGATGTACTGAAATCCTGGCAGGCAGACACACACCCGCACACGTCAAAGGCATCGCTGTTGTTGGGAATGGAGTTGCAAGTGGCAGTTTTGCAGCACCCGGAAGCTTTCTGCAATGGAAGCCCCACGTGAAATTCCTTCTTATGACCTTTGGCCAAGCACCAACAGATCCTCCAGCTCAATGTTGGCATCATCGAATCGCATTTTCGCTTGGATTCTGCATGATAGGGTGTCGCTCGGTACCCTTTTGGACGACAACCCATGTTTTGGTGGTTCCCGATTTGGAGACAACCCCACTTGCTTCCAAGATCTCGCTACAGATCAAACTCAAGCATTCGCTAGTTAGGCACAACTGGCACCAAGTTGAGTGAAAGAAGTCTTTGGTGCAAGCCACCCACTGACAGCACGATTCACATGAATACGTCTTCCGTCCATGTGGCATCACATTCTCGCGCACACACACACGCACAAACCACAACACGATGAACCACGCCAGGCACGCAAATGTCATAAGCAAGAGAATGCGCAAGCGCACAAAAATGCCAACACGCAACACTCAACCACATGTACGCACACTAACACTCCAACACAATAAAGAACACTCTGAGACACACAAACACGCACACACAGACGCACACACCCACAGACACACACACACACACACCCTCGCACGCACGCACGCACGCACGCACGCACGGACGGAAGGACGCACGCACGCACGCACGAACGAACGCACGCACGCACGCATGCACAACGACCCGATCACACACGACTAAACATGCGCAAACACGAGCGCCAAACGAAATAGTAAGCATCACTTGCACACACCAACACACAAACATTCCCTCAGAAGCAAGCATGCGCGCATGCAAACGCGCACGCAAGCAAATACACAAACAAACAAAGAAACAAACAAACAATCAAGCCAACCAACAAACAAACAGACACACACACACACAAACAAACAACCGAACGAACAAACGACCAAGCAACCAAGTAAGCAAACAAAACAAACAATAAACAAACACACAAACAAACAACCAATCAAGTACGCAAACAAACAGGCAGACAGAAAAACAAACAAGGCAAACAAACAAACACGCAAACACACAAGCAAACAAGCAAGCAAGCAAACAACCAAACAAAAAAAAACAAAACACGCAAAACATACAACAAACACACAAGCAACCAAAAAGCAAACAAACAAAAAACAAACAAACTACACCCAACACACACAAGCAACAAACAAAGCAAACAACAGAACAAACAAGCACACACAAACACACAAACACACATACAAACAAACAAACAAATAAACCAAAACACAAAAACGGACAAGCAATTAAACGAACAAGCAAGCACGCAAGCAAGCAAGCAAGCCAGCAAGCCAGCAAATACATGACAAACAACTAAAGCAATCAATATGGAATGAAGCAACAATAACATATCTAGCTGCTTCAAGCAAAGAAAGAAACCGAGAAACACAAAACACAACAGTGAGAAAGAAAACACCAAGACACTCAACGGGTAAAACGAAAGCACAAACAAAGCAAACACCAAACAACACCAAGCAAACTGAGGAAACAGAACCAACACAACAAAACACACCAAAGCATTCGAACACATTCGAACACACACACACACACTCGAGCTTGGGCTGACACCCTTGACTCCCACAGAGTGTGTCTGTGCTGTACTGCGCTGCGCGTCTGTGTCTGCGTGTCGGTCTGCGTGCGCGTGAATACCTGAAATGTAGTATTCAAAACCTCCTCAAAGGGCGCAAGTGTTTGGCGGATGGCCGCCAAACATAGCAGCCACGCACTCCTGAAAGAACAGGCAAGGCTGGTCCAAGGCTGCTGTTGGCACACCACCTTTGGTAGCTTTGGGAGGGGAGTCGTGTTGCGCTGCTCAATTCACCCCTCGGCGCCTCTTGCAGCCGCCAACCTTGAACTTGAGACTCAGCTCCATCGGCTGGTCAAGGTCCATCTCTTCCAAAACTTTGCCGAACTCGGAAGCGGGCGTTTACAGGTTCTGGGATCACATACGCCCTTGGCCTCTACGTTAACATTACACCAACAAATTAAAAGATCACTTGGTCGACCATAAAAAGGAGCCGCGGACAAACCATGCGCACATCTTGGACATAAGATAGATAAAAGCGTGGAAAGCCAAACCCGCGTGGATTCAAAGAGGTCTCTACCTGTGCGGACAACCGGCAGGAATACTGGGCGCAACAAATGGGATTTCCTTGCTTTAGTCCAGGTGCTTCGGCGTTTTCAGCCGTTGGATTGTCACGGCCTACGTGGAACTTTATGGGAACATCATGAAATACAAGCCTGACCACATCATGTACCCGGAGAAGAAACCAAATCCATGGCCGGAATGAATCTTGAATCCAGCAATGCTTTGAACCGCTTTGAAGCTTCTTAGGGCTTTAGAGTCTGGATTGAAGATTTATGATTTGTTAAGCGTACCCTTTTGGTGGGCTGGTAAGGGAAAACCGAGGGAGACCCATCCATTTTGCGGCTCCATCATTTAAGACATACCCACGCAGTGCTTCTGCCCTGGCAGATTCTATTGGTCAGATTTTGCTCGCACAAAGGTTGCCTGGCTTGTGCAAGTCCATCAATTCAGCAGATTCATGTTTGTCTTTCCCCCAGGAGCTTCAAGAGGACAAAAGCAAAGGGGCCCAGAAATAATTCCGCACATTCTTCTCTGATCAGACTTCATTTGGTTCCAAAGTACCCCCGCAGCGAGCGCAAATCATCTGCCCGGGTTCCCCCCCCCCGGCAGACTTCCGCAAGCGCGGCTAGGCTTTGTTTTTCCAAGGAGCCGAGTGAGTCACGTGCCCGCGCGCGTGCATGATGTGCGGCGGGTCACTGGTTCGAGCCAGCGCCCTGCGGAAGGCCAAGTCGAACATCGACCTGCGGCTTTCTCCATTTTCCGCGGGGAAGGAGCCTTACCGGGCCTTACCTTTTTGGGGCTGGCTGCAAATTGGAAGGACCCGTCGATTGCCGTGACTTTCAAGCAAAAATTGAGCAGGAACACCACTGGCCCGGAAAGATGGCCGGGGTCTCGTTCAAAATGGGCGATTGCAAAGGGGGGCAAGGGCCAAAAAATCCCTCAATCTCCAAACTGCTTGGAGATGCTCAAGGTGGAAGCACATCATTTGAGTATTAAAATGGTCTACCCAGAACCATGTAAAAGAATTAAGAAGGCGGCCGCAGCTATTTCTGGCTGGGACTGCCCCTTACTAACCTTCATCTACCCGGGTTTTGATTGTGGCTCATTTTGGATTGAGCAGCTTGCAAATCGGGAAGCGCAAGGTCATCGCGCATGGTGGGGCAAATGAGGCAGCCAATGAACATGGCGTATCTCTTTAAGCTTCTTTCGCAAGTACGGTACAGGCACCCCACCTCGGGTCCCTCTAAATAGCATAGGGACAAAATAAGGGCCCGTTTTATTAGAATGGAGGTTTGGGGTACCATGAAACTAAAAGTGATGACCACGAGCAAAGTATGTTAACAATTCTGCAGCCCGCGCTTCCGCAATTCGTTTCTTTGTCGAAATTTCAGCCGCGAGCCCGGGATTGCCAAGCCCCCACACAATCACAGTGCACGCCGAAAATCTCGGAAAAATACTTCGCATAGAGCAATCCCCACCCTGCGCACTCACGAGCTTACGACCGTTACAACAAATTCGTCCGCAGCCTAGAGGCTTCGACTCCAAATTCCCATCGGCCCCTTCCCAATGATATTTTTCCGCGCAAGAATGGCGAGCCTTATCCACCTGTCTGTGTGTCAAACTCCACTTGTCTGCGAGCCGATCTCGAGAACTCAAACATCGGTTCCGTTAACAAAAGCCAAGCCTCTTCCAAAAAGAAACCCGATGGGGATTAAACGAAGTTGCTTATTCGCAACCCAAAGCAACACAAAAGCATCACCCTTTCCGAGCCTCAGGGCACACTCAAAACACGAAGGCACCAACATGAAATGTTTTCCCAACTGCGCGCCGGGCGGGACATTAAGCAAAACCAGCTGGCGAGCTGCTCTGGCGGGAGATTGGCGGGATCCACTTGCGAATGCTGGCGAGCCACTCCGGCTCGATACTGGCCGGATACTCGGCAGGATCCACCGGCAAGGGATACTCAGCGGGATACTCGGCGGGATCCACTGCCGAGCTGCTCTGGGATACTCAGCGGGATACTCGGCGGGATCCATTTGCGCTCTGGCGGGATACTCGGCGGGATCCACTGGCGAGCTACCCTGGCGGGATACTCGGCGGGATAGACTGGCGAGCTACTCTGGGATATTCAGTGGGATACTCGGCGCAATCCACTGGCGGGCTGCTCTGGTGGGATACTAAGTTACTAGGCGGGATCCACTGGCTGGCGGGATACTTGGCGGGATCCACTGGCGAGCTATCGGCGGATCCACTGGCGAGCCGCTCTGGCGGGATACTGGGCGGGATCCACTGGCGAGCAGCTCTGGCGGGTTACTCGGCGGGATCCAGTGACAAGCTGCTCTGGCGGGATACTCGGCGGGATCCGCTGGCGAGCTGCTCTGGCGGGATACTGGGTGGGGGCGTGGTGTAGAAACATCGCAAACGCGGATTCCAACATAAAATCTAACAACCCCTTCCTGTCGGGTGGGGAAAAACATGAGAAAAGGAGTGGCGCCTCTGGGGTCCGTGATATCGCGGAGTCAGTAGAGAAATCTGTCCAACTCGTTCTTGCGATGGAATTTCGTTTCTCGCCGAAACTCGATTTTTGGGGGCTCGTTGTTCGAAACAAGCTCGGCCAAGGTCCATTGGTCCATGGGCTCGCGCGATCCCGCGCGAGAACTCTTTTTGGACTCAACTGGCAGCTGCCCGATACAGCGCCGCGCAAACGCAGCAGGCCAGCTGCTGGTTCAGGCGCCGCCTAGATGAAACACCGGGCGCGAAATGGAGAAACCTTCTTCCTTGGCCAGACTACTTGAACCGCAAAGTTGTTGTGTTGCTGGATGTTGCTGGTTAGACGAGACATTGAAGGAAATCCATGGGGATGGTCTCATGCTGACAAATGATTCTACCTTATCAAAGTCCAGATCTGGTCATGACTCCAGCACAAGGAATCCTCAGCTATTCACACTGCATCGCACATACCTTCCATGACGAAGCCACGGCAACAGCAAGTGATCGGCTGCCTGTTCCGAGCGTCAGGGGAACAAGGAACTTCTGTACAATACCTTGGTGTGTGATCTTTACCAGTAAAATAGTATCTAGGCAATCCACCATGTCACGGTGATAAGTCCTTCATATTGAAATATAATTATATAATGATCATGGTTTCCTTGGTAAATCGAACGAATTGGTAACAAATCCTTCCTAGAGAGATAAAGCACGCCTTCGGGACATTTTGTTTAAAAGTGCCAAGGTGTGAGAAATGAGCAGGGTAAGCGCGATGTGTCACGTTTGCTAAGTGTTTTGAAATGCAGTGGATTTCGGAGGGTACCACGCCTTCACCGCTGGGATATTTGATGATATTTGGAATTCAGAATTGGAGAGCCTAGGACACATCTCCCAAATCATCCGCTTTTCTGGGCCCAAACGCAGCGAAAACCATGGCCGGACCAAACCAAGCGGTGCATGACACCTGTAAGACCTATGGTGCCTGTGGGGAAGTCCAGCAGGGTTCCACTTGAGACATGCCGCATATGTGTAGCATGCGTATATGTTCTTGCAAATCGTTTACTCTCCAAATGTTGGGAACATTGCCCTCCCACCACTAACATGGAAGTGCACAAAGCCCCTTTCCGAGCGGAAAGCAGTCGTTCTACAGTCTGCGCACTTCCATTTTAGTCTCTTCCACCATGCTAGTCGGTGGCAGGGTACATGTTTTTGGGCCGGGGCCTCCTGGCCCTTGGGCTTTGGGCTCCCCTCAACCGCGAATGCCGAGCTCCAGGTTCCAGCCCAGGCGCTTGGAGTCCGTGGCCTCAGGACACCGAGCTGAAATGTGGATTTCCATCGGGTGCCACTGGTGCCACTGGTGCCACTGGCAAACCCCTTGCGCCGGAATCGTATCGCACGACTTTCTACAAGCGAAGACATAGACCTCGCCGACATCCAGCGCCAATAGAGAGTCAATGTAGTTATCAGAGGACATGGCGCGTGGCTACGCGTCACACCCATGTGTCAAAGCAATCTGCTGCATTTGCAATGCAAACTGTGACAAGGCTTCTCTTCCTAGGCGTCTTCGAAATACAAATGGCAGGTCAACTTTGGAATCTGAAACCCGTGGAATCCATCTTCAACCAAACTCGCATAGCACATCCATGCTCCTCTTTTCTGCAGCTGTTGCCTCCACCAATATCCACACTGTTCACTCTGGTCCACAGTAGCAAACCCAAAAAAAACCTAGAAATGAACTTCCACAGAGATCCCGGGTCTTCCTCTTCTCCGAGGCTCCATGGAGAAGGTGAGCTCGTCTTGGAGGTCTTCTGCCTGACGGTCCGGAAAACCAGAGTACACTTGCTCGAAATATGGTGGTGCCCTCCCTTTTGGGGTTCTTGTCAAGGGAAACCAATGGGAACAACAGGAACCCGCGCATGTTGAACAAGTTCCTTTTGCAGACAGGAACTTTTGACACACCCGCGTCTTGGATGGCCTTCACTGTCCAAGCATGGATTCAAGAGGGCAGTTCTGCAACTGACTGGCGGATGCTTTGGGCAGCTGAGTGTCACAAAGTCCGATCATGTGTCTGCCAGCCGTCCAAAGGAAGAAAATCCACAAGCCGAGGATCAGAACATGGAAAACAAACGGGGGACCGTTCAAAATCGACAAGCGGTCTGTGAACAAGTCTTGTCAGTGTTACCATCAACCACGCTCAAACCCCAGTGAAAGATCTTGGGTTCTACCCTCATGGTTATAGATCATAATGTCATGGCTGTGTCTTTCCGTTACCAATGCAAAACAGAGCCAAACCAATGGAATCTCCCGGTGCTTGGCAGGCCTCCCAGGTCAATCTGGGCTAGCATGGTCCGATCAAGAAACCAAGTGGGGGCCTAGGCCCGCTGCTCATGTAACAAATCACTTCAATTCGCCAACCAAAAATAAAGGATGACCTGGCAACTTGCTCTTGTCATTACATCAACCAACACACGAAAAGGCCTAGTTTGGCCTCAACACAAGTTTTCGTCGTCTTTGAGCATGGTCTGTTGTGGTTTCAGAAAGAAAAGAAAACTAGATCTTGCGGACACTTATCTAGTCTTGCATGGAGCCTGCTCAGGGTTCCCAAAAAAGGTGGCCTTTTTGTCTATAACCAATGGGAAACAGGTTGGAGCTGGTGCTGGGAGCTCGAGTTGATCTTGCTGCTTCGCAACGGGACATAAAGTAATAATATGTGGGTTAAAAAGGGTTGTGCGGAAGCTACCAAGTCAAATTAAGCATCCCTCTCCAGGGTGTCTTCCCTCTGACCATGCGTGCCGCTCTCAAGTTCAAGGTCAATTCAGCTTGATACTGGCTTGGATTGGTCAGGAACCCGAGGGCCCAAACTCAACGGATCGATCGGATGGCTTTTTTTGCCGCGGCGCCGACTCGAAGACGCAGCGCAGGGACAGGGTGCCCTGAGCCACATCCCACAGCGCAGCCCTTGGCAGGTCCTCGGACACACGTCCCATGGGATCGGCCAACCGGGGACCGGAAGCTGAGCGAAAGTTGGAGAGGACCAGGGAACATTGGCCCTGCAAAGTGCTCTTTTTGGCAAGAAAGGGGGCCCTGATCATTGAACGACGCAACTACATCGCTTTGAAAGGGTGTGTTCAAAATGGGAACATCCCCTTTGGGATAGTTTTCAAGGCAAAACAAAAATGAAGCTGAGCGCATTGGCCCTGGGCAGTTTAATGATCATCGCTGCAATAAGCAGACATTCAATAGTGCTGGTGAAGCAGGACATTTAACGGTATCCCCAAAGAAAGCCTCCTGCACATCCCCAATGATAATGAGAGCCCTATCGCCATGTTTAAGGCAACTGTCGCATTCGTGCTTAATACTAGTGCATGTGTGTGTTTAGTCTTTTTCCGGCCGGCTCTGGGTTCGCATTTTCTCCCACGTTCAAACACCAAGTCAAGCGCATGTCGGCTCTCACCGGTGAGCCACTCTGAGTGGCCCTTCCCCCACAAAGCGTCGAGCTGTTTGCTCGTTTGCTAGCTTGGGCAGTCCTTTGCCCAAATTGTTGAAAAGTTTAAGGTCAACCGTTGCCAAACCAAAGAGCGCCCACATCAAACCATGCAACCAAGCCCTGACACCTGAAGCCGAGATGCAACCGGCCCCTGCAGAATCCAGGTCATCGGCACCTCGGGTGTGCCCAAACAAGTGGCTCTTGGCCTTATCAGGCCCATATGCAGAGGAACCATGTGCTGTGGTCTGGCTTGGAGCTAGCGCCGGTTTTTTCGTAGGGCTGACAACCCCCAAGCATCACTAGAGCATCCAAAATCAATGCCGAACCAGGCAAGAGACCACAACATCAGTTCCAAGAACCCCAAACCTAAACTAGCCCCGAGCAACTGTCAACTGCCACCAAATCAGAGCTAGTATGCTGGTGATGCTGGGGATGCGGCCCATCGACACCAACCAACCGACCGACCGACCAACCAACTGACCTAGTAAAAACAAAAACACACGCACATGCACGAACAAACACATCATCCCAAGCCTCAGCGGGGCCGAAGTCCATTTCAAAGTGCAAGGTGGTGTCCATGTTTCGAATTGAGAACAAGTCCCGGGAGGGACCCCACGTGGCCCTGATAGACTTAGACATCCTTGTTGGAGTGGACTGTGGTGGGCCCATCCCAACGACCCCGACTTCCCACCAAATCGCATGCACAAACTACACAGACTGATGCACTCACACACACACACAACCAGAGACGCAGAGACTTGCACGCACGCACACACAGCGCCCACACGCACACACACACACACAAAAAACAAAAACAAACTAAAACGCAAACACACACCCACAATCACAGACACACACTGACACACACAGATACGCTCACACACACACACATACAAATGCACACACACAGGCACGCACAGACATACGCACTCGAGGTGGACAAGGAAACACAAACAGGAAAGCAATGGCAAGAGACAGAGAGAGAGAAAGAGAGAGAGCTGCAGGAGGACTCAGACAAACAGACATGTACACCGACGGAGACAGAGACTGAACTAGCGACGCCCACATACGCACAGTGACAGGAGTGGCAGGTCAGTGATGACTACCTCGTTCTCCTTGTGGGCACTGGGCACCAAGTCAAACAGTAAAGGGGGGAGAAGGGAAGAGACAGACCATCCGATAAAGTAAAGCGGCAGGTTGCCATTCGTTCGGTGATTGAAGTCAACAGAGACATAGAGATGGAAAGCTACGTCGAGGCCGATCCACCAAAGATGCAGCAGGCAAGAGGGTCCCTTTACTTTGGGCTGAAGCTTCGTCCCACGCGGAACCTGGACTGACAACGACTCGCATGCGAGCCACGGTGAGGCGGCCCAACAAGTCGTCGTTCCCGCGCAACGTCTTGACATGATCCTGGCCGAGTCATCTGACTGATCCGGATAGCCGCCCCCCTCGGATCCCGGACCTGTGCTTTGGCCACCTTGGTTGGAAAAGCTTGGAATTCCTCGAAAAGGGGGCCCTTCACTTTTAGGGGGCCCATAAGCTGTCAAACAACTTGGGGATCCAATTTTGATTACTATGCAAAGAAAAACAACAACAGAAAACCAACCGTTTGAAGTGGCCTCCTATGTCGGAAACACTCATTAACCAGTTCCCGGGTGGGCTTAAAAAGACAACCCGGTCTCCTGCGCACGAAAGGGTTGGTCTGCTCTCTGTCAAGAAGATTGGTCTCGGCAACCATCCCAGGATTCATTGGATTTCACTTTGTGTGACCCGCCCAAAAAGACAAGAAACAAACGATTCAGCCTTCGAGTTGAAATTAGTATATAAACGTAGACTGAAAAGGGGAACCACATGTCAAAAGGTCGGATTTGGGCAACCGACCTTTTGGGCAAACGACCTTTGGGGGTTTCTTTGTTTTTGGGGGGTCTCAAGTGCGTGGTTGTACAGAGTTCCCGTTCGCCACCACAAGGGTGCTCTTGGGGCCTCTAACTAACTCACTTAGATTGGACATGTTGAAACTATCAAATTCAATCGTGGTGAGACACTATTGTTTCAACAAAACCTCGGATTCAGCCTTCAGAGTCGGCGTTGTGTGTAAATGTGTGTTTCTTGTTTGGAGATTTAGGACCTAAGTGTTTGTTGTCTTCGAAGGAAACCAAAGGGAAACTGCGACAAGTGTTGAGAAGAGTTCCCCATCAAGCAAACCCAAATCTTGCAAACACGGACTGATGTGACGGCTTTCCCTTCAAGAGCTGGGTCCCTGAACCCCGACAGCAGAACTAAGGGAAACTTCGCGACTCACTGGGGAGACTTGCAACTTGCCTTGATGATCGTGCTTCTCTAAATGAGTGCTTGCGATGAGGGACCCCTCACAAATGGTTTGAGTGTTCCCTTTCAAAACAATTGAAAAGAAATGGCAAGGCGATGACCCTCGGTGCATTCACCCCAAATGGCATGAACTGCTAGCTTTATGGTTGATTGACTACTAGTTGTGGCATAGTCATGATAAATCAGCCACAAAGGGGTCCAAAATGGCCATGGGTTCCTTCATCAAAGTGAGGTATCATTCACAAGGTGACGAAGAAGACCTCCACGCAGGGAACCTTCGTCATAGTTTGTCCGCAAACTGAAACCCTTTGTGAGGTCGCGACTGCATCCGTGTCCTCATCCCACACTGTGATCTGGACCTCCTGCTCTCGATGTGCCTGCGGGAAAAATAAGCAGAAGCAACACCCAAATGCAGGGTGTTGCCGAAGCACTGAAAGTCGAGCAACACAGGGTGGGTTCTTGAACTTTGTGGGGAAGCCTTCACGGTGCACAAACAACAACACACTTAAACGATCAAGCTAGGAGCACCCAAGATTGGTTGATCAGGGACTGTGGGTCCTTACGGCTGCAAGCGACATCCATCGACTGTCGCAATGTCAATTCTTCCATTCCCAGGTTTGGACCCCCAAGATGACTCCTGTTTTTCCATTGGCTTCACTTTAACACCGCAGGGTATTGAGCCCCGCTGCTTATGAGACGCGCCTCGTGCACAGGCAGATACAATGAACAGTTCCAGACAGGTTCGCAGTTGCTCCACACCGTGACCTCAGCGCGGTGTCAGCGCAGCACACTCAGCAAGGCTACCTTTTCTCGTTCTGACTGCTGAATGGCACGGTGCAGAAACTGAAAGGCCTTGAGCCCAAATGACACCAAGGTGTGATTACATGAAGGTCAATTGCTTGTCAAAGACGGAACAGAGGGGGTCGAAATCGGGGACACACCCGAACATGGCTTCCGTTGTCCTTGTGGCTTCCCATCAAACCAACCCCAAGGCTTGCCCTAAGGACACATGGGCGGGGGACCTGAGAATCACGCAAGTGAGCCGTTGAGTCAATCGACGTTTTGGATTTCCGAATAGGGTTTCCATTCCAAAAAACACGCGCACACACAGACTCACATGTAAGTGAAGTCTATGAAGGTCTGTTAACCCATTCTTTGCAGGACATGGTTGCAATCCCAATTGTCCCAAGAGTTTCAGTGGGTTCTCGAAAGCAGTACCGGTAGCAAGCATGGGGAATCTTCCTTGGGAACAAAAGTTTGATGTTATATTCATTCAGCTTGCATTCTGCCACGCTGCGTTGTTGCAAGACCGTCCACCAGACATGACGCAGCTGGGCCGACACGCAAAACATACCGGGCATCACAAAGGTGTTGACGGCTGTGCAGGTTGCCACCGCTGGGTTGCAATCTGTCCCTTGCTACTCTCCCACAAGCTGGCAAACCACCCGGAAGATCATCTTCCTGACTGGGCCAAACATTGACCCCTGCAAGTCAACATCGTTGCTTCAAAAGAAACAACGAAGGAACCGAAAGGCAAAAGGGCCAAATCAAAGGCCCCTCAGGTTCCAGTAGTTTCATGCTTCTTTGTTTCAACGACCTCCGGTTGATTCCCTTGGAAGAGGGATTGGTCGCTGGTTACCCAAGCCCCACCTGGCGGCCCTGCGACCATCCGGCCCCTAAACGAGCGTCTGTGCGCTTCACACAGAGGCCCAACTTCACGGTGACGTAGGGGTCGGAGCGACCGTTCCTGAGAGCCGGACGCACTCAGGGTTTAGGAGTCTCCAAAAAAGAGGTTTTGAGACGGGTATAGTTTCACTTGCAAGCGCATGACGGTACCCCCAAAGACTGCTGTCAGGTACCTGTGAAGGTGTGCCCCTGATCCTTCAAAGAAGGTTCGTAGAATCTTCTGATTGAAGGAGTGCTGGTCAAACTTTTCTGCAGGGTAGAAGACGGCTACGCCAGGTTGGTCTTAGAGCCCTGAACCCCTTCACACAAATCGATGCTTTCTGGTCAGCCGATGTATGCCGGTCATGGTTTATTCCGGTTGTTTCAAAAGGCAAAAAGCTCAAAAGGGCCACCAGGTATCCAGATGCAGTTTATGTTGACTCACCAACCGGGCAATAGTGGAGCTGTATGACAAAACCTGTGTGCCGCTAAAATTTGCCCGTGGGTGGTCTCCTTTCAGGCATGCATCCAGTCTGCAGCGATGAGGTTATGAGCCTCCAGCAGGTCCACCCGCAGACGACCTCGGCGAAACGTTTAGCTGAGTGAGGGATGGTCGTTGAAGAAACCAAGGAAATCTCCACCAAAACAGGAACATGGCTTCGGTTCCAAGCACGAAGTGGTGGTCTCGCAAAGATGGTATTGCACAACCCTCCTCCACTTGCCCGGTTGAGAGGCAACTGATACTCGCCGGGAACTGGTGCTCGGCAATCAAACGGGGCTTGCCGTCTCTACAAATGAATTTTTGCTGACGCAGGCAGCCCGTTAGAAAAGACGAAAACCCAATTTGGGCACATGCTGGTTGTGAATGAACGACACAAATCACAAGTGTGCATAGCAAACAAGCATGGTCCACAGTAGGCAATGATCATGGCCCGAACAATGTGTTGCCGGCAGATCTCTACTGTCGTGATTTCGGGTGGGAATCAAATCCCGTACCCCCAGTGAACATCCCAATCCAACCACTAAAATAGAAACCCTAAAATGGGTGGTGCATTCACCTGCCAGCCAAAATGGGATATCCCAAAACGGTTTTGACAACCACAGCCATATTCTTCGGTGGGTCTGGGCTCTGTGACTGTCAGCATGGCCCGCCTTCTGTGCCAATGTCCATGGCGCCCAAGGGCGCATCAACCACCTGAACGTCCGATACCCAGCGGTCCCCTTTGTTTTTCATCGGGAACAAACAAACAAACTAAAAAGAAAAAAAGAAAAAAACAATGCAACCAGACAAACAATACCAACGTTTTGCCCCGAAATTTTCAGAGACCAACGCAACCAAATGGGCAAGCAAATAGGCAGTCAGAGCCTCGCAACAGCTTGAGGCTTGAGCTCCCACGCCTTGTGGTATACAAATTGCATCTGCCTCTCCGCGTACGTATCGGCCGACCTTACGCTGGACCAAACGGGGGGACGGGGGGGGCGCCCTACCTCTGCTTCTGCCCCAAAGTAAGAGGTCTGATTCTGGTCCACAAAGGGGTGTGTTTGCTTAAGTTGAGGATACCCCTTTTGGAGTGGTAGGGGAGCCAAAAGGAAACTAGCCACTTTGGGGTCCCGTACTTTAAGACACACCCAGTCACCCAGTGAACCTTCAAACTTGAAAGTACGTTCGAATGGAATTCCCAACATCTCAATGCCGGTTGGGCTGCGCTTTCACCGTCCCTGTTTCCGCGGAAATGTCTTCCGTGTCAATAGGCAAGTGGAGAACCCCGAGGGTGGGTGTCCCTAAGATGAAAGCAACTTGTTTGCCAGCAGAAAAGACACATACTGTGGATTGGCGCAATCCTGCACCACTTTGAAGCCATGAGAAACCATTTGTTGGTATTAACACGGGAATCATCATTCCTGGGCTTCTTAGGTGCTGCAGGATATTTCGTCCATCCACAGTATTGCACCAACTGAAAGACAAAAGACGCACGTTCAGCAATGCGCAATGCAAAGCCCAACATGCTGCATCAAGAGCCCGAAGGAGTTCAAACGGAAAAGGAATTGCAGAAGGATTGAATTGGTTGCATGCCGGTTGCGAACTGGATTAACATTGGTTTAGTGTTGGCTTAGCCTTGGGTCTATAGGGTACCCTGGAATTGGGGTCAGCGGAAAAACCGCAGGTTTAGTATTGGTGTTGCATTGGCTTAATTTAGGCTTGGGGGCGATGGGGTTTGGAAAAGAATTCTTTTTCTTAGGGGCACCTTGTTTCTTCGGGAAAGGGCTTCTCTCAAACGAAAAAACAACCAAACCCTACAGTGACCCTTTGAGGGGGACACGCTCTCCAGGGTCCGGGGCTCCGACACGCAGGAGGCTCTGTCCCCAGCGCCCTGCGCCACTCGGAACAAATTCTCCGCCTGCGAGCGGCCCACATCGCGTGACACTCCAAATCGGCGCGTCTCAAAATTCCTTCGCGAAGCCCACACCAGGCTCCAACAATGGTCTCACCAAACCATTCGACCAAAAAAGGGAAAGCCAAAAGGTCATGTCCTTCCATTTGCCTAAGTCCTAAGTCCCCTGAACAACAAACAAAAATAGCCCAAAGGTTCAACAAACCATTTCACCTAAGAATTCAGGAGTGTCCTTTTGGCTTCCCTTTCAAGCCCAGACGGAGCCTCAAACAAAGACACATGGGAAAATCCCCTTGCTGTTGAACTCCAGAGTCCCGTGTCCTGAAATTGGTTGACAAGAGACGACGTGAACACTGCTTCACAGCTAAAACAAAACCGGTCACTTTGGAAGATGCCCTCGGTGCAGATTTGAGGCTGGTGTCACGGCTGAACCAAGGTCTCAATAAACCAAGTCAGCGTGCAGTTCCTCCCTGCGACCTTCCACGCTTGGGTCCAACTAGTTTTGGGGGATGGTCCCAACTGTTTTGCATCTCCGCCAACCGGATCGAATCTTGCGGCCCGGTCCGTGTCGGAGTTTCCCTTCTCACAGGTCTCGTGGCGCTTTGCACAATGGGGCCGAGACATATACCCCACACAAGCCCCAATCTCATGATCCCGAAACTAAATCTCAACGCCAAACGCCACAATCCAAAGGCGGGTGTGTCTGCCTACCTCCATTCCCAGCACCTCACTTCGTGAGCTTTGAATCTTTGAACACGCCAAGAGAAGGAGACGCTGGTAGAATTTGATTTGGAGAATTTGTAATTGAAACCTAAGTTTGTCTCCATTGCCGCGTGGGGCGCACTTAGACCTTCAAGCTGGGCTGTCAAGATGGGGTCAATCCCATGTTCATCCCGAATGGACAGTGATTGCAAAGAGGAATGTTAAAGGAGACCTTCTTTCCATTCGCAACTCACGAGCTTGTTGATGGCCCGACAGCCCAGTTGCAAGTCGTTGACCTGTGCGAGCATCCAAATACGGACATGATAGGCCCAAACACAGGGCCCCTTCACCTTGTCCACTCATGTATCCTGTCCGATCAGGTTGGCCCTGGGGCTCAATGCCATCCGGCAGCCGGCGCCTGCTTCTTGAGGCCATACTTGATGGAGTGATCAATGATGCCAATGTAGTATATCTCGTTGGTATCCTGATCAAATCCGCATTCGCCTTGCCATGCAATATTCTTACAAGGCGTGTGGACCAAGCAAGGCTCCGGGAACAATCGAGCAAATGATAAAGGCTGGCTTGGCAAGTTGGTCCCTGTCCTGTGGACCCCCACAATCATCCAAACTCCATGGAGAGCTGACAAGAAGACGGGTTCGAATGGTCAACGTTAGGCAGTCTGAGCCTCGCACCCTGGACCTAGGCCGGGTCCTGAGATACCAGGTAGCCGTCGTGCCAGCCAGGCGCCATGGACGCATCTCGCGGATCTACGAAGTGGATGCCTGAGGTGCTTTGCGCGGGTGACTGCACCATGTTTTTCCTACGGGACCCGTTTTTCCGGCCTAAACCTGTTTCTCGACCTCCATTTTACCTTTTGGTTTATGGGTCCAAAAAAGCGGCTGATGAAGGCCAACAAAAAGGTCCCCTTTTTCATGTTGCAAGTTTATGAAGACTCATGCTTCCAACTGGCAACATGGGCAGTGAGAAGCACCACTACTTCCCTTTGTTGCGCCGAGACCGGCAAATTACCAAACGGCCACGGATTGGTGATCCTTCATTCCCAGCAAATCCATCTGATTGCTCACATTGTGCTATGGTCAAAACTCCGGGCCATAGTCCTAATTCTCTCAATGAGAATCCTGATTGCACAAGCCCGAGTTCAAGTATCCGTGTTCCTTTCACTTCCCCACGTCTACGCCCAGAATTCACCACTTCCCCACAGGGCGGGGAACAAATTTGCGCCGCCCTCCGCAACTGCCGAGGTGCCCAAAAGGATTGAGTAGTCCATCATCTTAAAACTCTCAAGTAGCCTCGGTGCCCATCTCGCAGCGACGAGTCGGCAATGTTAAAAGTAGTCACAAGGGCATGTGTCAATATTCAGGTCTCTCAACAAATTGAGGTCCACGTGCGGAAAACCTGAGGCAGCGTGCGGAAGCGGGAATTGTCACGTGTCCCGAGTTTTCCGCTTCACGTGGTGGCTTCGAAAAAGTGCGATACCACCAGCATCTGCCTACAGCTTGGTATACATTGATGGATTGCCGTGCGCTCGGGGAACCACCGAAAGGGCTGCTGAATTCCGCTGCAGGTGCGATCCCGCAGCCACAAACCACGATTATTGACCAGGTGGCCTGCTTCCCTGTTTCAGATGGGTGAACAAACCCTTGCTGTGCCACTGCAAAGGAATGCCACCCCTTGGTCAACCCCTTTTCCACTCAGCTCATGAGGTTTTCCCACACCGTCCTGGCCAGGGAATGGTCAAAACCGGTCAAGGTGTTCCCCCGTTCAGGTCTCTTTTTCAGGGTACCCGTTTTGATAGTTTTTAGAGGGACATCAGAAAGAACACCTCCAGTTTGGGGGTCCCAACATCTTAAGTCCCAAAGGGAAACTGCTTGTCAATTTTCTTGCCAATGGCTTTGGTAATCCTTCAAGCGTGCCAAGTCCGGACATACCAACGCTCCGGCGCTGCCAGGTTTATCGCCGCATGTGTTTGGCAACACCCAAACCCCTCGATTGAAGACGGCCGTGCCTAAACAAGAGTCCTTTGTGCCCTGCCCAGGCCAGTGTCTAGCCCCAGGCCAACTGTGTGTTTCTAATCCAAGTGGTCAAAACAATCCACAGCTACAGCACCTGTCCTACTTCCTCGTGTGGCTCTCTTGAGTTGGGAATGTGCCTTCCTCCAGCATCTGTACCGAAGCCGAAGGCTTTCGGGGACCGGCACCTGATACGAGGCTGAAGACTCAAGCGTAGTACCTAGCCCGCTTGCATGTTGATACCTAAACATACGAGCATGAGTCGCAGCTCAACACAGTTTTTGTCATCTTGGTTTTGATGCTGCCCCCTACCTGCACGCTCCCCCCCCCCTCCCCGCCCGCTCCGCAGAAAGTTGTTCTTAGTGAGCGCGGAACAGTGCTCCAATCGGTTAAAAGGGTTAAAGTTCCAAGGTGAAGCCAAAGTAAAAACAATGTCTTGCCGCAATATGCCATGTCGCGCTCCGAGAAATCGCTGGAGTTTCGCGTGGGCAACTAAAGAGATAAGTGGTTCGTCTGTCCGTATTCCTTCACTTGCAAGACTCTCCCAAACTGTTCTGCTCGCGTTGGACTTTACATGGAGAGTGTCATACGCCCGAAGGAGTTTCATCACAGCCAGCCGCAATCACCTGGAGCCACCTTGAAAGAGGGTCCACCCCACGCGGGGCCCAGCCTCCCCTGCAATTGCCCGCAACTTCGCTGAAATTCCTGGCAGTTGGGCACTCTGGAGCCCCTTGTGGGGAGGAGGGGAGTTGCCAGGTCATTGCGAAGCCAACATTCCCAATGCGCCCAGTCGCAATGCGTCCAGCTCCAGCTGCGCGCAGAACTGGCGCTGCACCTAAGCTTTGCACCCAATCAGCTTGGGGTTTGAAGGGGGGCAACGAACCGTTTAGACATGTTCTCTGATTCTTCAAAGATACGGAAAATGCACAAAATGTGAAGAGACGGTTAGCAGCTATAAAGTTTAGGGTTGGTGGGCAAATCATCTTCGGGGCTTGATGGGGCTTGGGTTGAGGGTGAAAGTGAGCCTTACTTAAGGCGTCGAAAACAGCACTTCGCCATCGTACCTTGTTGAAACAAAACACAAGCCATTATGTCTTTGGCCAGTTCATTCCTACAGTAAATCAGAACCATTTCCGAAGAACCACTTGCCAGCTCTGCATCATCGCGATTCTGCCTTTACCGCAGGGTTGCTGCGTGGGTCGCCCTCCCTAACCGGGATCCGATTGTGGCTTTGGGGCTTTCCATTGGGAACGGGCCAAGGTTCACCTCACTGCTTAGACTGCACTGAAGGGAAGTGCCGGATGTTGCCTGAACAAACCCAAAACGTGCTCGAGCCCTTACGGCTGATTGATGCTCTTTGCTGCCGGTGACACGCAAGGTACAGAACGAAATGAAAAATCCTTCTTGGGGTTAAACGCCGTCCCGAACCCACCTCAAAACGGACTCAAACGGCCATTTGTCAAAATCCCGTACCCAGTGAGCATCCCAACCCCCACTAAATAGGTTCTAAAATGGGTGGTGCACCTACCCCAAAGTGGGATCCCGTTGGTTTTGACCCACGCCCTCAAACTTGAAGGCCGGACTCTCTTCTCGAGCCCCGCCTCCAGAGGCAGCTTCAGGCGATGGCCCGAATCCACCCAGTCCTCGTCCTTGCCCACGCCCTCCCCAGGCTTCTTCCGACCTCGCGACAGCCGAAGAAAACCTAAGGGCTCCGTTTCACCGACCTCCCACCCGCTGACAAAAACCAATAAACTTAAGGGAGGGCTATGATTTAAATACAAAAGCAAAAAACACAGCAACAAGCTCGCTTCCATCTTTTTGATGTTTGGGCCGGAAAGGTCTGCCCTGGGACATCTTTGATTTACGGGGGTCGCTCCAAACCTCAAGATTGACAACACCCCAAACACTCTGCATAGGTGTCCTTTCGTTTTGGTGGCCAAACCGCAAACAGGGCCCCGGTCGCTACAGCGACGTTACGTCGAAAGAGGTGGCTGGAAGATGAATCTCCTCAAGTGGGTTCGATGCTTGCGTGTACAGTCCACTATGACAGGCTCATGCTTCATTCCCGGAACTGCAGCTTCCACAGCGAGACAAATATCACCATGACGGTCAAGTATGCGTTGGGCTCACAGCAACACGCTGAAGTCAAAGCATCTTGCGCCGCAGACTATGGAAGCGCCTGATGTTATTGAGGGACTGCATGGGCATCTCCATCAGAGGGCCATTGCCTCTCTTCCACTGCAAAGTTTCTTCGACCATACCTTGAGTGCTCCAGGGGTTGATTCCTTTTCCATTCTTTTCAACCATCGTTCTTTTCAAAATCCGGCCGTTCTCGCTGGGTTTCCGGAGGGTTTCTAGCAAGAAGGATCCCTGGAAAGAATGGGGAAGGGTACCCCTAGAGCTCTGCGTCTTTGTGCTTGTGTCTCTCTCTGTGTCTCTGCGTAAAAAAAGGAATTGAGGTTGACGACAAAGGAGACCAACATAAAAGAAACCATGTGGAGAGGGCCCCTGACACGATCTGCGCATTTCTGAGGCCGGTGCGCTTGTAGAGCGACCCTTTCAGGTCAAACTTCAAATGCAGCATTCGCCTCGCAGCCCGCGAACGCTCCGGTCAACTCAACTTGACCGCCCTTCTGTTTGGCCATGCCATTCAACGGCCAATGCTTTCGCAGTGCAAGCTTCGTGTTGCAGGAACAAGTCAGCCATGCCCGAGCAACAAGAGCCGTCGCTGACTTGTCTTTACCATGCAAGACAATGCACCAAGTGCATCTAGGGCGCAAGGGGTCAAAGACCGATCTCATGACCATCAAATGTATGGATTGCTCCCCCCACTGAATCAAGTAGAGTCCTGCAGGGATCGACGGCTTTGTGCATTGCAGTCGCCCCCATTCGGTCATGGACATTGATCGCCCGCAGCTGTCAGCTGTCAGCAATACATTCCCTTCCGCTCGTTGGGCCCTCCCATTCTGGACTCTGCCTTGGTTTCAGTTACTTTCTACTGATTCCTTGACTGACATATTCAAACAAACGCGCTCGATCATATTGACTGGCAAGCAAAATCCAAAACCGAAAAGCGATACCCAGTCACGGTTAGGCGAATCCCGTGTCAAATGTTGCCTAGCCAGCCATCTTCTAGCTGCTACTGCCAGGTTTCGGATTGTGGTAGTCGACACCCCTCCCTAACACACTCCTGCGTATCGTACAATCAGTGACCGCGGCCACTGCTGGATGTGAGCCAGGTAGGCTGGCATCATCCGCATGAGCAGCATTAACCTCAAATCGGGATTCGGCCGGTCGTGAAAAGAAACAAAACTAACAACAGACAAAGGCCAAGCTTCCCTTCACGATTCATTCAGTGAGCGGAAACTATAGTTGCAGTTTCTTATCATGAACCTGAGAGGACATGTCTTAATATCTGTTTGGTGTCGTGTTGTTGCGTGTCGCAAAGCCAGTCGGAATCCAAAGCTGGCATTGAAGGAGCCGACCCAAAACAATGCAAAGAAGAGAATCACCTGCCGCACTCATTTATGGCCAGACTGTCCAACTAATAAGCATAAGCCTAATCACCTCCCCCAGGTTTTCTTTGTGGCAGGCCTGCAAAGGCGATGCCGGGTCAGGTCGAATGCAAGTACAGCTGAACATTTGAAGTGGATGGGTCCGTTGATGCCTGACGCATACAACTATCCCACCCAAGGTGTTTCATCGCAACTGAAAGCAGCAACAACTCAGGGCCCTCCAGAAAGTGCATCGGGTTGAGATTCGGATGTCTCCGAGGGGCTCCTTGCCAGACAAGGTTTTGAGAATGAAGCGCCGGTCGGAAGAGAAAAAGAAGAGCTCCCCTGACTTGGAGTTGGTGCTCATTGCCCTGGCACGCGCTCGCTCAAGCCGAGAAAGCGGTCCGCGAACCGCATAAGTGGCTTCCAAAGCAAAGCTGGCCAGCTGGGATTCGGGGATTCCCAGGCAGTTTCGTTGGGATCCGAAAGAGGTCTCTGACAGAGGCAGTTTCGTTGGTTTTCTTTTGACAGCTCAATTTTCCGTGGATCCCCAATTTTGAGCTCCAAAGGAAGATCCGGCCATGCTGGCCTGCACGTCCCTTTTAAATAAGTGACCGCGAGCAAAACGTGCACTGCCGCCGGGATTGCCCGTACTTCCCACTTAAACATCGCTCCAGCGAACGGAGGCGCATGCACCAGTTGTAAGCTGGCCAAAATAGTCACGCTTGAAACCAACAAAACGAAACAATGGTGTCGTTTTGAGGGTGCCGCCTTTGCTAAAGCCAAAAGGCACCCATCCAATTCCGGGATTTCCCCAGCCCATAGCTCATGACGAACCTGGTTCACCCGACAAGCCTTATCATAGGAGGACATCCCACCATTTGCTTGAAGCCCCCTGACTATTTCCTTGGTAGATCCCCTTTGCAACCAACAGCGGAAACTGCAGCATATTCTTAAGCAAATGGAAGCTTTTTAGAAAATGGACTACCTCTTTGGTTGGATTCCGAAAGAATGGCAGACCTTTCCAGACCCGCAAAGAACTCCCCCCATCCCCAGTCTCGTCCTGTACTCCGGGGAGTCGTGGCCCAGGGATTGCAACACCTCCTCTGGTGACACGCCGGAGGAGGTACCTGCCCGCAAGTGCTAGGAAGGCAAAAGGAACCGGACGCCCGGTGAACACCATCCAGAAAGAGGAAAAGCATAGAAAAGTCTCATGGAGCTTGCTTTGGGGTGGGCATGAAATGAAGGGGACGCCTGTAAATCGATTCGGGGCAAGTTCTTGAGGTGCCCGGTGGCGGAAGAAAGTTGCCGTCTACATCAAGGATTCAGCCGGGTCCCCCGCCTGAGACACTTCCATATGAGTAGTCAGCGGCCGGAAAGGTCGATCGTTGGCCATCTCTCAAGGGCACACTTTTTCTGGATTTCTCCCAAAGGAAATATTGCTTGCTAATATAGCTCAAGCCCGCAGCAGCACCCGTACCTGATAGTGTTCAAAAATGGACATTCACCCCAGTTAATCTCTGTCCCCCAATATGGGCACCCAATTGTGTTGGTTGGTTTCCCCATTGAATAGCTACCCCCTCAAAAGGGACACGAGCCAAGCCTTTTTCATGTACGAGATGGTCAGTTCCATGTGGGCTGGTCGCTGAATGGCTGAAGGCTACCTCGCGCCGGCCTCCCAAAGCCCGCGCCTAGGCACTCAAAGACCTCGGAGCTGAAAAAGTTGAAGGCGACCTCCGGGAAGATGCCTGCAACGGGGAAGGAGCTAATGGGGCCCCAACCCCCAACAACCCCCAACAAAACCAGCGAAACAAAGCCGGCTTAGGAAATGGAAGCAAGGGGTCTTGTGATCCGGATCCCAGGAGGCAGCTTCCATAGCTGGTTGCCTCTATCCAAGAAGCAGGTCTTGGATCTTGTGCAGCCCATGTGTTTGCTTAGCTTGGCATGGCTGGTCAGTCAGCACTTTCAGCACTTTCAGCACTGGCCATCGGTCAGCACTGTCAGAATGGCCGGCAGCCCGGTTACGGCTTGCCCGTCTGGCCAGTCAGCACAGTCAATGACAGATCTGCTCAGTTGCACGGGCACGGTCACGAGCCCCTTTTTCAACCTTCTGGGGAAACAATCGGCAAATGATTCCTCCATACTTTCATGGCTCCAGGTGGTCAGCCCACCTTCGGACACTCGCACCTGTCAGAAGCCCTCCAGAGGTGATGTGGGGCAACACCCCTTGCTTTACATACAACCCCCCGATCCCCCGATCCCCCCATCCCCCCATCCCCCAATCCCAGTTACACCCCCCTCCGAATATCCCAGGGATCCCCCGATCCTAGGTGACGGCCCCACGCCTTGAGGCTCCTCCCAGACGCTGCGGAAGCTCAGGCCCAGCCGCCGGGAGAAGAGCTTCAGAGCCGCCGAGTGCTGCCTGATGCACTCCACGCGATTTTCGCGTCTTCCCAGCCAGGCCCAGAAACCGACACAAAAGGCACCCGAAAATGGGAGTGAGACCCCATCTTCTTTTGGAGTTTGGTCTAAGAACGGTTTGTGTGTGGCTTCATGTTCATCTGCAGGGGAGCATGCCCTCCAATGCCCATGCTTCGGAGTGATTCTCCATGACTTTCCTGGTAGTTCTTTAACTTGATTTCCTTAAATATCGATCTTTTTTCCTGACGTCGCCTAGAACTACTAAAACTGCTATATGTTCGTGAGATCTCGGTCCCTTTTATACCGTGCGGAATTACCCGCGAAACGCCCGCAAAAAGCCCGCAAACGCCGCAAAACCTCGCAAACACCCGCAAATCAGAAAAAGACGTTTTTGGGGTCGCCCAAAACTCCTAGAAACCATTTAGAACCCAACACGCCCAAAACTACCAAGAAACCGAAACGCCTAGGAAAAGGCCGCAAAATGAATCTTAGGGCTCTTTGATTGTGGGGGGTATGCAGAGGAGTATGCCCTCCAATGACAATGTTTCGACATGTTTGATTGTGGGGAGGGGGGGGGGGGTGCTCCGAGCACTTGGGGAAACATCTATCAAGCCAGGTTCATTAATTGGTTTATCTGGGGTCGACCTTGAAAGTTGGTCATACTAAAAACGTATGTTGCCGCAGAAGGTTTCAATATGGGTAATATGTCTTTTCTTTGGAGGGGGGGAGCCTCAAAAAAAGGGGGGGGTTCCCTTTGGTTTTCCTGCAGCTACCGCCAAAAAAGTTACCCTGAGAAAAAGGCACACTGCTCTACGTGTTTTAAGCCCAGCCTTCCCTACGGTTCCGCAGTGAGGGACCTGGAAGGAAGGCTGCGGCGATTGCGTGTCACTCTCTACGGGGCCCTCCAAGGGAGCAGTCTCAAGAGGTTAAAGCCCCAGTAGGGAAAGGAGCTCTGACTGTGTCAGCCGTCCAACTCATGCTAGTTTCCCTTCACCACGCAAACAGGGCGGAGTACCACTCACTGTTGGGGGGAACAATGCGCCGCCCCCCAGGCTCACCTAAAAAGGACCCTGGCTGTGGGTCAAAAAGAGGTACCCAAAATGGAAACATGGACTAAAACCTGCGGTCCATAGGAGTCCATATCCTAGTGGTTTAATTTTGACCCACACCCAGTGCCGCCCCGAGTCCAGTGGTCCAGGCTGCGGGTGCTGCAGCTGCAGCTCTTTCAGCAGCCGCCGGCGCCGCAGCTGGTACTCCGCGCCCAGATGCACCCCGTGCCGCACCAGCGACAGCAGCTGCTCGCGCTCCACGCCTGGAGCGTGGAGGATTTTTCGAGAAAGAAAAACAAAAGACCACAAAGCGGGTTTAGGGTTTAGGGGTTTGGGGGTTTGGGGGTTTAGGGGTTTTGTGAGTGGCGAAACAAAACAAAGAGCAAAAAAAGGGGCGGGGATGCAGCACGGCAGAAGGTGGCAAAGTAGCTCGAAGGTGTGCATGCGAGGTAGGGTTCCTGGCGCCCTCAGCCGGGGCAAGTCATGGGCCGAGTCTCTGAAAGAAACACTATCAGTCATCAACCCTGATCGAAAGTAAAGCATCCATGTCATACTCACTTGCTACGTTTCATGGAGTGTCGCTGCACTAGCACAGCTTTGCAGCAGCACTGCTACGCAGCAACAAGACAAAAAAAGGTATACCCTTGGTCAGGTTGCCTGGAGGCTGATATGAAACCAGGTAAGGGCGACTGCAAAATGCTCGCTGACATTCGGCCCCAAACCATGGACCCTTGTTGAAATCCAGTCTGAGGGCTTGAGAGTGGGAAGCTCTTACTGCCCAAATCCACCGACAGGCTCTTAACCAACCTGATTCTGACCAACCTGCTGATCTACGCCGCTTGCAAGCTGCGACTGGTGGGCCACTCTTCTCTAGGCTTGTACGTGTTCGCCAGCCCCTTTTTCAGGCATGCTCATGCATGTGGGTCATTCCTTGGTGTCACCCACTAGCACTAGCCACAAGCTAGGTTTTGAATTCCCGGTTCTGATCATTCTCGGCCTCTTCGTTTCTCCTGGTCTTCGGCGGCTTGTCTGAAAGTCGGAACCGAGGCTCGAAGGCGGAAGTTGTCTCTAACATGCATCAGGGTATGAGTGGACTGGCCTCCAAAGTTGGGTCGACACTAACTAACATGGTCTTCCCAAAACACTTCCCCTGAGCATCCAAAAAGTAGCTCCGCCGGCGCCACTGCCGCGCGAACCCGGAAGCCGCGCGAAACCGCCTTCCAGCGCCACGGCGCTGCAGCAGCCGCGGCGCCGGGGGCTCGGGGAGTCTGGGCGGAAGAGGCTCCCATAGGAAAAACACAAGGAGGGGGGTGGTAATGAGACACACACACACACACAGTTCTGGAGACACACACACACACACAGTTCTCTTCGTTGGTGGGAGATACGGCTCTTCCCCGAAGCCGTAAAGGTTAAAGGTCCAATCGCATACCAGCCCAAGACTTGATTGAACATGCAGCCGCTATATTCAGCTGGTTGCTGCTTGGAAAACTCCTGGTATGACACTGCAGAGCGCGACATCAACATACCCCTTGGACAAGAAACTCGAATTCCAGGCAGTGGACGACATGACTTGCTCGCCGTTGGGGCATGAGAAAGTTCGGCCAGGTCCAACTGTTCCCTGTGCGGAGTGTAATTTCCCAGTCTACCGTCTACAGTACGGTCTTTCCAGTCTCCCCACAGTCTACCTGATGGTTCCCGGCCTTCCAGCGTTGAACTCCGGCGGAAGAAGTCCGCGATGGAACTTCGTCCTGATGCCCGGAGGACACGGGTGTGTTGGGTGCTGCAAAAAGCACCGTGGTTTCATGGGAGGCCATATTCCCTGCGAAGAACAAGGCAACACTATCCCCTTGGAGTGCCAAGTTTCTGCATGCCGAATGGGATTTGCCTGTTCGGTGCACACAAGCCCAACCCCGGAAACCAATCAGAATCAGCGGGAACAAAAGGAAAAATCGAAGCGGACAGGGGATTCGGGTTGGGAAGGAAATGTCCCTCGCCCAAAGGGCCTTAACATAAAGGTCCCAAAATCAGTGAAAAGGTCCAAACAAAAGTGAAAAAGTCCAAACCGCTTTGGGCCAGCGAAATCCAATTTGCCGCCTTTTTCTTTTCGTCCAAAGTGAGATCCTCAAAACTACCTCAAAGAAAAGCCACTGGGTAATTTTGAGGATCTCACCTTGGGAAATTTGAGGATCTAGAAGACTTTCAACACCTTCAAGATTATCCAAAGAAATTTGGAGAACCTTTCAAAATCTCTGTAAGGAACCTGTCCAACATAAAACGGGACCCGCCCCGGCCTGGGCCCGACGAGCTCTTCCGCGGACTCGGCCGCCTATCGATTTGCAGAGAACCCTCCCGAAAGGAGATAGACACTTTAGGGTTTGGGGTGTGGGTAAGGTTGTCAAAACATGCGACCAGGCGCTTATTTTCCCTCTGCGGGCTTTTTCAGGCCGTCGTTTGTGTTTGGGCGAAAATTGGACGCACAAAGGTCTTCTTGCGGAAATTGTATCGGTCACCAATATTGGGATTGTCGAAAATAGGGAACCTCTTGTGTGACATTTGGAGGGGCCCCTTTGACACACAAACACACACACACACAGAGAGACACACACACACACACACATTCTGGAATGTGTTGCAAGGAAAAAGGATCGATCATGTTGGTAAGAACAGTCTGCAGTAAGCCACAGAGCTTGGCAATGAGTTGCCCTCCTGAAGAAACATAATTACTTGCACATTGACATAGCAAGATCCAAATAAGCCGCGCTACTCTGAAGGATTCCCCCGTTTCCGGTGACTTGAATGGCTTCCGAACTCGCAACCCAGGTGTTTTCAAACGCTTGCCCGCCTGGGTGTATCGGACTTCGGGGTGGCATGGTTCAAACGGTGGACAAAATCCTGCACCAGTTGGACAGCTGAAGCCCTGTGAATTTGCTGCCTACCAACTGGTGCAAAAAATTGTCCATCCACTGCATCAATATTAAGATTGTTTCAATGGCTGCGGTAATGGATTTTAAGATGCTTCAAGGGAGGCCAAGAGTAAGCTGGACATTGTTGCCGGACAAAGCATGTTGGTCTCACAAATGGCGATTGCGACCTGGGGCAGCTTGATGAGGGGACCCTATTTTGGAATTGTTATAGTTCACCCTGGTTTTTGGGCACCCCCGGAGTTTCCGGGTTTCACGGCATCACGTTTCCCCGCGCCTGGGGCCCGAAGGCGTCTTGCCCTGCGGGTGAGGCTCTGGAAAGAGATAAGACACGCAAGTCGGCCTCTTCCATCAGGACGTAAACACGTCGGTTGAGATGTTTTGCCTTTTTTGCAAGTAGAATTAAGGTCTGTTGAGATGTTCTGGACATTGCTGCTGTTTGGAAGCAGAATTCAGACGACAAAAAATGTTTCTTTCTTGATTGCAACGAACAAGTCTGTAAAATCAAACTTTTGGGCACGCAAGGCTTGCACAATTGAAAAAGCAATTGAAAAAGGCGGGCGCTGGGCAGAAGCAAATCGGAGCCAACTCATAACCACGCAATTGGTTTCACCCAACCACGCAGTGTGTCAGCGCAAAGAATTCCCAAGAAAACTGGGTGATGTCAAATGCCAGAGTACTACTTGGCACCTTGCCAGTTGCAATTGTTCGAGAAGGGTCAAAATGTGGCAAACGGGCACCACTGTATATGAAAACACAAGCTGTATGGCAACGCGCCTTGTCGCCACGCTCCAATCGCGGTCGGCATTTGACGTTCCTCGCCCTCGTGCAACGATGTCTGCTAACGCTTAGGCCTAGGCGCTGAACATTACGAGTCGCCGCATGGCGCGGGGCTGTCATGGACGATGCACACTTTCTTCGGCCCAGGGCGGCTTCTTTCTCCCGATGTCTTGGGACTCACGTAGCACGCCCCCTGTGACTCCACATTTGGCTGAACATCCACCTATACTGCATGGGTGATCGCCCAATTGGGCCGGGCCCAGAATGCGAAGAAGGCCAGAAACTCACAGTTTTACACGCCACGATGGGCTCACCTTGACAATTGATTTGTTGAGCAAGTGCGTGAAATTAGCAGCCAGGGACTCCTGACCCTGCTGTGCGAGCACGTGTTCCGGCTTTGAACGCCAGCCTCCAGCGTGCATTCTGGTCCGCGTTGTGCAGATCCCGGGTGCTCACTGTGTTCCACTGTGTGAGTGCGCGGACAACCAGACAGTGCTCTTTGCGCCACTTGCAGAAGCCCCGTCCAGAGCCGCGAATAAGCGACGCGATTGAACTCACGCACAACTGCGCATTGCCTTGTCAATCTGTCGCGCAACATGCATTGGTAAATTCTTGCTGCTCCTTAGAGCATTTGGCTGCCGATGCTCCTTCCAAGCAATACCCATCAGATTGCCCAGGAGCTCTACAAGGAGGGTGCCTGAACACCGTCTTCCCACATCACGCCGATCCACACAGGGCTCCGCGCGCCCAAGAAAAAGTTGCCAAGCAAACAGTCCAGTTGCATCGACCACGCTGATCCCCGCAGAGGGTTAACTTTCGACAGCTTGCGTCAACCCCCTCGATCCCCCGAACCCAACAAGAGAAGACAACATACTCAAGAATCTGGGTAGGGAAAAGCAAAAGACAGTTTTGAAGGAGCAAAGTTTGAAGATAACTTTCACATAAGAATGCCACCTGAAAAGCTTGGAAGTGAGTTTGACAATGTGACTAACGCAGAAAGATTGAAGCCCTGAAAAGCTTGAACGTGACTTTCGCATTGTGACTGGCACATGAGTAAGTGAAGGTGACTTTCACATTGTGCATCGCACATATCACAACCGAAAGTTTGAAGGTGTTTTGATGATGCACCCTGGAAGATGTGTTTAACATGGTCAACTTGAGACTTAACCTGGTGTAGCCATTCTTTGGGAAGAGCCCTTCGCAATCCTGTCGAGGAAAACATGTACCCTCGCCAATTCACTTCCCCACCAAAGCGGTGGCCGGGATCGAACCACTTGTCCGCAACCCCGGCTTTCCCGCCTCTGCTGGCCAGTGCCCACGCGCCTGGCTGAATCAGATGGCAGGGAAAAAGCTGAAAAGCATCCACTGCTTCAATCTAATGTATGTGAATATGGGCATGCATGTATATATCTACAACAAATGAGCAAGCATGTCTATATTCATGTTACATACATGGTACCCCAGAAAACTGGAGACACGGCCATTTCAGATGATCACTTGAGGCCGCTTGACACTTGCCCGCGACCCGTTTGATGGGAGAGCTCAAGTTCTCGACCTCTGTGAGCACTCGGTGTTTTCGGGAATTACTTCCCTACCAGCAGTAAGGAGAAACACATTCACTCTGCAAAAAAGACATTCACCCTCCCAGGACAGAAACTGGGTGTGCTGTATCGTGAGGTGAAGGGAAGTCAGGGCAAGCCCTCCAATTTGAGGGGTAGACCATGAGAGACAAGCCATACGACATCCCCCCATCCCAGGGTGTCGCCCAAAACTGTCCAACGATTTGCTTGGCTTCCTGTTGGTTTCCAACCAAAAGTCAAAGGTCCGGCGTTTTTGTTTTGAGACGCCACGCGCCTTGCACTCTGCCACCGCTCGGCTCAAGGTGACCATGCACCGCACCGAGGCGCTCCGGAGCAGCATGTGGGACTCCTGGAAAGAATTGAAGTTTCGTCCTTTTGTTGAGGCTACCTCATTTTGTTGGTGGCTTTCAAGAAAGACCACGTGAAAACCAAAGGAAAACCGCGGGTCCCCCCAGAGACCCCATAGCTTTCTGTTGGGGAAAAACAAAGAAACACGGCAACTGTCGGAGGAGCTGATTATACAAGAACTTGCATACTATATTTGTCTATATACGTTAAACACAGGTTTGTTGGGATCCCATTCTTTGATTCTTAAGAGTTCTTCTGTCAGTCTCCAAGGGTACAACGTGAAGTGAATCCGCGGCCTGAGCTCGTTTTGCCCCAAGCTCGCCAGCGAATCCGTGCAGAGCTCTGGTGTCTTGTGTTTACATTTTGGGGGAAACCCCTCAAACTAAGCAGCCAGACCAATAAGTACCTGCCAAGGGTTTTCGTGAACAGAAGGAAGCGCGCTGTTGTCGTTGGCTGAGAAAAACACTACCCTGGCGGCGGGGGCGAAAGTTGAATTCAGCCAACGCATGCTTCGGCTCAGCAATGGAGATTTTCGTGGTTGACAGTTGCGTGAAGTTTCCAAAACACCAAACCACCAAACCTTTCAATGAAAGAGGACTGCGTGAGATGTCTGACAACAGGCCAAGCTGTGTTCAGTATCCTGTCATACAACAGACTCAAGAACAGGCTTGGCATCCCAATTCACCTGCCCCTCACCGTGCCAGCTCTTTCAACACAGGCCTTCCATCAGTTCCAATGGCCTGTTTTTGAACCTTTCAGCTTGCTCCGAAACCCGAGAATCCCAGCCACCAAGCGAGGGACCGCAAAACCAAGTTGGTTGGGAAGCTGGAATCGTTCGACTGCAGCAAGGGGTACGAATATCCCCGGCTGGGGTGTGACTGTCTGTTTCGGAACTTGATTCTTCAAGCCATCCCCACAAAAGTGAAGATAGCCCGATTCAAGGTGGAGACAGTGAAACACTTGCGCGATGAATCTGGGGTCATGGTCCCACTTTGACCTGCGACTGAACAAACCCTTTCTGCCCATGCGAGCCAGGCTGCCTCAATGTAGGCCTGGACGGCAGCGGGAGCTGCTCGGGGCCGGAAAGCGTTTTGTGCTGACTTTACGGTAAACGTCAGCAACAAGTGACCATCTACAGAAGACCCGCGTGGAGCTCAGTCTCCATTTGCTTGCCGGTATGGCAAGTTTCCGATTGCATTCCTGCGCTTTGCATGCATTTGTATGCATGCAAAAGAGCGCTATAAATAGTGATCTGGCAGTTTCTGGAAATCAGTGCTCATCTGCGCAGACTTAGAGCAAAGGGTGCTGGTGTTGTTCCTTCCTTTTTTGATTACACTGAGATAGATGTGCATTTGATGTGTCTACATCACACCGAAAGCTGCCAAGCGTGTATCGCGTGCATCGGCTCGGAGCACGGATGTGACATAACTCATGGACCCTGTACAAGATGCTCGTCCTTAGCAAAATAATCATGTTTCCACATCGGAGCAGTGCGGAGATCCAGTTTTCCACCCTCATCGGACTGACAAACTCGCGCTCTGGGACATTGTTTGACCAATTCAATTGGGGCGAATAGCAATCCACCGGCCCAAAATACTAACCCTCCGCCGCCAAAGCAGCACTTGCTCCAAACATCACGAGACGACTTCATTGAGTTGAACGTGGCCTTTCTAGGCAATGTCTTATCTGGGCTGCCCTCACATCCCCTGCAAAAAGTGTAACTTTTAGTGGTTTAAATGGAAACCCCCACTAAACCCTTAAAAAAAAGAAAAAGATAAACGGCTAAAAGGCTATATTGTTTTTAAAAAAGCAGCCAAACAAAGAGCTAAAAAGCTAAAGAAGGCCAAGGAACCGGATGGCTGGGAGCCCAGTTCTCCCCAGTGAATTCCGGGACAAGTCCCCGCCCCCTCGCTCGGTCGCTCCGCCTCCAGCGGGGCCTCCTCCGCAAAGTCCCCGTAGCCCGCGTCCGCGAAGACGGCCCGCGCGGCCTTCCAGGAGCTCAGGTGGCCTGCGACGGGCTGCTCCTAGGCCCATCCACTCACTCGAGGGGAATGGAATCAGTACCCGATTTTTGTGCGCTAGCCTATTTTAGGGGAACCGTTCCCCCAAAAAGTGGGGAAAAGGGAGAAAAAAGGGTAGAGAAGGGAACTGGGTAACTGAGGCTTGCACTGGGAAGATGGCACAACCCCCACCCCACCCCACCCCACCACCCCACACCCCCCACACCCAATTTTGACAAGTCGTCCCCTTGACGTACGTAAAATCCCCAGCGCCCTCCCCATTTTGGTGAATCGTCCCCTTTACCCCTTGTCATTAAGAAGGACTGCTTGCACTTGGGGTATGGGTCATCGTCCCCTTACCTGCCCACGCAAAGAAGGACTGCGGGCACTTGGGTTTTGGTTCGTCGTCGCCTTTACTTGCGTAAAGGGCCCAGTGCCATCTGCGTTCACTTGGTGCACCCTCTTTCCAACCATCATGTACATGGACTGGAGTCGTCCTGAAGAGGAACCGATTCTTCCACAGCCCCCGTGATCGGTGGAGGAAGGGCAATCTTTTGCCACCGAGGGTCTCAAGATGGCTGCGCCAATCGAATATCAACTCCCCTTCAAAATCACATCAAACCAGGGCTGCCAAACGGAGATGTCTCTTCGAACAATGCCATCCCACAATCCCACAAGCACCTCACCACTTTGAGACAATCCTGAGTTCCCCCTTACACTTTCTCCAAATAAAAACCTGTGGAAGGTTTCCTCTTCCAAGGTTCCTTTGGCATCCACTTGCTACACAAGTTTACAACCAACGCGGTTGCCCTCAAAACCACATCTAGGGTCACCACCCCTACCCCCACCCACGAAACACTGTAATCAGCAAGGGTTTATGCAACTACAATTGGTACCGTCACAAGCGAGATGTTCCGGTCACAAGCGAGAAAAAAATAACGTCACAAGCGAGAAAAAGCTAGAGTCACAAGCGAGGTACCGCCCTCCACATTAGCGGGCGGGAGGGTAAACCAGGCACTTAAATTGTCCAATAATGGCTTTGGGCACGGTACAGCCCCGTTAGAGCCATGGTTCTAGAATTGGCTGGTCTCCTTGTGGCTTCCCTTTAGCACCAGCCGACCTGCAATCAAAGAATGCTCCATACTAGGGTTCGTGTCCATCCTCATCGCTACTTCCACTTTGAAGGGTTCTCTACAATCGTCCCCTCGCGGCAAACAAGGAAACTGGTTGCTGCACTAGAGGCAATTGGCGCTGATCTTTGTGTCTCTGTGGTGGAGCAACATGTTTGATTTTGGAAACCTTTCAACCTCAGCCCGTCCCAGAGAAGGAGAACGTGCTTCCCACGCCACCTGGCATCTGCGTGTCCCAGACTGCATTCCCCTTCCCCCCCAACCTCCAGCTGCCCTCGCATCCACACCAAAGGCCCATGGGGCCCTGCCTAGTCCCTCTGAAGGGGCACATATGCTCGTGGTCACGAAGGTGTCGATCAGGAGTGACAGGCTAAGCGCCTGGCGGGTTGGAGGCTATGGCCGCTGCATGCATGGTCTGTCAGGGCCAAAGCTTGACGGCACCAGGGACAAAAGCAAAGTGCTGGCGTCTACAACCCATTTCTCCAACTATCTCCAAAGATGCTGAAGTCGCTACTCCAAAATGGCCGTCCCAAGTAGGCGCTCGGAGTTCCATGTCTGTCACAATCATCAGCAACACGGGAGGACATCTGCCCGAAGAGATTACGGTGGTTCTAAACCCAAGCCTACAGCTCCCGTGAGAATTTTCGTTTGCTTTGCTTTCAAAGGACTCTGCAAGGTGTCGATTCCAGGCGCCAACGATGGCTTCTCCATGTGCCTGGCTCGTCCAAAACGACCAGCCCAACGCCTGGCCTTGTCGCCCATACTGACCTTCTTCTGCCTAGCATTCGTCAGTCTCTTATTGGGGTTGGTCCCAGCCCAAACGTTCTGCAGGGCGGCCTACCAGCCTGAGGCTTTTTGGTATGCTCCCTGGCAGCTAGCAGGGAGTAGCTCCTTCATCTCTTGGGGTCTTAAAAATTATACCTTCTCATAGGGCAAATGGGAATCAGCCCTTCCAACCATCAATGGATCCCGGCTGAGAATTGTTGGTCAAGTCAAATGGGGAGAAGGACGAGTCTGGCAACACTGCAAGTTGGGCGCATTTGCCTAGCCATCCAGAAAGGGTGTCCAACCAAAACGAATGGTTGGAGTCTGTTTTGGATTTCCAAGGTGGGGCCAACTCAGCAAACAACAGCTTTCCAGGGTGCCTGGACAATCAACAAATAACCCATCCCCTTTGCGTTTCCTATTGAAGGCATGAACTAAACTATAGGCTATTCAGCCGCAGTATAATGGAACAATCTGGGGGAACCCACGCAACACGCACCCAAACCCCTTCTTTGGGGAGCTGAACCAATCCTTTGCAGCCGTTCGCGGGCCAGGTGCTGCAGGGCGTGCGTGACGGCCTGGGTCTCTGCGAGGAACAGGACACTGCCCAGGCACTCCTGACATCAAAACGACAGCTCAATCCAACCGGGCAACCAACGAACATTTGCGTACCTAAGAGTTCTGAAAATTGAGGCCCGGTCCCCTTGGTTTTCGCGGGAAATTTGGGTGGGCCCCGCATGTCCTCTCCAAACTCATCAAGGTACTAAATGCAAGAGGGAATCCACTACCCCTTACACAGATCCCCAGAGAAAAAAAATGGGTTTCTACTGGTGGTAGCGTGTTCTGATGATACCCAATTGTTCCTGCTTGTGGTCGTAACTGTGTTATATAATTATGATTAATTATGAACCCCGGACAAAACTGCGACCTGTAGTTTTCGCACGCCTCGTTCTCGATGCTTGGCGCCGTTCATAAGGCAACTGCGCCGCAGCACGTGCACGCCGACCACGCCAATTCCCGCAAAGGGGCGCGCGCGCAAACCAGCGAGTAGCCCTCAGTTTCGGCCAGCTGCAAAGAAGTTGCGCATCGACCACGCCGAGCCCCACAGAGGGTCGCGCCAGCGCGAGTCCGCAGTTCTTGCACATCGACAAAATGGCTCCGTTTTGACTTGCAAATCTCCGGCTCGCAGCTCCTGAATGGCGATGGTTGGAAATACGGCCGGACTAGGTCGGACCGCGAGCCGGTGTTCGAAGTGGGCATGGCCCGCGGTCACCACAGACGGAACAGATCCCAAGCGCATACGCAGTTGAAGGATCTGCCCCCGTCGGAAGGAAGGCTAATGCCAAGCAACGGTTTCCATGCGAAGGGCATGGGCGCCCGGAATGGGAAAGGCACAGAGAATACCTCGGAGACCAAGGCTGAAAGAAGGTATGGAGGTGAGACCAAAAGGTCACCAGTCAACTAATAACCATGATTCAAATCTTCAAGCAAAAACTGCACACATGAAGTTGAAGGCCGGCGCCCCTTTGCAGTAGCCAAGCAAATGGGCGGCGGAAGGAGAAGCCCGTAAAGGCCTGGGTTCACTTTTCGTGCAGCGACCTGAAGAGGTGGCTCAAGCGAACTCTATTCACACAGATGCGGTGATCCAGTACGACACAACCCAGATGAAAGGGAAGTGCAGTCCAATCTGTAGGCAGAAAGCATGACCACACATGCAGGCTGAAGTACCCGACCCGCCCGAAAGTGGCCACACCTCGATGGCAAGTCCATGGCTCGATCTGTCGGCAGCGAGGGGATGGGACAACCCACCCCCACGAGTAGCTGCAAGAGTCTCACTGCAAGTTTCTCCGCGCAAGTCCTCTGCAAGTTTCTCTGCCAAGTTCGGGGCGCAACTTCTCTGAACTTCTCTGCTGGAGTCTGTCCTTGCAAGTTCTTGATGCAAGTTTTGGGCAAAGCTGCCTGTTCAAGCCTTTTTGCAAGTCTTTTCGGACCAGTTCTCAACATCGCCACAAGTGGTGCAAGTTTCTCTGCACAAGCTCTTTGTGCAGTTTTCTCTCCGCAAGTTGCCCTGGACTCTTTGAGCTTTTGCGCAAATCGTTCGCAATGCAGGGCGTCGATCTCACGGCAAGCATGCTGCGCAAATTTGCGCATCCACCACGCCGATCCCGGCAAAGGGAAGGGAGCACAAAGCAACAAGTCCCGACAGCCCTCAGTTTTTGCACATCTCAACAGCAGGTCGCTGAGTGAACAGTGACAAAAGTCCTCAGTTCCTGCGCATCGACCACACAGATCCTTGCAAAGTAGCAAACGTCATCAGTCTTTGGCACTGGGATGAAACCACACTGGGCCCCTTTCAACAAAGACGTATATGATGTCAATGATGTCCCTTGATCTACCAGGGTGGCGCTTTGCAGGACTTGCGAATTTTTCGTCATGTCAAGTGGAAGCCAAAACTATGTCGACAAAGTAGAATAAACTTTCACGGTCTATGTTGAGGTTCAACACTAGCAAGCAACCTATCCTGCTAAAGAACAAAAAACAAGCGGACAAGTCACGCCGCGGGTCACGGAATTATTGAGCATTGTGTGCTTCTTTGGCCCCGAGTGGCAGCAAGTACATTCGTTGGCGAAAGACCCGCTACAAGCTTTTGTTTGAAACACACGGCCACACAGGCGGCATGAAAGCTGCGATGTCTCCAGAGTGGAAGCTGCAAGGAGCTTTTTGAAGGCTGCCCCAGCCGCGAAGGTGCCTGAGCCAACAGCACGTAGGCAAGAGCAGAGGCTCGGTCGTATTCATGAAGTTGGTCAAGGTTGAGTGCCGCCAAGCAAAGCGTCTCAGCGCACCAAAGCTGGACAAAGAACCACAGAAGCAGTCAGCAGGAAGGTTCTGTCCAGGTTGGCTGGGCCCCGCCTGTTTGTTTTCTGCGTGGCCGCTTCCGCCGTGCGACAGGGGTTTCGTGAGTGCCAGGACAAGTCCGGCACTTTTCTTGGCCGCTCTGCACTTCAATGGCCTTGACTGGAGATCGCCGCCCTCCGCCGCCTGAGTTGCCTCCACACACTTCCCACGCTTGCAGACCTCCTCCATACAATGTCAGCACTGACTGGGGCTTCCTTCGCCGCGTAGCACTCCTTTGCGCCTCCAGCACCTTAACACCACATAGTTTGAGCCCGTGATTGTTCTGCCGCCGCGTCCGGAGCCTTGGCTGAAAAACGCTTGTCAACTGCAACCAGGCGATGTGCGCCTAACCCCTTCTACTGCCAGGGACATCCTTTACCTGCGCTTCTGGGCGCAGGACCTTCTTGATGTACGAACCAAGGTGGATTGAGAAGCCCACCATGTCATACTTACTGGCCCATCGACCTTGCCCATCTCACTCTCCCTGCGATCGGTCCCACATCTCCCGCTTGAAACCATCACCTGAGGTGGATATACGATGACCCATTGGACCTTGCCCAAGAGGTGTCACAGTCTTAAGGTTCCGAGTTTCTGAGAAGCGCATGTCTCACCAAAGTCCTCAACATCGCCGAGTCTGCTCTGCCCGCAAAGGTTTCAGCCTTGGCGCGTGCTATCCCCAGCCCTACACTTCCGGCGGCCCGTCCTTTGCTGATCAGCCCGTCTGCTTCCTCAACCTGAACAAATGGATCTCGCAGCGCTGCACCCACTGCGTATTCACCCTTCCCCTCATGCAGGGGAACCGCCTCGTCTGCTGAAACTGACTTGCTCGCTGCCCTCAACTTTGGCCAAGATCCTCTCGCACCTCGGCTTGACTGTCCTCTGCTTCTCCTGTAGTTCCGTTACGTTCTTCAATCTGCTCTCCGACGGGTCTTCCAAGGTGTGATCCGCCGGAATTTAGCGCCCTGAGGAAAGGCTTCGCGCCACCCTGATATTCTGCATCTTCGTCTACTTTCCTAACAACCTCTGAGCCTTCTCCCGCGTCTCTGCTGCAACCGGCACCACGTCCGCAGAGGGTCGCGCCGATCCCACGGAGGGCGTCGTTTGAGCGGTGGGTGGGTCCTGGCTTATATTTCTCGGGCTCTCGTGCAACTTGCCACGCATATCCTCTCCGTCTCTCGCGCTGCGCACTTGCTTTCGCGCATCTTGCTTTGCATGTGTTCTTGGGCTACTTGCTATGCCTGTGCTCTCATGCTATTTGCTCTGCATGCGCTCTTGCGCTACCTGCTCTGCGTGTGCTCTCGTGCTACTTGCTCTGCATGTCCTTTTGCGCATCTTGCTGTGCATGTGCTCTCTCGTGCTACTTGCTCTGCATGTCCTCTCGTGCAACTTGCTCTGCATGTACTCTGCTGGCTGCGGATTTTACTGGAAGAACCCTTGGCAATGCTTTTGGGAGAGACAACTAAAACGAACCGTTTCACGCAAGTCCTTGTAGTCATATTCCAGGCACCACTCTGCAAAAACCAGCCTGGTCAGTTGCACATTCGACGCACATAAGCCGCGGCTCTAGGAACCCGCGCTTGCTTGAAAAAAATAATGCCCATTGACCAGTTCGGCTATGAGTCACAGGGCTTTCTTCGTGCTCCCTCTGCACACTGCATAGCCCACTCCGAACTATGTTTCCTAGTTTCTATCCCGCCTTGCAGCCTTGCAAGACCTGACTCAAAGGGACAGAGTGCCGAAGAACGGTTGTGGAGCTCTGTTGACCCAAATCTTTGCTGGCCATATGAGTAAACGCTCCGATTTCGTTCAGAACAATTGCACATATGCATTCGCACTGTACATGATGTGCTGACCCCTCCGGCTCTGAGATCACTGACGTTTGACGGTACATGTGTGCGGCTTATGCTGGGGATGTGGCTAGCCCAAGTTCCAATACCAACATCCCAGCAATGCCCGCGCTTCGCAACATCTGCATCACCCCAGCGTCACACAGCAGTCATTTGCGGATGCAATTTGGGGCTGCCGTGCACAGGGCGAAACAACACTGTCCAGTAGCAAAGTGTTGCAACACACAATCTTTTTGCCCGTGCACCTCACACAAAGACAGCTGAGAACAAGCAGACCAAATCACCAAAACCAGCCACACTACAATGTTTTGCAAACAAGGCGGTTTGCACTTGGAGCACAGCATGTGTTTCCGCAAGTAAAGCGACGATCAATTCAAGTTGTACCATCGCCAGCACAGCGGGTGCCTGGGTTTGTTCTGAAAAATGTGAGAAAATGCTCCCTCCAGTGGGCAAGCAACCATCCCGACGAAGGCCAAAAGGTTGTTTCGGTCAAACATAACAAGGTGATTGAAAAGAAGCGGTCCGAACTTGTCTTTTGTTGCTTCCATAATCTCACAATAGGCGTGGGACAATTCGTGTCTCCTGGTTGCTTGGGGGAAACTTGGTCTGACAAGTCCCTCTCAAATCTACAATGGCTGCAGAAGTGCCCATTGACCAATCCTCATATCAGTAGCGCCCAAAACCCGTCCTCAATTGATACGAGCCTTCCACCAATTCCTGCGAAACCAAAGAACACACCTGAGATGGCCAACTTCGTGGGTTCTGGGAGGACTTCTCTGCTCAAAGGGCTGCAAAAAGCTTCACCGAGGCGCTGCTGGTTGCTGTCCAGCTGGTACTCCACTTGCTCCAAGTCTTCTTCCAACAGCCTCGCCGGGTGAAGCTCGTCCCACGAAAACCGGTCAGGCGTGCTGCGGAAGATGGCTGAAGGTGCACATTTCGCGGGTGCGTGATCATTCTTGCTACTTTAAATAGGTCAAGCGAAGAAATATATGCCGCTCCTGACCGCACCTGCCTTCCCCCCCTTTACACATCACCCCATCACCCCTCGCGGTAGAAATACTGCCTTTTTGGTTGGGACAACAACCCCTGTCGTGCCTGGTCCCCTGGTTCTACACAGTTCCAACCACTTGTCCAACCTATGTCCAACCTATAAATAATATCAGCCCACCAAAAGGAGACTCACTTCTTAATTGGCAAGCAAATGGCAATGTTTCAAAGCCACTCAAAGCCGGTTCCGGGCGGATCTGTGAGGGAGATGGAGGCAAGCCCGAACCCCCGTCGACCGTTTATCTCCTGTCAATTGGAACCTAAGGACCCGCGTTTTATGGGGTACGCGGACCCTATTCCAGGCCAAAACCATTTGGGCACCTCATGGTGCGGCTCTCTTGCAGCCAATCCTCTCTAAGTCTGCTTCAATGACTGAGTGTTGCTGTAGGGGTTCCCTGCTTTGCAGCCGCCATTTGACATCCTGAGTTTGATGGTGCCTATGTGGTGTGAAGACAAGATTGGCGGGGGTGGCAATTCCATTCAAGCTACCAAATGACTATGCCTGGCCATAGTTGTGGAATTCCGCGATGCCAAAGTGGGATTCCCATCCATGTGACTTCATTGTCATATTTTGTGCCATACCCTTAGGCTTGACATTCTGAAACTTTGCAGCCCGGGTGCAACTTCCAACATTGGAAAACTCTGCGAGAAGAGTCCATGGCCTACACATGCTCCGGTCAACCTTCGACTCCTGAAAGAGATGCCTGGAGTTTTCACCTGAGGCATGTTCTCCATCAAGCAGCCAGAACTTCGGGCAGTTGGAACATGCATCGCCTCCTACAGCTTCCGTCAAACCCATGAACATTGTGAACTCAGCCCGGCAAGAAGTCAAGAAGCCACGGCAGGGGTGGCAAAGCAAGTGAGAGATGTGTGATCGTCCCAAACAGGAGATGAACCAAGCTTGTTGCTTGCTTCCCTTTGGTTTCCCCTCAAAACGCAATCCAACAGGAGCCGTTTGCTGTCCTTCTGCTCGCAAGCAGTGAAACAAGAAGTTGTCGCCCCCAAATGGCCGACGCTTTGCGGGCAAGGCTCACCACATCTGCGGCTGCAGGGCTTTCCACGGCGATGGCGTGCACCCGGGCGCAAATGCCCTGCCAGGTAGATGTTCTGTTCTCGGGGCTTTTTTCAGGAGCTGTGGAAGTGGCTGTGGCTCAAAAACATGAATGGCACTTTGGTACATGGAGCCCAAGACTAAACCTGCCTAACCCTAGCTCTTTAATTTTGAGCCACACCCGAGTCGAAAGTGGAGAAGTCTTCCTTTGGCTGAACCCACAGGCGTGTGTCTACTCCGTTTCGCCAAATAATCGGACCAACTAGGCATTGACATGTACAGTGTTCCCTAAACAGCACCTAAACGCGGACGCTTGACACCAACCAAGAAGCATGTCTATTTGACAGCAGTCTTCCAAGTCCTGTCAGCTGTTGCATTTGTTTTGAAGATTGATGATAAATTCAGTCATAGGCATTCCCCAATCTGACAATTTCCGAAGCCCATCACAGAACCATCATCGGCCCGGTCCATTTTTCACACGCCAAGTGCGGTCAACATGTTCAGAATGACGGATGAAGCCCTTTAGTTCGCTGTGTTGCTTCATCGGTGGCGTGCCGACCGTCAAAGAAGATCTCTTCACAGAATGGCTGGATGTTTACAGCTAGCCAACGTTCTTGCAATCGCCTGTAGTCTGTGGCTGGCGCTTTGGTAATTTTCAGGGCATCCATGGCTTTGCGGACCTCACTGGGGGATTGTAATCCGTTGCCTGCCCACCCTTGGCGTACTGATTTTGCAAAGCGCGTGACCAAAGATGCCGGAATTCCAAATGGTTCTGTGAACCATGAGATGCCTTTCCTCACTTAACGCCAATAGCGCCAAGGCAATAGGATGCCTGCAAGCCCAAAGTCAGTCTCAAACACTTCCGCAAGGAAGGACCAGATTCCACAGAACAAACACCTTCGGGCGTGTCCGAAAATTGGCTTGACGGACCCAAACCCATCTGTCACCCAAGCCCAAAAGCCTGGGTGCAGGCAGTATTGGACACACCGCGGCAGCCCATGAAGACTGCAGGCATCTGACGTGCCACCGGGGGGGGGCGGGGCGGGGGGGGTGGGGGTGGCAGAACCAGTCCTTATTCATAGACCGCTTCAAAGAAAACAAGATGACTACCATTCATATAAAGGTGTCCATGGTAGAATTGACACATACCCAACATTTGCAGGGTTCCTCACATGTGCTACAGTGAAAGTAGCCACGGTTTTCCACAGTGGCCTAAACGCACCCTAGCAAAAGATAATGAGCACCTCAAGTCCACGGCACGCTGTGACCATGGCACATATGGGTATGTGCAAATGTATGTGTATGTATGTACGTATGCATGTGTAGGGATGTATGTACGTACGTATGTATGTACGTGTCGAAACTTAGGCCCTATAGGCCTTTTGAACATAGGATGCTCCTTCGCCCAAAAACCAGTGGTGTTGACACACGCACATAGAAAACACTAAAGATACATATGTAATTTCGTGAGTCTGCATGTCCCTCCCAAATGAACCATGCGCTACTGGTGATTTTGGCCGAACCTCTTTAACATTCCCATCGCGACGTTGGAGTTGCATCTTGCGATTGATTCCCTGATGGGGTCTTTCGTGTTGGCCTGTCTGAATCCAAATCATTGCAAAATATAGGCCGCTCCCTTGACTGCAGCCAGCATCTGACCTGCAAAAGGGTTGAAGCATGCCACCTTCAACTGCTCAATGCTCCTTCGTCTGGGAAAACAATGGCAGTCAGGTCTAACTGCTTCAACGTGTAGCCAAAACTAGGCTGGCGTTTGGCCCCACACAAAACGTAAAGCTGAGTGCTAGTATGTGGGGATTGGTTTTTGCAAAAGCTTGAAAGGTGAAGGCAGAAACAAAAAACAACCCTTGGTGTGATTCCTAAATAGGGACACCTACCCAAAAGGAGTGTGCCTCGCAAGAGCAGCCAGGAAAAGCATATCAGAAATTTCGAGGGAAAAGCTCTTCGCACAGTTTCGCCAGTGCCTCTGCATAGAAGTCTGCAAGGCTCCTGAGGGCCATGCTGGCAGGTGACCATGACTTGTGACTTGGCTGTGGGTCAAAAACAGGTACCCCAAATGGAACCCTGGTAAGTGGGAACCTGCACTAAAACCTGGAAATTCCTGGTGGTTCAATTTTGACCCATACCCACTTGTGATGCTGAGTCGCACTATTCGCGGTGCACACGAAGAATTGGTGCAGACAGTGGGAATTCTGAGTTGCGAGCTGTACAGTATCTCGCACAACCGCGCCCAGGGCTTTGCCAACGGGCACTCAATTTTTCGAGCATTTATGCTGCACTCAACAGCATTCACTCAGACTCAGACTGCAGATGACTGCAGGATAGAATTGGATTCATATGGTGCATCAGTGCCATGTCCACAGCATGTTGCCAAGCAATCGCCGAGAACACTTGGCCTATGGGCGATTCTCACAACTCTCACGGCAAACTTGTCAACAATGTCGCGAGGAGAGGCGCACTCACGCTTGACCATCGGCACCTCCCATATGACTTGCATGATTTCCTCCTTCAACTGATTGAACCTGTACTCAGTCCCAGTGTTCACCTCGATGCGGCAGAACCATGTCCCAATGATTGCTCCCCCAACCACCAGGCCTGCACGGACCTCATCGGATCCCAAGTACCTCCCTTTCAAGGCGTCTGCGATGGGCTCCACCCGGTCTCGGGTGAACTCGTTGCCCAAGAGCTTGTCGCTCGTGTTTCCCATCGGAATCTTAAATCGAGCCTGGGCCCCGCGGAGCAAATCGATGAACCGCTTGGGCCAAATGTACGAGTCGTCTCCGTGAGGCTGGACAGCAACGTGGTCATCTCCAGCCTGTCTCATTCAACCTGATGTCCTAAAGTGAAATATTTTAAGGGGAACCTCAATTGTGGATGCGGTCGCCACGCCCCCTTGCGAGGTCGCTAGAATTTGCCCAGACTTGACCGTCTACGTATTTGGTGGAACCTGTTTAAGGTCCCTGTCTCTCCTTGACTACTGAAGGTTGCCCAACTGTCCAACTCAGCGTTAAAAAGCACCGCTAATCGCACTCTGCCTTGTCAAGAGTGCCCAAAAAAGTATGCGTAGACCCTCTAGCTCCTTGCCGCCTGCGTTTGGTTTTTCCCACAAAATGAAGGTTATGTCCCTGAACATGGCAAGATCTGTTTGTTTCCTTTAGCCGGCTTTGTGCTTGACTCCTGCCAAAAGTTAAACGTGTTTCTACTCGGTGGGTAAACAATCATTTCCCAAAAAGCTCACACCAAATGTTCCAACCACCTCAAATACGGTTCACCATTTGAGCAGTGCCCCCAAAGCTGTATACATGAGAAGAACCCGTCTATAATTAATCTTCATCTTGGAGAAGATAACCCTGACAGCCAGGTGCTTTAACCATGGTGCAATTACGTACACACCCAGGAACCTGCCAGTTCGTATGTGTTTTTCCTGGATTTTTTGGAACTTTGAAAGGGGTGAGGGGATGGGACAGTGGCACTAAATGGAAGTGACTAGAAAGTCGACCAGACAGACCCGATTCCCCGACTGGCAGGCTCCTTCTGCGTGGCCTTAAATTATTTCAAAAAGGACATTATTCAACATATATATATATATGTATGCAACTCCCCGGTGGATCTACCTTTTTGCTGTTTGAAGGCTAGTTTGGAGATGGAATGCGACCAGCATCAGCTCACCCTAAGCAAGGTCATCCTCTTCAAAATCGAATTTGGAATAACATTTCCAATTATGTGCCTTTTTTTGAGAAGTAAGTCCTATTGAAATTATCTTGAAACTTAGAAATTCTACTATAATTGTGCCCTTACAAGATTCCAGTAAATTCTGAATAGAAAGTGGAGAAACAATATGACCGGAAAGGACGTTCTCTTTTAAAAAACTATCTTGAAATACGAATCCCAATTACCCATGTCCTTCCAAATCAAAATCCTATTCAATTCAGTTTTAAGTGTCGAAACTATACCCGCAGCACGTGTGGTTCGCCCAGAACCACTTTGTCTCTTTTTCAGCCTCCTTTGGCTAGCTTGCCCCAGTTAGGGTTCAGGTTTACGGTTTAACTTGCCCTCAAACCCCCACCTTAGGGTTCAGGTTTAGGGGTTTTCTTGCCCTCGAACAACCCTCAAACCACCCGTGAATGGTTTAGTAAATCCTCATGTTTAGGGTGTGGAGAGCTTCACATGTCACCTTTTAACTTCTGGCTGAGCGCACCCTGCGCGCATCGCCGAAGGCTTGCCGATCTTCTAAGGGCAGACTCTTCGATATCAGGGCGAGTGCTAAAACAGCTAAAACGCTGGCAGGCGCAAGGGAATTTGAGCGCGTTAGGCCCCCCGGAAGAGAGCCTCCGGCAAACCGCAAGTGCTGGCCGAAACTATACTGTGCTGTTCACGTGTTCTTTCTATTTTTGTTCTAAATAGAAAATTGAACAAATCATCGTGGCTGACACATCCTTTTGAATATGATTTTGAAATAAAAAGTCCTATCATTAAACACCTTTCAAAAACGCTGTGTGGTTTCTCATTAAAACTAGACATTCGATTAGAATTGTGTACTTATTGAATTCTATCGAACCTATGCCAACAAATCAACCCGTTTGAACATCTAAGTTCAAATGATACTTTTGACTACACATCTTGTTCGAGAAGGAAATCCGATTTGAATTATCTTTAGACTAGAAACTCTACTAGGGTCTGTTCTTATTAAACTCCATGTCAGTTCTAATGAGAAAATTGAACAAACACAATCCCAGAAAAAGATCCCCGTTTGAACTCGTCTTTCAAATCTATTTTTGAGACAATATTTCTATTGATGTTTTGACGGTTTATCCTTATCGCATAAATTGAATTAAAAACACTAAACATGCAAATCGCAGTGAGTTTATTTGACTAAAAAAACATGTTTCCAATGAAACTCATTGAATAAATGTCTACGAGAAATAAGTCCGATTCCTATAAACGTGAGTTAATAAACCCCAAACCCTACACCCCAAACCTGTCCATTCTAAGCTGAGGAGCTGAGGAGCTGAGGAGCTGAGGGTTGGTCAGAAGATGCGAAACAGCAGCTATGTTGGAATGGTAAAAACATGTTTTCATGTTTAAGAGAGTACAACTACGGAGCCAGCAGCCCAAAAGTAAAAGCGACAAGTTCTGGAGCGAATGACTCAGAAGCGAAAAGGAGAAAAGTGGAGCCAATGATCCAAGAGCAAAGTAAATTTCTGGAGCCAGAGACCCAAAAGTAAAAAGTAAAGAAGTAAAAGCAAATGTCTGGAGCCAAAGTAAAAAGTACAAAAGTAAAAAGGTAAAAAAGTACAAAGTACAAAAGTACAAAAGTACAAAAGTAAGAAGTAAAAGTAAGTAAAGAGGTAAAAAGTAAAAAACACAATTGAAAAGTACAAAAGTATACAAATACAAAAGTAAAACAGTACGAAAGTAAAAATGACAGAAAATGTGTTGTGTTAAGCAAAAAGGAAAAACCAGTAAAGCAAATCAGCCCATGATCCTGAGGTAATATGATTTGACCATGGACTGAAATATATTATTGCTTTACGTTTTTACGTTTGGACTTTTGGGGCATTGTCTCGATTTGTTTTAACTTTCTTGCTGTTTCTGTTTCTTTTCTTTTTTTTACTTTTGAGTCATTGGCTCCAAAATTGTACTTCTTTACGTTTTGACTTTTGGGCCAATGACTCCAACATAGCTGTTGTTTTGCATCTTCTGACAAAACCTCAGCTTAGGAATAGGACAAAGGAAGATCCAAACTGACTGGATTCAAGATTCCCTGGAAAAACTGGCCTAAAGCTTTCAGATTGTCCTTGGAAATGAGCCTGTTTTGGCTGCTTTCCCCAAAGCCCAAAAAAGGGCACAAAACACTGCACATACCTGCGAATTCTGAAGGAAGGTAGATCGTGCCTATATATATATATACACATCATATGTTATATATATATATACACTATACACACACATAACATACATATATATATATATATATATTATATTATTTCGACCTCAAAACGCGCCCGATCCGATCATCCTCCAAGTCGAAACCCGGGTCCTGGTACTCTCGAAGGCCACCAGGAAGCGGTGACTCTTCAGGAAGGTGCTCTGACCAAAGGGGCAGGACCTCGCTTCGCTGTTCCAGTGGAGTCACTGGAGCGTCCCTTTGTTTGAGGCTTTGTTTGAGGCTGCCCTGTTGGAGCTAAGGGAAACCAAAAGAAAACCAACCGTTTTCTAGGGGGTGCCCCTACTTTGAGACAAGCTTCCAAATGGCGTGGAACTAAAAAGGACACCCAAAACATGGGAAGGGCTGAAACCCGCGTCCAGAGATTGTTGTTGACCAAGGTCTGGCTGTGAGTCCACAAATGGGTTGAGGTTGCTTGTTGGAGGGCTTGCAAATAGGGCCAACCAGGAACGGCACTTGGAGGGGTCACTCATTCTGACAACCCATGTCTCAAGGCACCTTTGGATGGTGTGCAAGGCGTGGGGGAAGGTGTTGCCTTCTTGGGCGGTGTCTGCAAGTGCTTGAAGCATCCCTTTCAGCAAGGGTCCACTGCACGGCTGCGTATGAAAGCCCTCACAGTTCCCTCAAATTCACACACTGGCAGCCTTTGGCAAGTCACTTGGAAGGGAAAAATGGTCACTCCACCAGCGGAGTCAGTCGGCTGGATCTGGCTCCTTGCCTGGGGTTCAAAAAGTACCAGAGCTAAACACGCTCAATCCCAAAGCTGGGGCCAAACCCCCCAAAAAAAAACAAAGACAAAAGAAAAGAAGGCAAGTTCCTCTTGGCTCAGCCACAGCAGGTTTCAGTGGCTGCGCTCACAGCGTGCCTCAACCCCCCTGGCCCGGTGGCCACTCCCTTCGAGCGAAGTGGCTCGGCCATCACCAGCCGCATCCCGTCGAGCCGGAACTCGACGGCGCCTGAGGCTGGACTTTGGCGGTAACATTGGTTCATGCGTATTTTTTGCTTTTGGGGGTGTTCTTTGTGGGTTTGCTTGCTTCTTGTTTGTTTTTTGTTTTTTGTTTTTTTTTGTGGGGGGGGGGGGTTAAGCACAGTTTCTTAGTGGTCTGCTTGCTTCTTCTGATAATGCCCTCTAAACTCTGGACATCTGAGACTAAGAGTATGGCTGCAAACCACCAGGTTGCGTTGCTTTTGCGGAGCACCGAGAGCTGAGGCGGGTTGAACAAATTAAACCCTTCCCCATCCCCTTGTGGTTTCATTTGGGTACTCCTTAACCAAATGTGGGCATTCTTGTGCTTTAGAATTATCTAGCAGGCAGAGAAAAAGGGAGCCAACACGAAACCAGTTATGCAAAGCGCGGGGCCCTGGTCTTGACACATTCCGGCTTGGAAAGCAATGCTTCCAAAGGCGATGAAACTGCCCCCAGTTGGCGGTTGCAACCATCCCCGAAAGGGGTACCCGAGCTGCCTCCGCAACGACTGACACGGGGTGGCGACATCGTTCGAAGATGAGGCGAGGTCTTCTAACAAACCTCCAAAGCAAGATGCCCCAAAAGCGCAAAGGATGACAAAGGCCAGGTTTGTTGAGACCCGTGCCCCAAGTCAGCAACCCCCTGCTACTGCTTAGAATGAAGGGCAGGGATTCTATACCATGGTGGTTTCATTTGAGTAGGGAAACTGCTTTTCACAAGTTTCCCTATTTGGAGACAAGTCCATGTTGGAGGCCATGACTCTGAAGCTTCTCGGAACTGGTTGAAAGCAACATGAAACGCAGAAAGGGGCTCTGCTCAGTGAGAAGCAGTCAGGAGACATAGGATATGTGTCATAGGTGTCCAAAGGAGGTGGGGCATTGGACCTTTGGACCTTTGGGTTTTTTTCAAAAGCAAGACAGCTTCTTTGAGCCCAACTTGTTTTGAACAATGATTGCATGTTCCCGCAGAACAGACTCGCCAGCAAAACTCCTGAGCTTGGGGTTTGGCCTATCCAGCTATGGTCCGGAAAACGCTAATAAGACAAATACCCCTTTGGGTTCCTTTCGGCAAAATGGGAAAACAGAAACAAAAAGACACACCCGCAAGATGTGGACTATGTTGCCCTCAGCCCTCTCCTCCCTGAAAGCGGAGACCCACCTGCGTGGTGGCACCCGCTGGTGGCGTTGCCGAAGAGCTCGCCGCCTCAATGACGGGGCAAAGGAACAGGTTTGATATTCGTACCGGCAAAGGTATCTGCCATCAAATCCATTGGTCTGAGGGGGTGAGGTTGGGAACGAGCCGGGTTTCAGATGGCGACGAGAGTGTGGCCCGGGAAAAAAGTGGCCTGGCCAATGCAGCAACAAGCCATCAAACTCCAACCACTTTGCCACGGCCTTGGCGACGGTCTCTTTGTAGCTTCAAGTTTAGCTGGTCCAGCAGTTTGCGGGTCGTGTGACAGCCAACTCTGGGAAATGTCTGCATCTTCTGCTTCAGACTCTTCCAAGCCTCTTCAGAGCTGTCCTTGGTGGATGCCTACGTAGCTCACAAATGCAGCTAGACAAATCAAGAACATCTGAACCAGGACGTCCCAGAAAAAAGGCCAGGCTGAACCTTGTGTTGGTTGAATGGAAAACCGTATGGGACAACCATGAGATCTCAGGGCCCTGTTGCCAGTTCGCCTGAAGAAAAGAAGCGGACGGTGCCCGTCTCCCCGGGCATGAGCTTCTTGAAGGAAAGGACCTGAGGCGAAAGGCCTGGTGTGAGGCAGAATTCAGAGGCGTCCTGTTTGTAAATCTCTGAACCTGCAAAAACAAACCATTGTCAAGTGCAGAAATCCCAGAATGAGTGCTTTGTTTTGGGTTTTACATTGCGAGACATCTTTGTTTTACACCAAGGGCATGTTTCAGGCGAAAGGATGCATGTGTGACTCGTGAAATTCACACCCATCTCCCACCTTGAAAGTTGATTGATACAGTGTGGCATACCCTTCACTGTTGTTGGCATGTTCTGAGTTTTTCTTTGGTTCTGTTCATTCTTGGTAAGAGGCTGCAAAAGATATATACCGATGGTTGCAAAGTACCTTGAAAAGAAAATCGGACTGTTTGGCAACCCTTCAAGAATAAAAACAAATGACAACAACGTACATGGTGCGGGGAATGTGCATAAGCACAAGCCTAAAGACCACAACCCATTTTAGGGGTCCCCGCCCCCCTCCCATTTTGACACAAAACCATGTGGTGTGCGTATGGCTTGTTGAAGCTTGGTGTAATTGAAACTCAGGACAACCGAAACCTTTGAAACACACCCGTATTACAAAAGCAACAAGGCTTCCCCAGTTGCTAGAAAAAGGGAACTCGTCTGGGGCCGGGACCATCTTTAGCGGGGAACCAAAGAACCAAAAAGGATTTCGAGGGTGCTACATACGAAAATGGCCACTAAAGCATCTCGCCAAGGGTCGCAGCAGCCGGCGGTCATCCACATGGGCTCCGCCACTTCCAGCGGCTTGGAAGTTCCATTGCCTCAGCGAACTTTTTTGCAGGGCATCCCTAGGACGAAAAGGAAGCCAACCATGGGGCTCCCCAAGGTGATGGACCCAAATTTTAGGACCTCTCTTCAGCTTCACCCCGCGGGCACGGTTGCTCCCAGCCGGACCTCTTTCCACTGTCAAGATACATTTCCGCAATTGACTGGGCAAAACTAAGGCATGTCACCCTTGCCAGACCAGAATGGTGATCTCCAATGTGCGTGTCCTATTTTACCTTTGCAGCTTAAACATGGGCGGGTCTTATGTCCCACCCAAAGCGAGAAACACATCCGCCGGTACTCCGAACCTCAGAGTACCCGGCTGATCCGCACCACCAGCGTGCGGTCCTCCCAGGTCTCCTGGCAAGCGGCTCGCTGTCCGGCTGTCACGGGTCGCCTGTTGGGACTTGGAATGCCGAAATGGGCTGCAGTCTACGTGTGTGGCTGAAAAATGGAGCGGGTGCTCATGATACTGCTGCGATTTTATCATGCCCCAAGTAGGTTTGAATGCGTCTAGGCCCAGGAATGCCACGCATTCCAGCATCCCACCGTTTCAGCACATGGAAAGTCACCCGGCAGCATGCGGTGCAATGCCCATACACGCTGCCAGTCGCATGTCAAAGCCGCAGAGTAAAGCAATCGACTCTGCGCATCTGCAAAAGGCATGATACTTTGTGACACGTCTCGCAAAAAGGTGCGGGCTTGCGAAATGAGTAGCTTCCCCTTGGAGTTTCAACCTAAACAAAAAACCATCAGAAAGGGACTCTTTTCATGCGTGAGCTCGTTTTGCCCCCGAACCCACGATTTCAGGCCGACCCACGGGGGCTTTTCTGAAAACTGCCACTTGGAGAAGCTCCCAGAGGATGTCTCCGGTGTATTTTCTCAGGGCTTCCCGGCGCCGTTCCCCTGTTCCCCTCCTGCGTGATGCGCCGCACCGAGCGGCGCGCGATGTTCACGACGCCCTCCAGCACGTTCCTGGGTGCACAAGAAGCATAGCATTGCCTCGTTGAACCCGAATGGGCTCTAACAAATGGTTTCCTTGCTAACCGTATGATTGTCCTTTGGCGCAAGCGATCGGAACCCGTTTTCAGAACGCCTTTGGGTCCCCGACCAACCCCGCTTGACTCTTAAGGTGCCCGAAAATAATGAAAGTCGCCCGAAGATATGGCAAACCACAGGATTGGTCAATCTGGTGGATGAATGGGAGGCTTGATTGTTGACTACTCTCTCTCTCTCTCACTCTCTTTCTCGCTCTCTCTTTCTGCACCATCGTCGCCTGTGCATTTGACGTGCATGGTGCTTAGACGCCTCCCACTTGATCGCGCTTCAAAGGTTCTGACTGCACCCAGCAGAAGACGTGACAACGAAGCAGCAGTGCAATCATTGCCCAAGTTGAAAGATGCAGCGCCTACAATGCCAGCGGCGAAGCACTACAACCAGCCAACCAGCGTTGAAAGCTGTTTTTGGTCAAAAACCGCCTGCAGAAAAGACTACACGGCAAGAAGGCAGGTGCTCCTCAGTGCTCTTGAAAAGCTCCCGCGCCAAAGGCCGGCACTTTACAAGCCCTGAAGCGGACTCCAAACGCGAGTACAAATCAGTGGGGCGGAGCGAACTTCAGGTAGCCCCAAAGACTGTAGAAACGCCCACCACAAACTCCGGGTGTCTTTTGGGCAAACTGAACTCAAAGGTACAAGGAGTTTCTACCCATCGGGGCGGCCGGTAAACCGCCCGGCTTACAAAAAATAACATAACGCATTCTGCCGAAAAATTCGCTGGCCCAGCAGAATGTTAGGCGGTGGGATTCGGAAGGCGAAGCAGTTCCAACCCTTGCCTCATTGCCTCAGCCCTCCGACTTAGCTTCCCATTGTTGCTCGTTGATGTGTGGTTAAATGACAAATCCCTTCTCATCTGAGCCAGACATGGTAAGGGAAGCCCAAAGGGAAAGCAATGAGAATCACCCAAGCTGAGAAAAACAAGTGTTCTTGCGGTTTTCACACTGCGCCAAAGACATCCTCTTGTGGTTTCACATAGCCGTTCCTCCGCTTTGTCTAGGGATTGGATGGACCTATGGAAATCCCCCTGCCACATCTATCACATAGGTCCCCAAGGAAGCACCCTGCAAAAGGGTAAACGGCTGGGGCTGGCAGCTGGGATCGATCCACTGGGTACACCAAAGCTGCCAAGGTGCATGGATCATGGGTCCAACGACTCACCATCCCATGGCGAGGCCAAAAGCGCGCCGCTGGCACAAGGACTGGGTGCTTCCCAAGACGGGACCCCGTGTTGCTCGGTCTTTAAGGGATAAAACAAAGGAAAATCACAAAATAAAACCAATCGGCTTTGGAGAAACTGCAAAGAAAACCACTCAGTTCTGGGGCGAGAATCAGTATTGTGCCGACTTAGAAGCACCTGCATATCTCAGGTGCGTCTGGCACAGGTTTGTGGAGTGACTGTGCGTGTGTTGTGCGGTCCGGGCTGTGGTGGAAGAAGCGCGACAGCGCGGGGCTTCGCAGCCCTTGTTGAGCCGATCGCGAGCAAAGCGCGTGGTGTCTCACGACTTGGCACCATGTGGCCCATCTCATCCCTTCACGAGATGGTGAATATTGACCATTGCTTGCATCATGCAGAGCGGCAGATAGATGTGCAGGTCAACATGCAAGACCCTGCTTGGGGATCCTTGTGGATGCCATTTTGTGAGGGTACCCGTTCTAATTGGTTTTAAACGGAACCCAAATGGAGCTTGTTCGGTCAATGCGTTGGTTGCAACACAGGTGTGTCCTAGAGGGTAGGTATCCAACGCCCCATGTCGTTATGGAAGCAAGCGCAGCAATCGACACTGACAACCCATGCCCTGTGTTTTTTGAGACAGCTGCCAGTCAAAAACGGAGGACGACGATTCGGGCTCCAAACCTGAACCCCTAATCTGGTGCTGAAAAGCCCGGACCCAATGACAAAACAATAATTGGAAATAATACAGAGCGAGAAAGGCTGGGCCTGGGCCTTCAATCTGCATGGGTGTGGGTGTTTCTGAAAAAGGGATCCAACCCATTTAAAACTGGCACAAACATGTGCGCTCTGACTCAAATGCATCAGGCGCTCAGGAATTGCAGCGTTCCCTTTCCAGCCTGCCTTCCCGACGCAAAGCTTGAGGAAAGGGTCGACCAACAGCTGAGGATTGATCAATATTCCTGGCCCCCAAATGTGCATGGGCAACTTTGCCCATTTAGTGGGAAATATCATTTTTGTGGTTTTCCTCCATGGTCATCCCATGTAAAGGACCTTTTGATCAACCCCCAACTGAAGGCAGTTTGCTCTCCACCGATTTTCCGAGTGCAGGACCAGTAGGAAGTGGCCCAAGTGGTTCGCTGCCATGGTCACCTCAAACCCATCCTGCAGCCCGCAAGCCCATCGACCAAGGACCTGGACCAAGGACTTCAGTAGACCACACAAATGGCACAGGGTATGAAAAATGTCAGCTTCCGAAACGGCTGTTGGAGTCCTGCCTGCTTGCATTAGAGAGCACCCAGAATTGCAAATAGTGATACTTTACTGCAAATAGTGATACTTTACTCTACAAATACACCTGTGGATACCCTCAGGCATCCAGTGCAACAAACATGTGGCATCCAGTGCAACACACATATGGCATCCAGTGCAACACACATATTGATGCATCGCGATTTCAGTTGCGAGGAAGGAGTTCATCCCTTCAATATCCAGTGGCTTTCACCACGCTTCCCCGCCAAAACCACGGCCGAGAGTCCTCTGTGAGTTCGCGCTTGCTGCGCATCACGCCTGCCTGGCCGCCGGCCCCCAATTGAGATTGGTAAAATGGAATGTCGTTCTTGACAGTGATTACCCCTTTGGCTATCAATTGAAGGGGAAACCACGAAGAAAGTGGTTGGTGGACATAAACCCCCCACCTAAACGGCGTCCCCGAATTAAAGCCTGGACCTGGCCCATTTGGGGTTTGAAGGACACAGAAAACCCGCTCATGTGTCCAGTGCCCGTACACGGTCGTGGCTTACCCTGTAGTCACCTTAGGTAAAAGGTACCCTGCTACGAACCGATGAAGGGCCAAGTTATCGCTCCAGGAATCACTCCTCAAGATTGGCCTGCCCCCGGAAAACATGCGGAATCTATAGTGCAGCTTGTACTGCGAAACTACACGTTCCTCCACCCTCCTCCTCCTCCTCCTCCCCTTTCTGCCTCCTCTTCTCGTCCGTAAAAATGATATTCGGGGTTGACAGTTTAAGTGGGCACCCACCGCATTGTCTGTCCCTAAGCAGGCCAGGAAGCGCGTTGAGCACCAAAACATCCACCTGCCGAGAACACCACGCCCGGAATCTATCCGAGGAAAGTTGGGTGGAGTTGCATCGCGGCTTTAACACTGGATGAATCCTGGATCGTTCTGTGATTTCTCTCTGAGGTTTAAATCAAACTTGGGAAACGACGGGACAAGCCCCTGGTCGATTTCACTGGTGTGTTGAATTGAGGCAAATCTTGACTTGCAGGAACACCCCCCGATAACAATCCACCAGGTTGATGACTCTGAGGTCGACGTTCGGAAGCCAGCCAAAGCCCCCCCCACCCCCCTGGCCCTCGCACAGGTTCGCAAAGAATCTTCTTAGAATGGAGTTTTGATCGAAGGGTTCTGACAACCTTGTTTGGGAGGTAGGGGGGGTCCCAATATCTCTCGTGTCATGTGAAGCAAGTAGGGAACCAGGACAAATCACCCAAATTAGCTTTGGGCTGGTGCTCTTGCAAAGTGTTGGAAATACAAACCATACCCAAACACTGTATACCAGTATGTCCATACCAAACAAAGCCTCCTTCCCTCTCCGGTGACGCCTGGGTAACTTCCTGGTGTCCTTTAAAGCTGGGGCCCTTTTTGGAGACGCACCCAGTGGGTAGACTCAACAAGAAGCAAACTCAGTTAACTGATCGAAAGGATCGAAGCATCCAAGCCCGAGCGCCACACATCAAGGGCCACAGCTGGCAAAGCGCTGCTTTCTTTTCACCAGGCTCCACGTCTTGTGTAAGCCGTACTCGGCGCTGCGATTTAGCAGCCAAATCCACGATGAAACCATTGGCCCAGATGTTTCCCCCGAGGCTTCTTCCCTGTGATTCCTGTTCAACACCATGTAGAGTAAACTATGAAATAGGCCCAAGGTGATGTCGAACAAAACAGGGACACACATTGGTCGGCCTTTGGAGCGCAAGAAGCAACCCAAGCTGAACTCTTGAGGTCAGGGCCAGCCAGTGGCTCTGGCTTCATATAACCGAGCCAAGAAGGGAGAACCCCAATCACACACCAGCTTCCGTGAGAAACCGATGTCAACCGATGTGCCCGTCAAAGCCTCATGGCCTACTCTCGCCTCGGGGTGTTCACCCGGCGTGCGGCAGACACTTTGGGCATCGATTTATCAACGGGCGCCGTGAGATCGGCCGCACGAATCTGCGGCGCCGCGTGCGGCTCGTAGATGGGCTCCAGCCCAAAGCAGGCCTCGGACACTGCACATGGGTCTGCTTGTTTTTGTTGGGGTACCCTTTTTGGGGTTGATTTAAAGGAAGTACTGGGGGTTCCATAAAAGCACACACACACACAGAGACACACACACACACACGCATGGGTCCTAGCCTATAGTGTTCTACCCCTGCACACGATTTGCACGTCACTGCGAGGCATCGAAATGACTTTGTTGCACACAAAATTGGAGCTGTCAGCGTACTGTCCACAAGCACCCGCCAACACCTTTCCGCGCCCAAATTCGCCATGACTGACAGTCATTGATTGCGGCACTCAGATTGATCCCACAATAACCATCCCTGGAAACGAGGGCAAAGTAGAGCTGCAACCATGTGTGTCCTTTTGGAAAAATAGATGGCCCTGGTAAATGGAACAAAACCCATCTGAACCAGTGCAATCTATTTTTAACCAGGCTCACCTAAAAAGGACACCTATGGCTACAACTCTGTGCCGGCTGGTTCCGGGGTGTTCCTTGGCGGGATTGAAGGGGGAGAGGAGCTCCACGCTGTTTTTTTTCCCCCATGTTGCGTATCGCAAAACGGAAAAGAGTTTTGGTCGTTTTGGATACCGGCCCCTTTGTTTAACCATGTTGCACCATGCTCACGGTACCCCCTAAGTGGTCGGTGAAAGGAAAGCGCCCTTGTTTGTGACTTTTCCGCATAAAGAGTCAACACAATGACCCCAGCAGTAGAGACTCCTGCGTACCTTGCTTGCAAAGGGAACAATGAAAAGCCCCAATATCCGCGCCAGGCACACCTGAACGCTCCAGGTTCCCAATCAATTCCCCTCTCCCTATCGAACCCCAACCTAAAGTGGCCGTGACCGCGACTCTACCTGAAAGATCGGTTGACTGTGTTGAACATCAACTCATGAAGCATCCGATTGACTCAGTCACGAACCGAAAGGAAGGCCCACACCACTGGCTTCCAGGTCCGGATCCCAGGCTCAGGGCTGCCCGGGGTGTTTGATCGGACCCCGTTCATTGAGGGCAAGCCCCCCCCAAGAAAAAAAAAACAGGGGGGGGAACAAAAAGAAGAGAAGAAGAACAAAAAACGCCCACCCCCAAGAACCGCGACATGCGGCCATCTCTGTCTAGCTGGGCCTTGTAGCGACAGAAGCTGTGGCAAAAAGTTGCCAGGCTCATGGTGGAATCCTATCCTGAGAATTCCCCCAAACACAAACTATTACATATTGAGCCCCAGAGAGGGGGGCCATTTGGGGGGCCTCAACATGACGTCAAAAGTCCTCAGCGTGCCGGCCCCGTTCCCCTGAGCTTGGAGGCCCGATTCCTCCTTTTCGGGCGTGGCCCCGCGCAACCCGAGCGGCCGCCCCATGGATGTAGATGCCCATGAAAGCCGCCTGGATGGTTGCTGGTCTCACAAACGTAGCACTCGTGGGTACCCGGACAAGTTCCCTCAAGGGACCTGGACAGGTCGCAAGATGGAGAACCCCAAACAGTCCCTTGAGGCTTCCCTTTTTTCTTTGACATGACCCCTAAATTGCACCCATGGCACCCCCCAACAAAGACGGCCATTGGGTCATGCTCAGCCCACCGAAGGTATGCTGGCATTGCTGACGTCCAGGCGTTGATACGGAAGACGCTGTCAGAGTGCCGTGCACAACGTGCAAATGCCTGGATGCCTCGCATAGTTTGTTTTCTTGGCGGCTTGGAGATGCAGGGACGTCCACATAGAGAGCTGCTGAGTTGTAGAGAGCTTTTCTTTGGCCAAACACGGCCTACGTTCAGCATGTCCAAGGTGTTTGTCCCTGATTCCTCACATCTGCCTGGCACATGTAGAGATCGGACTGGGCAGGGTTCTTTCTATGTCCTTAAACGTCCCCCCACCTACAGGCAACTCCCTTCAAACCAACCCAAAAGATGACGTCTAAAACATGCAAAAGAGGAAAACGGAGGGGGGCCTGGACCTTTCCGAGCTGCGCAGAGAAGTTCTCACACAGACACCTGCTGCAGTTAAGCCAGGCAGGTGAAAGCGTATGTGGCGCACTTTTCGTTGCTTCAAGGCAACAAGTCGAGAAGACCGGCAGCAAGCTAAGCCGGTGAGCAGGGGCAAGGCATTGCTGGGTTTTGCGCAACCCGCACAATTCGTGAATCCATGAGAACGAAGTATTTTAGGAAGGTGCTTTCGGCTTGCCGGGGTTCCGCATCCCAACCAGTAAGCAGGATTTCGCACCAAAAGGAAACTAAACGGAAACTCCTCTCTAAATTGCCGCAAAGAGTGATGTTTAAAAGCTCCAGCAGGCGTGTTTGACGGTGCTCTTGCTGGGGTTCATTTCAAGGGAAGCCACCCATGTTCAGTCTTTCCCACACTGTCGAATCTGTCGATGGCCAAAATCTTGCACTAGTTGACAGGCGGTTTATCCCACTACTCACGGGATTTCCTCCAACTGGTCAAGTAGGGCCGGGTAAAAAGGTGGATAATCTGTTCGACGCATTTCGGGGGGAACGTTCGTTTACACCTTTTTGACCGCCACCCCACGTGGATGTTGCTCCGAATCGGAGACCCCAAAAACCAAACCAAGCGCAGCCCCTGGATCCGATGCCAGGCCTGGGCCAGGCTGGAGAGGAGGCAGTCGAAGACGGCGTAGTGGGAGGCCAGGAAGGCCCAGTACCAGTGGTGGAGGTGCAGCTTGCAACCTACCGAGGTCCAAGCTGCAAAAGCAATTGGGCGCTGGTGGTTTTTTTGGGGGGCCTGGGAAAAAAGCGTCCCAGTCTATTCTCGGCTACTCATGGCCTTCAAATCACCCATTGGTGCTTTGGGTTGCTGGTTGGGATTGGTGGCGGAATTCATTGGTAGTTTGGAATGGCTTGGAGTGGTTTGGAGGTGTTTGTTGGGTGGTTTTTGACTTCCAGCGAGTTTGACCCCCCAAACCACCTATCCAAACCACCAACTGAGGATAACCTAAATGCATTTCCTTGGGTAGGAAACAAAAAGGCGTTTTGAGAAGGCTACTTCTGATTTAGTTGCCTTCCGTGGTGGTGTTAAACGGGACATGCAAGGCACCCAGTGACCTCAGGTCCGAAAATCTGGGACCCAGTTATGTACTTGTTTTTTCTTTTAGAGAAGCGGGAAACCCGGCGAAAGGCCAACACACTCTGTGGGTCGAAGCCGCCCTTCAACTTTTTTGAGAGAACCATAAGCGCTGGCTCAATCTGGCACCCGGGCGTGGGAACTTACATACTTCGTAATTGCGAGAGGAGGTTGTCGGTCTGACAAAGCATCGCGCTTGGATATTGAAACTGAAACGTCCTGGGAACAAAGGCACCCTACAGCCTCAGCGGTTGAAACATTGAAGCCGGACATCTTAAAGCCAGCGCGCCATAGCTGCCGCTGGCAAGATCCATTGCCTAAGCCCTCTTCGAGACACTTGAAGGTGTGGACTGACTGCAAATGCACGGCCTCAAATCAGTGCGCTTGAAATCCTGAATGTGGGACTCATTGCATGAGCTAATCTCTAGAAGGGGAACGTCCAGCAGCCCCACTGCCTTGCTAAGGCAATCCTTTTGAGGCCAACGTGGGGCTAGCAAATGCGGGCCCGACGCAGCATCAGCCGCGCCTTGTGTGAGCTCCAGGCGACTTGCCGCACCATGCAGCACTAGGCCCAGCAGTACCCAGCCCACCTCAAAACCAAAGGGCTCGCAGCTTTGACCGCGCCTGGCTGGCCCTTGAAAGCCTGCTTGCTCAGTTGCTCGTTGAAATGCAGATGTGCACACCTGCTCATATGAGTGATCTTCCCCAACAGCCAGTTTTGGGATGTCTGGTATCCCGATTC